CGAAGGGATCCGTCGGGCGGTTGGCGGTAGGAGTGTCTGGTTTCGCGGTTAACCGGTAACCGATATTTCGGTTATCGGTTATAACAGAAAATCCAGCCCTAACATCAAGTGTAGGTTGAATACGAGTCATTGTCTAGTCTTCAATCTTTTTGGATTAGCATAATTTATTAGTTATATATAGTTATGCATTAGGAGTTATAACCATTGGCATCATCATGACAATAAATAAGGAAAGTTCAACCTTTGGTCAAAAGAGAAGTACCCCATTCTAAATTCCAGATGACAAAATCAAAGGTAATGAATGTTAGTTAAGGTTCTCTTGTGAGTGATGCCCAAATAGGCAATTGCTGAAAAATTATCTAATATGCTTTGAGTTTATCTTAACATTGATAAAAGGATCTCCTTCGTTATTATAGTATAAAAAAGTAAATTTGTCGACCTTTCAAAAAAGCACCCTCAATTTTTTTAATTTAATAATTTTTTTTTCCGGGGCAATTAACCTTAAAATCCTCAAGGAAAATCACATCCTCGCTCTCTAGGCTCTGCTCATATGCAAAAGATTCATCGCCCCATATTTTATCCACCGTATTTGATGCTAGTTATCTCTCATTATGTGAATCCAGTTTTTTTTTTTTTTTTTTTGACCGGGTGAATCCAGTTATTCAGTTGTTGATAAGATGTTAACCCAATGAAACAAAAGAAGTAACAAGCATTTAAAAAGGAGTGGGAAAGCAAGTATTAAATCCTAAACTTTATTTTTGCACTTTCACTGCTCCTTTTCCATTAAACTTATAATAATCTTTATGGTAGAAGAGTAATTGGTGTCCATCATTATGATAAAGTCAGAGGTAGTGGCAAAATTTGCAATCATCCATTGCGCATGCCTAATGTAAAAAAGAGCCATTCCCTTTTGGAAAAACCTTTGCCAAATTGGCTCAAATGGGATGTGATCCATTGGCCATCCAATTTCTACTGTTCCAATAATTGAAACTTGAAACACCAAGGGGTCGTTTGCTTGAGGGTTTTGGTGATGGATTTGGTCATGGAAATATATCCATCATGGACTTGAATCGAAATCCATCGTTTGCCTTAGGGAATTAGGGAGATGGAATTTGTGGGGCCCACCACTTTTGGGGTTCCAAATCCGTGGACCCCACGGACTTGGAAGTTCCACCTCTTGAGGTGGGATTTGGGTGATGGATTAAAATCCATGATGGTAAATTACCTTTCTACCCTTAATTATTTCTTTGATTACAAATTTGTCCTACTTTAATTCAATGGTCATGCAATGTAAACTTTTATAATTTCGTATTTTATAAATATGAGAATTTATCATTTCATTTTGTAATATCGTATTTTATTTAAATATGAATGTATATGTGATTTTTTAGATTCACCTAGAAACACTTTATGCTCATCTTGTACATTATTATTTGATTGATTGTCGGATTCCACATCGGTGAGTTAGCAAGAAGATGATGAGTTGTAGCAATAAAGCGAGCAATTGGCTACAATTGATACATAATATTGCGTACATTATTAAATGAATTGTTTTTTTTATGAAGGATTATTAGATGAATTTTTAATTAGTGCCAAGATGAATTGTTAATTAGTGCCATATTGTAATACATTTCTATATTTGTAGTTGAATTATTAATCCACATAGTGGTAAAGATTTTAAAATTTCTTTTTATGTTTTGGATTAGTTTTAAATGAAAGATTTGGATTATAATATAGAAATATAATTAAATAAGGGTAACTAGGTAATTTGTATTTAATATCCACAAATCTAATCAAAGAAAGTCCATAATCAAATCCATCAAGCAAACAATAGACTTGTTCAAATTCATAATGCCACCAATTCCATCATATATCCATGGTTTTCCAAAACCCAGGTTTTACCAAAACCCTCATTTTTCAAATCCATGAAGCAAACGACCCGCAAAATTTCTACTAGTGGCTAGCTGTAGAATGATGGAAAACAAGGAACCATGATTATATTTCTCTTTTCAAACCGTTTACCTATCTCAAAACAACTAAACGCATGACAAAATTAATGAACTAGTAGCATTGTGACATATCATTTGTGTCGATATCATGCATGACGATGGTGGAGTGCCTCCTTAAACTCATTTGCCAAAACAGATTAGGCCATTATCCTGTAAGTCTGTAACTATTCATGTAAACCCAATTCCTTTTTGGGTTAGTTCATTTTACCATCGTCCGTCATTACCGACGACTATTATGAAAGTAACTGACACTCTTTGTTTCCAAAATTACCATTGGGTGAAGTACTACTGATCAATTACCAATTTGGCACGTGTAAGTACCCCCATCAAGTTTGTGAGGAATGTATGCAAATGGGATGAAGAACTTGAGAAATGTTGGGGAAATTAGGTTTAGAATTAGACTGATTTTCTCCTTAAAATTAGGCTTGAACTTTGTAAACAGGGGAATTAACACAAGTGGCTGTTTTTGACTGTTGGACTCATGAATGAGTTGGGCTGTCGGTACAACAGAGACCGGCTAGGTTGTCCTATAATGATCCTATTCCTATCCTAATAACATATATATTCTATAGGCCCAACCCAAAAGAGTCTGAATTATTGGTAGCAATAGCAAACAGATATTCATAATAGAGTTTCAAACATTTGTAGATATTCATATTATTAACTAACTTTTTGATTATGTTGATATTGTACAAGTGAAAAAGGCAAAGGTGGGCACTGGGCAGTGGGGTGAGTGGATTACGGAGTCTCAAATTGACCCACCCGTTTATTGACGAGTTAGTATAATTGTGATATGCTATTCACCTGCATTCTTTTTCGGGTTGCGGGTTAACCTGCAAAACAGTTCTCTCACTAGCCATTAGACAAGTTGACTAACATTTTACAATAAAATTTCCACAAATTAGAAAGTCTTTTTTTTTTAATTGCTAATACCAAATTTTCATTATGCCACTTTAAATGAAGTATCCGTTGACAAAGAAAACAAATTAACGAACCACACATTTCTAAAGACCAAGACTATTTACGTGTGTGGATTTCACTTCTTAGACAGAGATATGAAATCTTATAAATGGTTTCATTATCTATTCTTATTCTTGTAAGAGCATTACTCCAAAAAAGCTAGATTCTTGTCTTATAAAAACTACTAGCGTGGGCCCCGGCCATTTGGCCTGGTATAAAATTTGATAATGTAATAGGGTGTATAGCTTATTGTTGTATAATTTTTTTTTTTTGAAACACGTGATAAAAATAGTGAATTTTAGTAGAAAAGAGACATGAATGATGCAACGAATCAAAAATCAGTCTTATGAACCAAAATCAAGTACATGTTACCTTGTGAAACAATATTGTTTCTGGTAATATGATGAGGTGGAGTAAGTTTTATAGAAATCGAATTCCAGAAAATCGAATAAAAAATCGCATATCCCGCCGATTTTCGGGAAATGAGCATCTCACAATCGTTGCTAGCTTTTACTCGGCCCGTTGGCCGATTAATTTGCTTTATAAAACTTTCATCTTCTCATCATTGTGCTTTCTGGTTTTTTGCCAAGCCATGATAAAATCTAAAGAAATCAAGAATGAACAGCACGATTTGGGATAGGAACCACCGTTCCTGTATCCCTAGAAAATGGTGGTAAACACGGACTCACCTGCCAAACTGGTTTGTATTGAGATTTTTATAGGGTATCAGAGAACCATGTGATTATAAATTAGACGATCAAAATGGGCCAAAACTTGAAATTCAGCTTGTTTGACCGACCCATGCCAAACTCTAATTATTCTTTACTTTTAAACTTTATATTTGAAAATAAAAAATAATGAAAGAAAAGAGATGACTGCAATTCACCATTTGCACATCACTGATTCGGGAATAAAACTATAGAATTTCGAAAGGAAACTGAAAATGTTTAGGATCGTTTTAATGTTAAAAATAACCAAATAGATCTTTCTGTTTAGTTTTTTACTAACAAATACCAAACGATTCCCTATAATATACACTATAATTTAATCATTATGATATCAAATAATTACATAATATATATTTGAAATGATAAAAATTGGACTAATTGAGTTAGTCGAAGTTGAACCATTGAATAACTTTAAAATACATTATATTTTAGCCACTAAGATATAAAATAATAGCATAATATATATTATGCTAGAGAAAATAGCTTGTTTTAGAATGACAAACCCATGATGTTCATTTGTTTTACTTGATGGGCAAATCCCGTGTAGGTCAGACCCGTTCAACTCTTTTATTTTATGATTAGCGGTTAGCCCATTAGAATCCATGCATTAGTTTATTTTTAATTTTTTTCTTTTTAGCAATTAAAAGGAGTATTGTTTTTGCCTTTTCATATATATATTTTACCACCATGGAGAAATAAAAGGACTTAAAGAAAAAAATTGACACTTCTGGACCCGTTTAAAGCCGCATGTGTACGGTAAGTTGGCCCGTTCCACAGAGGAAAAAGAAAAAAATTGACACTCCCTATTCTACTCTTCCTACAAACGCTCCTGGAGCAGGGAATTTTAAATGGGGGAAGAGATTTTTCCTCTCTTCAATTATATGTTTTTAATTTTAAAAGATACAACAAATGTACTTAGTGTGATTGGTTATGATCTTTGTTTTTCTTTAAAATGGTCATGGTTCGAATCCTAGTAAGTGTCTTTTTAATGAATAAAAAAAAGTAATTGTGAAGACCAAAATGTCCTTCCTACTTTCACTCTGGATGCAGGAAATTTAAAATGAGACTTCAAGTTTTCTCATTTGGCTTTTATTTATTGCGTAGATTATTATTATAATTTATAATAATAATAATAATAATTATTGACTTCAAATTGTCAAATACAAAAATCCATTGATGAAAGAAATTTGTCCAAACGGTCTAACTAAGGAGACCACTCAGACCAGAAAAGAATTCCAAAACAAAATGATAAATGGATAATAGATAGACGGCTCAGGAAAACGCCGTCGACTATTTTTTAGAGCCCCACTTTCCGCCGCCCTTAACTTTTCTCTGCCATAAACGCCCCGACGAGAACAGTTCCGCCCACAAAAACGCCGCCTCCGCCGTAACCGCCCGCCGCCGCCCTACTCCTCTGCCACTTCCCCTGTGCCCCCTCAACATCTTGATTTCGCGCCAGAATTTCGAAAAGCGAAAAGGGAGTTCGCAGAAGAGAAATGTCACTGGCCTTCGTTTCTTCCCCTTCCTTCCGTCCCTTCTCCACAGCCCGTCCTCCCGTCAAATTTCCAACGTCCGGGAAACTCCGCCCGCCTCGCCCGCCCGCCGCCGCCGTGCGAGCGAGCTCTACTCGCGGCGAATCGGACGGGTTCACGCAGAAGTCCGGGTACTTGTTCGAGCTCAGTACCAGCGACGCCAACGCGCTGGTCGATTACAACATCAAGAGGATCGCGGCGATATACAGGAGGAAGCCGTTGATTGTCGTTCGGAGGTTGGTTCAGCTCGCCGTCGCGTTTGGGCGGTGGTTCGGTGCTCGGTTTGTGGATGAGTTTACTGAGAAGTCCGATGAAATGTTCGAGGTCCGTTTGCATCTTCTGGTTTTGGTTCATTTGGGGGCCAATGATCGACTCTCTTTGTAGCCGAATTTCTGATGTTCTTGATTGGTTCGTTGCAGGTTAGAGCTAGGGAGCTTAGGAGGATTCTTCAGGAACTTGGCCCTGTACGCTTCCTTTTTCCTTTCCGTGAACGTTTATGACTGATTCATACCGTTTTTGCTTTCGAACTTCTACTGTAAGAATTTCATGGCTTCCTGAAGATGAGGCTTATACGTATGTATCATTTCTCATTTCCAGGCTTACGTCAAAATTGCTCAGGCTGTTTCTTCCCGATCCGTAAGTCTTTTGATTCTTAGCTACGAGAAGACCATGTTCAGTGAACTTGGTGCTTCTTAGTTTCTGCGCAAGAGAATGGATTATAACTGGGGTTGCGAATGCTTTATACATGCATCTTTTTCCTCTGTAGGATTTGATACCGCCATCATATCTTGATCAGCTCTCGTTATTGCAAGATCGGATAGCTCCTTTTTCCACAGATGTTGCTTTGAAGACAATAGAAAAGGAACTTGGACTACCCATCGACTTGGTATTTTCTGAGATATCTCCGGAGCCTATAGCTGCAGCTTCACTTGGACAGGTCTGTGTTTGCTTGATGACGTCTAGTTATCTTCTAGAATTCGTTTGGTACACCAGCCGTTTATCGAACAATGTTGGTGTTGTACTCAATCTGAAACTTCTTGAGTGGCAACTAGAACTCAAACGACTTGGGTCTATTGTTTTATTCTTCTGCTTGTCTAACCCAAAATAGGTCTATCAAGCAAGGCTTCGCAGCAGTGGTCAGCTTGTTGCTGTGAAAGTGCAGAGGCCAGGGGTTCAAGCTGCCATTTCCCTGGACATATTGATCCTTCGTTATGTTGCTGGGATAATAAAGATACTTGGGAAATTCAACTCTGATCTTCAGGTCTTGCTTCTATTGTGCTAAGATGAGGAGTAGGCAGTTTCATCCATTATGTTCAGTATTATTAATGCTGTTCATAATTAAAACCACGAGCTCGAATTTGCAGGCAGTTATTGATGAGTGGGCATCAAGTCTTTTTCGGGTATGTTTTAACTAAGTGTTGAGTGTTGACCATCAGAAATACGTTTTCCAAATACCTCTCTTTTGCCTGCACTTTTCTGTGGATTCTGCCATCTCTTTCAGCGTAGTAGTACATGTCTCAATCTGATGATCCAAACTGCTTCATGCAAACGATTAATAGGTGTCACAGATAGTAGTTTTGCTCTTGCAGCATTGCTGTCGTACTTGATTTTTTTTTTAATCTTAGCTTGTTCGAGGGGTTTTCTTAGAGCTTCATATTGAATACAGGTAAATCACATTGAATGCAGGAGATGGACTACGTGAATGAGGCGAAAAATGGAATCAAGTTTAGGTAAGAACTTCGTAAATAATTGGGTTTGGCTCACAATTTGTAAATCTTCATGTTGCTAATTCTTGACTGATATACAGATAAATGACGGTTTCCAAAATCAAACGTATAATGTTAAAAGGAGTGAAATATTGTTTTTGTTAGGTGGCGTATATGACATTGCCAGGTTCTCTTCTTTAACTTTGATGGTAAAGGGAAACTAAAAAGATGCACTGATAAGCTGAATATGTGTGACGATTAACTTTAGCTAGCTTCCCAGCTTAATGAAGTTCACATGCTATGGAACTAGTAGTCAGGCTATGACATTTCAATTTGCAGCAAATTCTGCTTGTCTGATGTCAGGACAAAGAACTGCTTTATTAGATCTGGAATTCCTGTGAAAATAACATTAAAAGCACTATGGATTTATTTTTTCTATGTTGACCTGTATATAGCATTCTGGGATGTCAGATTGACCCCGTGTCTTGCGCTTAAACAGAGAGCTATATGGTGACATAAAAGATGTTGTCGTTCCAGAAATGTATCAGGAGTACACAACTCGTAAAGTGATTGTGATGGAATGGATTGAGGTGCTCACTGACTCATTGCTTCTGTGTACTTCTGTTTCTTGCCAAGCTTTTCTAGTTTGAAACTATATAAGTGTTTATCCCTGTCTTGCAGTGGCTTCGCTTTTGCAGTATCTTTAATTTACGTACATAAAATTTTTGGGCTTCAGTTTTGCGCGATGTCATTGTTTGTAAACACAATTTCTGCATCTCATTCATACAGTAACGAATATTCATTTTTTCATCTTATTTTCCATTCTCTCAGATTCTTATTCTTGTTATTTGAACTTTACAGGGGCAGAAATTGGTTGAAGTGAAAGATTTATACTTGGTTGAGGTTTGTAAAATCAAGTCCTCAATATTGCTCTTGCACCATTGATTATGTAAATGATTTGGATGGTTCTCTTGGTGTTGACTAGGTGGGAGTTTACTGTTCATTCAGGCAACTTTTGGAGTGTGGATTTTATCATGCTGATCCGCATCCTGGAAACCTCCTCCGTACAGACGATGGGAAACTTGCTTATCTAGGTAATATTTTGACTCTTGAGTGAGACGACACTAGGTATTTAGATGATTTTTCTGACTATTTTTCACTGTCTGCTTTGGGTGGATTTCTTCTTCATGCTCTCGTTGTCATGGCCTCACGGGGTATATGTCTACTGTGTTCTGTATCCAGATTTCGGCATGATGGGTGAATTCAGAAAAGAACTCCAGCTTGGATTTATTGAAGCTTGCCTCCATCTTGTTAATCGCGATTATGATGCATTGTCTGAGGACTTTGTCACCCTGGGGTACTTTCACGATTTCACTTTTCCGCGAAAGGGGTAAAGAATTTCGTCGTTAAACTGAGAAAGCTAATGCAACTTGTAGGTTTCTTCCACCAACTGCAGACAGGGAGGCTGTTACAAATGCCTTAACAGGTTCAGATAAACTGTATTAGTGGTTTTGAATGTATGTGTGTTATGGAATTTGCAATGTCTCACTTGATCATCCGTATTTTGCAATCTTCTGTTTTCCTGCAGGCGTCTTCAAGGATGCCATCGCCAAAGGAATTCGTAATATAAGTTTTGGAGATCTTTCAGGAAATTTGGGGTTTACGATGTAAGCAGTTCTTCCTTAGTCTGTTTAGCCACTTGGTGTATGATTTTTTTCATATGTGTGAACCATCCATTCTCTATGATTATGTGTATCCTATGTGCTAATTGGTTCTCAGACCTAAGAAATCTATCAATAGGACTTGATTCATTTTATGCTTGAATCAGTTGTTTGAAAAGATAAACATATTAGTGTTCTTAGGAACTTGACATTGAGCATTATATACTCACTAGACAGAATCTTGTTGATCTTCCAATTAGTTGAGAATATCTGGTAAAATTGGTTCTGCAGGTGCATTTCTTAGATTGTCTCTTAAACGCATGAATTATTGGAGTTCCTAGTCGTTTGTTGTGTGTTCTTGTGTTGGCTTTATATTTCTTCCTTGTCATCATCTCTCAATTTTCCTATTGATGTTTGTCTACCATCTATTCTTTGACGGTGAGATTACTAACACATTCCACTTTTACGCAGGTACAAGTTCAAGTTTCAGATACCTTCATATTTTTCACTTGTTATTCGGAGGTAGTGATCTTCTCAGTAAAAAACTCTGAACAAGAAGCACAGTGTTTTCACTAGCATTGTGGCACCAAAACTGTGGATGTTCGGAGTTTGCAATTCTATTTATAAGTAGAAATATTGACCAACTTTCTTTATGCCATCTTCTCTGGTTCCTAGTCTTGCAGTTTTGGAGGGAATTGCTATCAGTTTTGACCCCAATTACAAAGTGTTGGGCAGTACCTATCCATGGATAGCTAGAAAAGTACTAACTGACAGCTCACCCGAGCTGAAGTCTACGTTGATATCTGTTCTTTACAAGGTGGATAATACACTCCATCTAATTTGATACTTACACACCATTTTCAAAAGGAAAAAAGAAAAGAAAGAATGCTCTTTGTCCATGCACGCTTGAGAATTCACTGAGGTCTGTCAACTTATCGTCATTGGATTGCCTGTTTTCAGGATGGTGTCTTCAGAATTGATCGATTGGAATCTCTACTTTCAGAGGTGGGGTTCTCTGGTTATCTTTTTTGACTTGAGATTGCACACAGATCATCTATATGCTTGCCTGCTCACCAATAACTATACAACACTAAGTCTGTTATGATGCTTGGGAATTCTGCAGTAAGCTGCTTAGACCAAACACTCTTATTTAAGGGGATATATTTTGGTAGTTGTCCCAATCTGGAATTACATTCTTCTAAAGTTGTCATGTCTATCACACATCTTGAACGATGCTATCGTTTATTAGGTTTGTGTTTGCAAATTGTCTTTAGTCTTCCTCCAACAAGTTTTTTTTTTTTTTTTTTTTTATGAAGGCTTCCTCCAACAAGCTAGGACTAAGATTTATCATATTAACTGAAGATCAACTAAACTAGCTTCCACTTCACATTTTCTGCTTTATATCTTCTGGTATCAAATTTGGGCAATCTATTCTCAAATAAGTTATTGATTTTCACAGTCCCTCCGTGCCGAAACAAAGAAAGCCTTGGCTAAGCAGCCTGTAGAAGCAGCAGGCTCGAAAGTGGTTGTGAAGCAACTTCTTTCTTTCACATTAACCGAGAAGGTGACTTTTTCGCCTCTGCTGTTTTATCGTTCAACTAGCTTTTTTGTAGCTTTTATTTGTACACACATCTTCTGTTTTGATGAATTTACTCACATCTTCTGTAACATTTGGCAGGGTTCTTTTATTAGGGAAATACTTCTTCAAGAAGTTGCCAAGGTAGGCTTTTGCATCCCTTCCACGTGTGGCTTTGTTTTGTAGTTGTTTGAGTACAATCCTATGGCCAAGTAATATCTTTTCTTCATTGGACGAGACGATTAAAAAAGATCCTTTGTAGCTGATATAGAAAAGAACTTGTCTCATTTAGATAATGGACGAGACAATAATCATGACCAATTGTGCTAGAAGAATAACTTGAAGTAGGTTTCTTTCAAGATTTTCTATGGGATTTGCTATTCGCCGACAATTATCCACCATCTCTTCTACCCTTAGTCTGCATTCTTCCAAATATTCTTGATCTGTTGCCATCAACAACATTTTCTTGCTGCAATAACAGGGTTTGGATGCACTTGGACTTTCGACTATGGATTCTGTAGCCTCCGGCGCTGCTGCTAGGATACCTTTTGCAGCATCCCTGTCGCCGTCCTCAATGACCGAGGAGGACAGAATGAACTTGATAGTCCTGCGTCGCCTTTTCCTGTTATTGTCTGGAGGTGTAAAGAAGGCAAGTACCAACACGGTAAGACTCTTGTATTATTGAGTACTCTTCAGTGTTAGATAAAACCTCCAACATGCATCTGAACTCTTCTGGTGTAAAGAGTAAATACAATTTTAACATTTTAGGATCCACAATGAGTTTAACTCTGCCAGGGAATTGTTCTCTATCCATTTTTACTTTGATCAAGAGGAAAATTTGAACTTTGTTTCTCATTTCTAGGACAAATTCCTCTCTGTCCATAAAGAGCTTACCTCCTGTGTGAATTGTACTCGAGCTGGAATAGCTGCGGGTTAGAATATGTAGGAAATATCTTTCATATTAAACTAGCAACTATTGGGCGAATCCTTACCTCTGTTGTTATTGTGCATTTGGGTTAACTTCTATATTATCTTTTTTGCAGGAAGTTACAGCCATTACATCATCCACAAATGGTATGGCACCAACCTCTCTTGTCTTGTATCAGCTTCCACCAGTTCAAGAGATCATGCCCATCCTCTCAGTAATCACCGAGGTGAGTGAAAGGTTCACACGTGCTTGCCCGTTGCTGTTGTACTTCGTCGTGCCTCCATTCCCAATTTGAGTGCGATTGCTCATCTGATTTCACTCTTGTGCTTGCTACCATAATCGCAGCTCCCACAAGAATCGCAGCAGCAGTTACTTTCTGTGCCAGTTGATTTGTTCGGAAGGTTACTTTCTCGTGCCACTGCTCGGACCATACGGAGAGTGTTCCTTTAATCAGATCTCAATCCCATATTCAAGCAAGTCTCTCTCTCTCTCTCTCTCTCTCTCTTCCAATCCTTTCCCTGCTTGTCCTGTGCTATACTGTAAAGCATAGATCAGATAAGCAGAAACAAAGCTGAAAAACAAGTTGGTAAAATCTCAGCATCTCGTCCCGAGGAAAATGGCTGCATTTGGGCTGTACTCTATCGAGCACGTAACACGTAACTTATACAGTCGCATTGCTATCTCCAAGCTCTCAACGTTTTTTTCTGGTGTTACCATCTTTCCATTTCCAGAGACGGCCATATGGGCTTGGGGAATGACGGGAATGAATGTAAAGCGTGACAAACACAAGTATCTAGCTCAGTGTATCATTTGGAAAGGTAACATTTAAGATTGCAAGTATGTTATCAGTTATCTGTCCTTCTCTGTTGCCTGTTAGATTGTTGTTACGATATTGGAGGCTCGAATCGGTGATCCTAGAAACAGTCGCAGAACCAAATTCCTGTGAGATGTAAGTTTGCTGGTACACATTGAATGTAAACCGTAGTCATCATACACTGCAAACATCGCATGGTCGAATCAAATCATCGTAACATCTGACAAAAGCTTGGTCTCCCCATGGTCGAAATCGCACTACAAACATTCGCATCCAAAGTCACTCATATTGCTCTTAGGTAAGCAGGAATTAAGGAAAGCTCCATAAGACCCCAGGCTCCAGGCACAACTCTATTCAATGACTCTGCAAATCATCAGTGCTTCATTTCTTCCCCTGGCCAAAATTTTGTGGTGAGTGGGTGGAGGTGGTGGATAACTAATTGGAAGGGACATGGTAGTATTTGCCTTGACACATGCACCTATAGACAATAGGGCACGACTCATTGACTGAGCACTTGAAGCTCACCATCACCCTCTTGCATGGGAAGCAAGGTCCACAAGCATGTGAACATTCTGGCAGAGTCGATCCCGTCGGATGTGCTTGCAGTATCTTCGTCGCCTCTTTCTCTCCGCCTGTTGTTCCTGTCCGTCCATCGACCTAGTGATAGAATGAGTTTATGTCACTTGGATTGTCAACAATAACAAATCAAGATTTCTCTTTGGGGAAATAAAAATAGTATGAGTAGACGAGCGAACCTTAGGGTTGACAGAACGTTCGTCACTTCGTCTTATTGGTCCCCCAACTCTTTCTGCCGTGGCAAAAGGAACGCCTAGCAGAAAATTGACAAGCAAACATGCGTGAGCAAGATATCTCGTAATGACGTGAAGCAGGGAGCACAAGGTTACTTACCACGACGGAGGCTTCGGCCTTGTATGCCTTGGGAAGCCATGGTGATCATAACCATGAGAACAAGCATGAGTTGTACTACATGTTTGTCACCGCCATGAGAGCTCCCAAAGACTTGCAGCTTCATCATTTTCAAATTGATTGGTTGATATTGGTAGAGAAGCTATTGGAAAGAGGAGCTATAAATAGTTGATACAACTGGAAGGCTATAAATAGTGTAAATGGTTGTAATGACTAATAATAGCTGCGAGTGTTTTAATGTGAAAGAAGGACACTCACCTGATATACGGCTCACATGATCCCCGGCTTCTTTTCAATGTGTTTTCAGTTTTTGACCCGCGCTTTTATGATGGGCAAAAAATCCCAGTTAAATAATGTAAGGAATCGAAATGGGCCCGGGAGTGCTGGTGTATCGAAATTTTGATGGGCCAGCTCTGGCCTGAAAAACCATTAAGCAGACTGTAAAAGCCCTGCAATGAGCGGTCTACTCAAGGCATCTCACAACATAGCCCAATAAGAAAGTTCTCATTTCCGTAACACCGACGCAAAAAAAAAAAAAAAAAAAAAAAAAACGAAATAGGTGTAAAATCTTAGGCAAAAATCCCACATAGTCAGAGCACGGGAGAGATCTATGGTTCATAAGTAGGAAACCGACCTTAACTGACAAGACACGTTTTGAGGTGAAACGGAGGAGTTATTGTGAGAACTCCGAAGTTAAACATGCTCAGTGTGTTGTACAACAAGGATGGGTGATAAATAACCTACGAAAAATATGAATAAAAACCCTACAGAATGACGAAAAAGGTTAGGGTGCGAACATATTTCCTGTTAGCATGGTGGTAACACTACTTTCAACCAATAGAAATATTTGGTTTGGATAACATTTTAGTTTAAATGAGTTTGCCACAATTAATGAAGAGGAAGAAAATCTAGAGGCACGATGGTCATTAATGAGTGAGGAGGCAACTCATGTTTGTTGTTGCTTTAACTTGGGGAAGGAGTGCACTAATAGGATAGGGTTGGGGATTATCAAACATATACGACAAAATTTTAGAAAGAAGACCACAACCTCACCACAGTATAGTACAAAAATAATATTTCTTCTGTTATCATGCACATGTCAAATACCAACACTGCTTTAACCCACTTTCCTAACCAACCTAGCCTCGTACCCGCCTCCATCTCGCTTCACAACCACATACGGCATATGCGTCCCGCAAACCCTATCCCAGATCGAGAAAAACGCCTGCGAATAGTTATACTTGCTCCCTTGCAGCTGGTGGTGCACGTCGTGGTACGCCGCGTTGTTGTAGAAAACCCTAGGCACCACGTTCCACGGCAGCAGCATCCCGCAGTGGTCGTCCACGGTCTTGACGATGTGGAAGCTGAAGAAGAACACCGACGTCCGGGGCGTCATCCCGGAGAGGATGAACGCGACGCCCCCACCCACCGTGTCGAACACCGCCTCGACAGGGTGGCTGTAGAGCGTCCCGACGGCGTAGGGCACCACCAGGCGGTGGTGCTGGGAGTGTACCTCCCGGTAGAGGAACTTGTTATGGTGCATGTACCTAGGGTTTCAAATGATTATCATGGTAATTATCAAACCGAATTAGTCTAAATTCTATCGACTGTGGAGTACAATATCGTAACCAAAACTAATATACGATCGTAGTTTCTGTAATGAATAAAACATAACAATCAACACATAGTTAACCATTAACGCAAATACATGCAACTAATATAATAATCTTAGAGTCATTAGGAGTAGTCACCTAACAAAAAACTATGTCAATGGTATGAGGTTATTAAATTATGCGCGTGGCTGTGTGAATTGTTTTGTCTCTTAGCAATTATCAGAGGCTGAATGAACTCCTCCCTTTCAGGTTATTATTGATCATAATGTATGAGTTTTTATCTAGATTAAATTAGCTGTTTATATACCGTTCTCTACACTCTACAAAAACAAATGTAGTATACAAACAATAATTAACTTTATTTTTTTATGGATCCAAATGGTAGGAACGCTTGACTATCAAATTGCTATGCAAAGTATTAAGTATGTGTAAATAATATATTAGATACATATGATTAATTGCTTAACTGGTTAATTGAATAGGAGTGTGTGAAATGAAACCAAACCATCTAAACCAAACAAACTAAAATTTTTTTCCAAGCAAAACCAACTATTCAAATTACCAAACTAATTAAATTATCTAAACACTACCTGTTAAAATAATTATCACGTTAACCACTCCATTAGAACACTGCTGCATTTACCTGTGGACGAAGTACTGCCATGCGTCCACGATGAGCATGGCGAGGATGATCTGCGCTATCTGGTGTGGGATGGATGGTTGCTGCTGTTGGGCTGACGTACTAGTTGTGGTTGAGGTTAACTGAAAAACCAAAGTTGAAAGAGGGACTACCCAAATAGATAATTTGCATGACTAAATTGTAAGGAAATGAAAGTCTAGGTATGCCAAGAATACAAGAACTCAAGGAGTTTTCATCTCTTTGGTATCAAGGTCAATACATAAATGGTAACTTAATACTCTATGTGTATAATGGTCTATATTAGTTGGAAAAGAAAGATTTCAACTAGGAATGGTAAGGGGTAGGTTAGACGGATATCTCGATATACATACTCGTCCATGGTAGATTAGGTTCAGGTTAGATGATTTATTATGAGGCTGGTCACGACAGGTATCATATGTGTATGTTATTTAATGATAATTGTTTTTCCAATAAAAATCAAGAAACAAACTATAACATGAAAAATATAATTAAATTATTCGATAAATTGAGATTCTCATATACTTACCTCTTTATTATAGCTAAAATATGAGATAATAAAAGTAAAAACTCTTAAGTAAATCGAGTAAAACATTTAATATAGGCAAAACGAGTTGAGATTAGGGCAGGTAAGCTAGAAAAGAGTACCAATGGCTGCCTCACCCCGTCTATACCCGCTACAAAACAAATCGTGTAAAATGGATTACGTTGAAATTGTCATCCCTAATTCCAATTTAGACATGAATAGAAAACTTGATTTATCTACGTACATATACATGTTCATCCAATACTTGTTAGAAAGAAGAGACGACATATAGTTACGATAAAATACTTATGATTCACTCAAACATATATTCACTAAAAAATGTTCGTTCAAGTTTAGAGATACTAACACCCGACGTGGAATATATAATTAAAAGATATATAAGAATTAATTCTACACATGTCCCAACTATCTACGTTATTAAGATAAACCGATTCTCGACTCAACTCAACTCATGAGAGCCAAAACTTACCAAGAAGATGGAAAAGCCTATAGTTGTCTGGAGTAGCTGTTGGATCAAAACGCCCTTCACCACACTATGGAACGGCACCAAGTTCTTCTCGTCTTCTTCCTTCCTCGAGTGCAGCCTGTACTCATCCAACGATGGCAGTACGAGCTGGTAAAAGCCAGCATAGAGCCAGTAAACCACCATTGGAGCAATGATTCCCATTGCTTCGTCGCTCACATATCCCTCCCAAAACACCATTAATGCTAATATTGAGACAGAGAGAGAGATTTGCGCAATAATATTGGATCCAACCCAATAATGAACTATATATAAGCTTAGCTTAGCTGGTTATGCCGATGTCAACACAGCTAGCTAGCTTACCTAATTAAGCTCGATCCCTCCAAGTTGCAGATGCCGGCCATTGTCATATTGTGTAAAAGAAAAAATGGTGGCTGAGAGATCAAGACCAAGGTTAAGGCATATATAATATATAAGAAACTAAAACAATGCAAATGGAAAGCCGCCCGAGGACAAAAACAAATGGTATAACGGCAGCGGTTTAATGGTATATATTGAAACTTAGAAAATAATTCTTTTTGCACTTTCTGGATTATCTTTTTGCACACGCTTTTAGCGACATCAATCCTTCCTGAAAATAATTCTGTCATTAGACACTTGCCAAGTTTCCTAATTTTATTGCAGGCAAGCTTACTCTTTTTGCCTGCACTCAAATCATATCCATTGGATTTTATAGAAGTGTGGATTATTGGAGAAGAGATATACTGACCATATATATATATATATATTTTTTTTGCTTATTAAGAATGTGTTTCTAACTCTGCCTAATGGTCAAAAGGCAGCAACTACTCACATAGGCATAGTGAGATTACCTTGTGACCACATTCTCCATCAAGTTCTTTATGTCCCATGCTTTTCTTTTGATTTGATCTCAATCATCAAATTAACAAAAACTCTTCCTATCACATGTGTACTTACCTTCAAATCATTCTTCTGCGAAATCCAGGACCTGCTTATCAAGAGGAGGATTGGCTTGGTCCATCAAATTAGAGAATTTTACCGAATGTCTCAATGCTCACATTCCGTTCTCGTCCTTGATGCCAAAGGAAAGTCACCCTCCATTGCAGCATCCTACAATCACTCACAACAAAATATGGACCTGTGGCACTCACTGCTAGGACACCCATTCTTCATTAAGACAAAGTGCTATCCATAAAAGTCATGTAGTTGAGAAATTTGTAGGAGTTCATTGCGAAACTTGTCACTTTTTCTTTGTTCTAAAACTGTAAAACATACCCAACTCTAAATAGGATATTATTTGCCTTTTTCTTTGTTCTAAAACATACATAAATGTGGAGGTGCCGGTATTAAAAGTGAATTGGTTGAAGGCGAATAGTAAGATTATATATATTGTTTTTCTTTTGTATATAATAACATAGACCCAATTAGAGCCATATGGGCCCGACCAGTGAACCTCTCATTCTAATTCAGTGCTCTCCGAACAAATGGATTGAGCCAAATCGGACCCAATCCAAACCCAAATTATTAAGAATGCATATATATGAGTCCATCTAGGTCCAACCCAAAACCATACGGGTCACGATAATTGGACCCAATTACCCAAATGAATTCACCTATAATCATCCCTAAACATGTTTATTCTGCTTTATACAGGAACTCGTAATCATAAATTACCATTCAATACGTACATCATAAAAGAATATAAATTTCATCATGATCACATACATATATCCAAATACCAACACATGCAGCTAGCTTTTTAGCCAACTTTTCCTAACCAACCTAGCCTCGAACCCGCCACCATCCCGCTTCACAACAACGTACGGCATGTGCGTCCCGCAAACCCTATCCCAGATCGAGAAAAACGCCTGTGAATAGTTATACTTGCTCCCTTGCAGCTGGTGGTGAATATCATGGTACGCCGCGTTGTTGTAGAAAACCCTAGGCACCAAGTTCCACGGCAGCAGCATCCCGCAGTGGTCGTCCACGGTCTTGACGACGTGGAAGCTGAAGAAGAACACCGCCGTCCGTGGCGTCATCCCAGACAGGAGGAACGCGACGCCGCTGCCCACCGTGTCGAGCGCCGGCTCGACGGGGTGGTTGTAGAGCGTCCCGACGGCGTAGGGCACCACCAGGCGGTGGTGCTGGGAGTGGACCTTACGGTAGAGGAACTTGTTCTGGTGCATGTAGCGGTGGACGAAGTACTGCCACGCGTCGACGATGAGCATGGCGAGGATGGTCTGAGCGAGCTGGTGTGGGATGGATGGTTGTTGTTGTTGTTGTTGTTGGGCTGGGGTTGAGGTGAACTGAAAAAAAAAGCAAGAGTTAGAAGAGGTATTAGAGTATGTGTAGTACGAATATTATTACGATGGTATATATAGTAGGGGTAATGTGTGTTAGCGAACTAATCACTTGGCCCTAATAACTCGAGTTGTAGGGAAAGGGATAGTTAAGTCTTTTAACCTCTTATACGCCCCTCAAACGAAAGTCGATGCCGAATTGTGGATTTTTTACGGTTTGCACAGGTTGAACCCTTGTGCTGCCAAACCACGAGGCTTTAGTTTGCACAGGTTGGACATACCATCCCTTGTGCTAAACAAATGGCTGAAAATGGGGTCGTCATGAGGATTCGAAACCATGACCTTTCGGTTCTAGGCTCTGATACCATGTTAGCGAACTAACCACTTGGCCCAATAATTGGGGGCCAAGTGGTTAGTTCGCTAACACTGTGTTTGTGTAACTTATCAGCTGAGTCTTATTTCGTAGGGCTGGCTATTTGGACTGGGACCGGATGAAAAATCGGAAACCGGACCGTATAACCCAGACCGAGACCGGACCGGGACCGGATAGTAAACAATCCAATCCAATCTTTGGGCTTAGATTTGAGGTAAAAAACCGGATAAAGACCGGATAAGAGAGCTCAACACCCAAAACTTAAGGGTAATTTGCATAAATGGTCACAAACCTTTGCACTTAGTACAAAACTTAACCAACTCCTCACCCTTTTAAGCCTTAGGCCACTCAAATTCCCACAATCTCAATATAAAATCAAGACCGAATTGGGACCAGACCGGGTCAAGACCGGACCGGATCAAGACCGGACTGTATCCAATCCAATCTTCGGTCCTTATATTTTCAAAAAAACCGGACTGGATCGGATCAATTTGGGCCAATTTAACCGGACCGGACCGTATAGCCACCCCTACTATTTCGTATTAGTCTGGATTTTCATGTTAGAGTCGTGGAAGTTAGGTATTAGAGTATTGTATGTGTAATTTTGAGTAAGTGGGTATATGATGAATTAATTGAACATCTCCCAACAACTTGAAGTTATCTGGATCAAATGGTTGTTGACATGGTACCAGGGTCTTGTGTGATTGAGAGGTGTTCTGTTGGAATCCCTGGGACGCCCATTGGTATAAGCACTTGGAGTCTGATGCCCGTGCAAACTTCACGCCCATAAAAATATGATTTTGTTTGAGGGTGGTGTGATAGTATATATGTGTGTTAGATCCATTATTGAATATCAACCGATAACTCGAGTTATTGTAAACAACTAGTTCATGATAAGAGAGATCCAAGTATAGATAATTTGCAGGACTAAACGGCAAGGAACTAAAAGTAAAATGTATGAAAAAAGTAAAAGAGGGCAAAAGGAATTTGCATATCTTTGGTATCAAGATCAATATGTATGACTTATGAGAATAAGAAGAGACTACATATAGTTATAAATGAGATATTTATGAGTTTAAGTCACTAAAAAATGTTTAAAAAAATAGCGACAGTTGATTAGACATATAACGAAATAACAAATAAGATTCAATTCATTCTATATTATCTCTCACGATCATCTAACTAGGTTATTGAGATAAATCGATTATCGACACAACAACTGAGAGGCAAAACTTACCAAGAAGATGGAAAAGCCTATCGTTGCCTGAAGTAGCTGTTGGATCAAAACGCCCTTCATCACACTATGGAACGGCACCAAGTTCTTCTCGTCTTCTTCCTTCCTCGAGTGCAGCCTGTACTCATCCAACGACGACAGTACGAGCTGGTAAAACCCAGCATAGACCCAGTAAACCACCATTGGAGCAATGATCCCCATTGCTTCGTCGCTCACATATCCCTCCCAAAACACCATTTTGCTATACTCTGAGAGAGAGAGAGAGAGAGAGAGAGAGAGAGAGAGAGAGAGAGAGAGAGAGAGAGAGAGAGAGAGAGAGAGAGAGAGAGAGAGAGAGAGAGAGAGAGAGAGAGAGAGAGAGAGAGAGAGAGAGAGAGAGAGAGAGAGAGAGAGAGAGAGAGAGAGAGAGAGAGAGAGAGAGAGAGAGAGAGAGAGAGAGAGAGAGAGAGAGAGAGAGAGAGAGAGAGAGAGAGAGAGAGAGAGAGAGAGAGAGAGAGAGAGAGAGAGAGAGAGAGAGAGAGAGAGAGAGAGAGAGAGAGAGAGAGAGAGAGAGAGAGAGAGAGAGAGAGAGAGAGAGAGAGAGAGAGAGAGAGAGAGAGAGAGAGAGAGAGAGAGAGAGAGAGATCCCACCGTGTTTGAGAAGCTGGCCATTGTCACATTGGGAGATTATAAGAGAACAACGGTGGCTGAGAGATCGAGACACGGTCAAGCTAAGGCATATAAATATACATTAAGAAATCAAACAAGGCATATAAATATACATTAAGAAATCAAACAATAACAATAATGCAAAGGAAAGGGTCTCGAGAGGACGAAAAAAAGGCATAACGGCCGCCGTTTCATGGAACATATTGTTGAGACGTGGAAGTTAAGCCATGCAGGACATTTTCGTTCTTCTCGTCTTTCGAAGAAGACAAACGTAAAAAAAAAAATGGTCAGAGAATCAGACTGGCCAAGTCCAACCCCCCAATCCCAATCTTGCTTGCTCATGTCAAACAATCAATCCAAACGGAAAGGACGACAGAAAGATTTTAGCATGGTATCTTTAAATGTCAGGACTAGTTCACGGAAAAAAAAGCCGTGCTTTCCAAAAGTTTCAATATAATCATCTGTAGAGGTGACAGTTAGGATTCATATTCATGAATCCAATTCAATCCATCCATCAAATTATTCACATAATTCAATTTATTTAAATCTAATTGAATTGGTCGATTCATGGATTGATCCATGGATTGATCCATGAATCCAAATGACATATTACGGTTTAGTACCTATACTTGTAAAATTTTACACTTTGGTACCTAAAATTTATTTTTATACGAAATATATCATTGGAAACTTACGTTTTGGCACCTAAAATTTTTCATATGACATTTTAGTATCTAAACTTTTCAAAATTTACATTTTGGTCCAAGGGGATCCACCAATCCAATCCACCAATCTACCCATACGTCATATACATAGGCTTAGTGTACAAACCCTAACCATGCAGCATGTACGTTTACAGCAATTACATTATAGTACCTATACTTTATATTCTCAAAACACCCTCCCTCAAATTGATTTCGGGCGCGCGCCGCAACATCAATTTGAATGATAGGTACCAATATCGACTGGACGCCATTATCTTGATTGGTATATCAGCTGTCTGATCCTCGATGGAAAGATACCCCGATCTGTGGATGACTCCCTCTGCCACTAGCTGCCTGATTATGCCAATAATATATGAGAAATGAAACAATATACAAAAAGCCCTCCCGATCGAGGACTAAAAAAGGGATAACAGCAGCCGTTTAATGGAATATATTAAAATGTATAAGTTAAAACCATGCATGCAAATGCGGGGATCGGCTGACTTGATCTTCCGGAAAACCCCAAAAAAAATAAAAAAATTATCTGTGAATAGCTCCGATCAGCATCAGGACGTATATCCGGATTGGAAGAATAACAATGTATGCTGCCGGCGGCGACTACCGAGGCTTTGAAGTTTGAAACATTCCATTATTATTATTATTATTTCTCAAATAATCGATTCCATAATAATATTGTTGAAAGACTCACCGTCACATGCTTCCAACTACTGAAGCAAAGAAACTAAAAAACTGGTCGTTTGGCCGCCCAAACAAATTCCACTGTAAACAAAACAGATTCCATTGGAAACTGTGGGGGAGCTAACGGCGGTGATTCCCAACAGAATCCACTGGAAACAGTGGTAGAGCTAAAGACGGTGATTCCCAGAGGGAATAACGGTTGTCATTTGCCATATATATATATATGAGTCATATTGATATACTCGTTAAGTATCTATCAGTTCGGACATTTTTAGTGAGATGTTTCTATTTGGATAATGAATTAAATTGAATTTGAAGTATATATATATATGGGGAGTTCTACGGTACCTAGGGTGAAATCCAGGGTACCGCATACATTGAGTATGAAAATGCTATCTAGACCTCGAATTGACTAATCTTTCGAACATGATACTATACTCTAACCCTTAAAGATCAACATCTAGGTCTTAGTTCTCTAAATCTTATGCCCCAAGATCAATTTAATTAGAAACAATAATCGACGGTTATGATTCGTCCAAATATAGACATAAAAAAAAAATTATGTCCTCAAAGCTGACGTGGCAGGTGAGGTGGACATTGACTAACGGTCAACAAGTTTGACCATGCTAGGAGGCGTAGTCACTCTGTCAATCTCTGGAATGACTCCAAGAACTGAGGCCATTTTCCTCTGCTTCGCCATGTTGAAAGCTGTGGATGATCACTGTGGGATTTGGTTCCCTAGATGGAATCTAATACAACGGTTGTTTACGAACAGTTGTGCGTACCATGATGTTCACCATCAAGTGCGCGGTGGGAAGTACAATTTTTCTCAGCCGTTTTTCCCCTTTTGGGACAAGGTTTTGGGGACTCATATGCCTCATGTCGTTTTGAGGCGTCCAGAAGGAGGATACGAGGTGAAGATGGTTAAAGACTTAGCAAACTGCAGCTAGTCGATCGATCGTGTTACTTCGTTGGGCTACAAGTTTGCTGATCGTAAAGGTTTAATAACAATTAATGTGATCACTAATAATGGAGCAAGTGTTTGGAAGATAGTTCCTCGTAGTATAAATTAATAACAATGTGATCACTATAATAAATGTACAAGTGATGATACACATATATATATATAGTGAGTGATTTGGAGACAACAATAAATTACAACAAGTGAAGTATGTAGTGAAAGATTACAACGTGTCATTTATGAATTTTATACATATATATAGTGACTACTACGGTGCACTCACAAAAATGAGTGCGTTCAGTGCACCCAACTCAAAAACTAGTATTAAGGTGTCGAATTTTGAATTTTAATTTGTAGAATTAGTTTAATATGATAATAACATATGATAACAACTAATTAGCGGATTACCCTAAGCCTTAGACCTTCAATTTTGAGTTCTATCCCTAAACCCCAAATCGTAAACCCTAACCCTAAATCTCTAAACCCTAAATCCTTCAAATGAAAGTAAATTTTTAATGGTTTTTGTGCAAATTCATGTGCGTTATTGTTCATCACATCATAAGTGATGATTGGCATCATTTTGACATAAATCGCATGTTTACTATGACGGTTATGAAGTGAGTGCACTGAATGCACCAAAAAAGTGAGTGCACCGAATATTAACACCGCGGAACGGTCCAGTCAAACTCAAACCCTTCCGTCACAAACAAGCCCCTAAACATTCCCTTCAAGTACTCATAATCCGGTTCATCCTCAAACCGCAGCTCACGCCGGCAGTAACGGAAATACGGTTATGAAGTGAGTGCACTGAATGCACCAAAAAAGTGAGTGCACCGAATATTAACACCGCGGAACGGTCCAGTCAAACTCAAACCCTTCCGTCACAAACAAGCCCCTAAACATTCCCTTCAAGTACTCATAATCCGGTTCATCCTCAAACCGCAGCTCACGCCGGCAGTAACGGAAATACGCCACAAAGTCGTACGGCAAACCTTCCCTAAGCGACTCTTCCGATATCGAAACCTTCGTCATCTCGCCCATTTTCTCGTATCTCCAATCCGTCTTCCCATTTCTCGTCAAATCCTGCCACGGCAGACCGCCACGTAGGAAATACACCAACGCGTAACCAAGAGACTCCAAATTGTCCCTCCTGCTCTGCTCGACTCCACGGTGGGCACTCACGCTAGCGTACATGGTCCCTTAGGTCCCTGTGCTTCGTCGCGAGCCCATAGTCGATCAGGTAGACCCTCCCGGCCCAGGCCCATCGAGAAGTTCTCGGGCTTCAGGTCGTGGTGGATGAAAGCCCTTCGAGTGCACGAATTAGACCCTGTCGAGGAGCTGGAGGGCGAGCATTAGGGTTGTTTTTAGGGTGAACCTCTTGTGGCAATGGCTTAAGAGGTCCCCCAGGCTCGAACCGAGGAGCTCGACGACCATTACGTTGTAGTAGCGGTTGTTGGACTCGACGGTTCCGAACCATTTTAGCTGGGGGACCCCTGTCCCGCCCTTGAGGAGTGTGTACAGGCTGGACTCGCGGACGAGCTGTGGTGGTGATTGGCTGGTGTACGTGGACTCGATCTTGATGGCGACTTGTTCTCCGGTTTCGAGGTTGGTGCCTTGGTAGAGCTCGACGAACGAGCCGTTGCCGATTTTGCTTTCGAGCTTGTGGTTATAGTATAGTTCTTAGTATTACCATGTCCTTATAGTATAGTTCTCTTACTTATTGTCCAAGTCTTGTAATCTATATAAACCCCTTTGTGGTTTCATAATAATTATACACTTTGGTACCTAAAATTTATTTTTTATACAAAATATATCATTGGAAACTAACGTTTTGGTACCTAAAATTTTTCATCATGACATTTTAGTATCTAAACTTTTCAAAATTTACATTTTGGTCCAAGACTTGGATGTGATTTGGATTCATGGATCAATCCACCAATCCATTTGATCCATGGATCCACCAATCCAATCCACCAATCTACCCATACGCCATATACATACGCTTAGTGTACAAACCCTAACCATGCAGCATATACGTTTACAGCAATTACATTATAGTACATATATTTTATATTCTCAACACCCTCCCTCAAATTGATTTTGGGCGCGCGCAACATCAATTTGAATGATAGGTACCAATGTCGACTGGACGCCATTGCCTTATTAATTAGTATATCAGCTGTCTGATCCTCGGTGGAAAGATACCCGATCTGTGGATGACTCCCTCTGCCACTAGCTGCCTGATTATGCCAATGTCAAACACGGCTAGCTAGCTACCTGAGCTCGAGAGATCAAGACAAGGTTAAGGCATATAATATATAAGAACAGCCGTTTAATGGAATGTAATAAAACGTATTAGTTAAAACCATGCATGCAAATGTGGGGATCGGCTGACTTTATATATCTTCAGAAAAAACAAAACTAACCAAGAATCCGTGAATAGCTCCGATCAGCATCGGGACGTATATCCGGATTGGAAGAATAACAATGCATGCTGCCGGCGACTACCGAGCTTTGAAACATTCCATTATTATTACTATTATTATTATTATTAATTATTATTATTATTATTAGTAGTAGTAGTAGTATATATAGGAGCTGCAGGTTCCATAGCTATTATAGTCAGTCCATAGATCAAAAACAGAATAGAACATAAGAATGGCGTTGTGGGAATTAGGTAATTATGTGAGTGATGAGACAATGGCGATCTTTGGTCCAGTCGTAGTTTACTGGTTATACGCTGGCTTCTACCAAATTGTTCTGTCTTCTTCAAATCTTCTGGATGAGTACCGTTTGCATACGAGGGAGGAATCGGCAAAGAAGACCCTGGTGCCAATTTCAAGGGTGATTAAGGGTGTTCTAGCTCAGCAGTGTCTGCAAATGACAATTGCGTATCTCTATTACTTCGGGGTTAGTATACGTGTATCTTCATTCAAATTTTTTCTTAACTTCGTCACTGATTAAAATCGTTCATTCCGATCGAGAATGTTTTTATCTTCAACAATATAGGACCGAAGCTGACTGAATAGCACTATTGGTCCGGTTCTTGATCTTAAGATATCTTTCATTATTGGACCGCGGTTCTCATGAGTTTGGTCTGCGATTCGGTTCGGATCAGACCGATCCCCACCCCTGCATGTTAGACCATATTTTACGTCTAGATCAATAATATATCCAGTTATTTTACTATATATTTCGACTAGAAGATAAACTTTTTGTATCACTTCATGAGGGTTTTCTATCGATTAATTCGAACTCATAACTTCAATAACATTTGCATCATTCAAAATTGAGCTCTACATCATTTACTCCATTTCACACTTTTTTTTATGTTGCCCGTATATATATTGTGCATGCAATATCATATTCTATGTCTAGGTAGATATCGCGATCGAGATCCTAATACATCAAAATTTTGTTCAGTTAGGGGAGAATTTTTTTTTGTGGTTCTCTCTCTTTATGTAGGTTTTATTCTTTGAATTAATCTAAAACGTATTACATCAATGCACATTTATAGTTAAAATCTGATGGATCTGCATCGAAAGCGACGAGGATCATCGTCGTCCAACCCTCCATTCCCATCAAGATCCTACAGATCCTCATTGCGATGTTCGTAATGGACACGTGGCAGTACTTTGGTCATCGTTACATGCACCACAACAAGTTCTTGTTCCGCCATGTCCATCAGCAACACCACATCTTCGTCGTGCCTCATGCCATTGGAGCGCTCTACAACCATCCCGTCGAGTCTCTGTTGCTCGACACGCTAGGAGGCGTAGTCGCTCTGCCAATCTCTGGAATGACTCCAAGGACGGAGGCCATCTTCTTCTGCTTCGCCACGTTGAAAGCTGTGGATGATCACTGTGGGATTTGGTTCCCTAGAGGCAATCTCATCCAGCGGGTTTTTACCAACAGTTGTGCCTACCACGATGTTCACCATCAAGTACGTGGTGTGAAGTACAATTTTTCTCAGCCGTTTTTTCCATTTTGGGACAAGGTTTTGGGGACTCATATGCCTCATGTTGTTTTGAGCCGCCCCGAAGGAGGATACGAGGCGAAGATGGTTAAAGACTTAGCAAACTGCAGCTAGTCGTGTTTGCTTCGTTGGATTACAAGTTTGTTGATCGTAAAGTTTTTATAATCACATGAAAATTGGTCTTCCTATGTAAGGGGAGTGTAACATGTGATAAATATTAATGGAGCAAGTGTTTGGAACATGGTTTCTCGTAGGGGGTGAGCAGTGGGTGGTTTTATGTGGATTTTGGTGGGTTTAGAACCATTCACTACGTGGTGGGGGGACGGAGAAAATGACTCGCACCAATCCAAACATTATATGCCATAGGATTACATAATTTCAATAGTTTTAAACTTAAAATTTTAAACTAAATAAAGCTTAATCCATAAATCAGGTGAATCATTTATTTTACAATATTTCTATTGGTATTGTACACAAATTATAAAATATTCAACTGATAAACGTGGTCTAAGCCTGATAATAATAAAGGTTCGAGAAGGCACTAGGCACAAGGCAAACGTTTTGGTCTTACCTAGTGTCTCATTCGCCTAGGCATTGTGAGCGTAAATGATTTTTTAACTTATAGTCACAAATTACAATTTCAAATTGATGGAAGGAATGAAGGACGAATCGGTGGTAGTTTGAGAAGGTGTCATTTTGGGGAAGACAACTGTCTTTTCTTCTGCCATTTATCTACTAGTTATGCTTAAGTGTACCTAAGCACACCTCACAACACAACCTTTTATCGAAATTGAGAGGAATTTTAGTGATTTTGAGGGTTTCATTTTCGGTAAAGCTATATGTTAGGACTATGATGTTTTGAGGTTAAAAAATTGGGTGGGTCGTGAGTCAATCACTGTCCATCCGCACCCACCCAATCTTTTGTGGATAACCTATTTTACAACCCACACCCACCTATAAGAACCACCCACATGATAATAGGTGTGCCGATTGTGGATGGATTTGTGGGTTCCGCTACTAAATGTTTTTTTTTTTTTTCGCAAAGTCAGTTGTTATAAAATCAGTCATACAGAGAAAATAAAAAGAGCGCGGGAGTCGACCAATTGTCGAACTCCCGATGAGAGGGCCTTTTATGCCACATGATGGGCAGCCCTATTGAGACAGCGAAGAACAAAACAGTAAGAAACCCAACTAAAAAGAAAAGTCAAGCTCTGAGCATCCTGCAAGATAGTTCCATCCGGATCATGAGCCAAGTCACCTGTCTGAGGAAGTCTCTCCGATATCGGGAGCTCTTCTGCGTGCCCCTACAAAAAAACAAACAAAACACACAAGCGTCCCCACTGTAGGACATCTAAGCTCCACCACGTGGACTTAAACAAGCCATTAAGGCTTAGTTGGATACACCGAATCCAAAACTATGTCAAGCTAATATAATTTTTTTTATAGGGATAGTTAAAGAAAAGCAATAAAATAAAACGGACGAAATTGACAAATAAAATGAAAAAAATGGAGGGTAAGTATCAAAAGAAAACAAATAAAAATTACTAATAAATAATCAAGGAAATGTATAGCGGTTAATTAAAAAATAAAGGAAATAAAAAATGACTAAATTGCAGTAACGTAAAAAATGGAAACTGAGGAATCTGTTTGAGTTACTTACATGGAGCAGTTACGCCATTCAAAAATGTGTGAAATTGCAATTAATTAAAAAACATAGTTACCAATTACTTGCAGCATCCCACAAGACCCGACCGTTCAGTTACCCCAAGTAACCACCATCTGTCTTCTCTTCCATGCGCCGATGTAACCTTAGACCCCGGCGAAACTCGTCGTGCGACTCCTCCTCTTCATCTCCGCCAGCACCGCCGCCAGGGGCACAGCCGGACCGCTGGTACACGGAGGTGATGATCGGGTTGCAAATCCGCCTCTACACGCGCCATGGCGGATCATACGATCAACAACAAGCTCGGCGACGATCTTGTCGAAGAGATTCTGATTCGCCTCTCCAATCACAGGATCGCCTGCCGCTGCAAACTCGTCTGCCGGCTGTGGAACTCCGTCATCGTCTCCGACAACCACTCCTTCAACCGTCGTTTCGTTTCCCACCGCCAGACCATGACTCCCAATCCCAACGACCTCAAATCCATGGTCCTCAGCATCATCCCTCCCTTATGATTTGGCTGTTTGAATTCTGAAAGTAGTCATGGGATTAAACTCACCGGCCACTTCTGGAGGCGACAGCGGTTGATTGGAAGAGGAGGAGACCACAGCGGCGAGGAGGACAGCGACGCAATCGATCTTCCTTCTTATTATCCAATTCGCGCGCTGGGGAAAGGAACCGCCGTGGAGAGGGTTTGTGCAGCGCCAGGGGAAGGAAAAGGGAATTTGGGGAAAACTTAAGAGCTGTTCTTCAAAAGATCCAATTTTTTACACAATACAACAATGGCAAAAAAGCTCATCCAGAAGGAACAAACAAAAATGAGAGGAAACCAAATAAGTCCAAGTCAACAGACAGGGAACAGAACAAACTACAAAGAACGGAGAAACAAAGGGCCCAAACAGTCCAAAAGGGCGGGCAATAATCCTACTGCAAAAACACAAGCAATACAACGGGGAAAGGAAAGCAAAAAACTAAGCTAATATGCAGCAGCTTTAAACCCCCCCACTTATTCTGATTTCTTTGAATGCGAAAGAGAGGGACCGATCTAAGGAAGTTTAGCTCGGTTTGAGGTTTGCATACGTATTTCTAGTATTCCGCTACTAAATGTTCACTCCTAGTTCCTAGTAGTAAATTAATACCAATGTGACTATAATAAATGTACTAGTGAAGCATGTAGTGAAATATTACAAACAATGTGTCCTTTATATATATATATATATAAGCAATTAATAGAAACCTTCATCTCGCCCATTTTCTCGTATCTCCAATCCGTCTTCCCATTTCTCGTCAAATCCTGCCACGGCAGACCGCCACGTAGGAAATACACCAACACGTAACCAAGAGACTCGAAATCGTCCTTCCTGTTCTGCTCAACTCCACGGTGGACACTCACGCTAGCATATATCGCCGTCCCCGCAAACCCTACCTTGTCTTCCACGTAGATATGCCTCCTGTGGTCCCTTAGGTCCCTGTACCTATTCGCGAGCCCATAATCGATCAAGTAAACCCTCCCGGCCCACCGGCCCAGGCCCATAACGATGTTCTCGGGCTTTATATCGCGGTGGAGATAGCCCTTCGAGTGCACGAATTGGACCCTGTCGAGGAGCTGAAGGGCGAGCATTAGGGTTGTTTTCAGAGTGAACCTCTTGTGGCAATGGTTCAAGAGGTCCCCCAGGTTCGGACAGAGGAGCTCGACGACCATTACGTTGTAGTAGCGGTCGTCGGACTCCACGATTCCGAACCATTTTAGCTGGGGGACCCCTGGAAGAGGGTGTACAGGCTGGACTCGCGAAAGAGCTGCGATGGAGATTGGCTGGTGTACGTGGACTCGATCTTGATGGCGACTTGTTCTCTGATTTCGAGGTTGGTGCCTTGATAGAGCTTGCCGAAGGAGCCTTTGCCGATTTTCGTTCCGAGCTTGAATTTGTCGACGACGGCGGCATGGTCAACGTTCGGTGAGCTGTCCATCGTTTGTGGATAAACCGTGAGCGACAAGAATTTGGGAGGATTGTCGTGGGAAGGAGTTTTTTTTAGGGTTGAGAGGATAAGGGTCGATAACTATTTTCCAAACTCATATCCGTCAAGGATAAGGAGAGAAACTAATGTAAAGAAAACCCAAAGCCTCACCCCCACCAAAGGCCCAACCGGAGACTAGATATCAAAAGCCCAACTGTAGACTAGAGATCAGTAACCTGGCCTCCATCTAGGGATGACAATAATATCCGAAACCGTGGATATCCGTCTGAATCCGACTTAATCGGATAGGGTAAAACTCGAACTCAAACGATTTTTAGTGGATATGGGTAAAATCCGAACCAGAATATTGCGGGTAATAGGTGAACATGAATTTCTCACTATCCAACCCGAACCCGCCCGATTATATATATATATGTATATGAATTTTCTATAGAACTTATCATTATTTTTCTCAACATAATTTATATTTAGCATACAAATATAGTATTGTCATGAAATTGTGTTGTTTAAAATTAATTTTCTTCATTCTAGTGAATTATTTCCGTACTTTTCCACTAATCTAATGTGAGTATATGTATGGATATTAACATGTTGGTTGGAGTTATAAAGAGAAAATATTACCCATTGATAACCGTGGATACCCAAAACCCGAACGGGTATGGGCATGATTTTGATTTTCTTCCCGAATCTTATGTGGGTATGGGTATGGATAAAACCCGAACTCGTTTGGATAGTATAACGGATATGCACTATCCGTCTCCAACTCGACCCCATTCCCATCAAGATCCTACAAATCCTCGTTGCAATGTTCGTAATGGACACGTGGCAGTGCTTCGGCCATAGATACATGCACCACAACAAGTTCTTGTTCCGCCATGTCCATCACCAACACCACATCTTCGTCGTGCCTCATGCCATTGGAGCCCTCTACAACCACCCCGTCGAGTCGCTCTTGCTCGACACGCTAGGAGGCGTTGTCACTCTGTCAATCTCTGGAATGACTCCAAGAACTGAGGCCATTTTCCTCTGCTTCACCATGTTGAAAGCTGTGGATGATCACTGTGGGATTTGGTTCCCTAGAGGGAATCTGATCCAGAGGTTGTTTACCAACAGTTGTGCCTACCATGATATTTTGAGGCGGGAGGTACAATTTTTCTCAGCCGTTTTTCCCCTTTTGGGACAAGCTTTTGAGAACTCATATGCCTCATGTCGTTTTGAGGCGGCCCGAAGGAGGATACGGGGCAAAGATGGTTAAAGACTAGGTAAAATTCAGCCAGCAGTCTTTTGTTGGTCGTAAAATTTGAATAATCTTAGCTAGAAGGTGAAGAGTTAATTAGTTAAACATGTTGATGCCTAATAATGGAGCAAGGGTTTGGAAGAGGGTTCCTTGGTAGTAAATTAATGACAATGTGACAATAATAAATGCATAAGTGATGCACATAGTGAACGATTTTGAGACTACATTCAATGACAAGTGACCACAAGTGGTGCATGTAGTAAAAGATTACAAAATCTTACGAGGCAGAGATGTAAGGTATTGCGCATCCTGGGTAAAGTATCGACTTTCCGGAAGTCAGTATTGCATCCTTTCAATCAACACCACGAAATTTCCACAAAGAAACAAGACGCTACTGGACCAAACTCTCGTTCACCACGAATGTATTATACTTAAAAAAGATTAGGGACGACGAACAAGTGAAATCGGCTCCGATCGGCATCGGGACGTATATAGGAGCAATAACAATGTATGCTGCCGAGGCTTTGAAAGACTCACCGTCGTCACATGCTTCCAACTACGTACTTATAAAGCCAGAAATGAAAACTGGTCATTTGATTGATAGGCGGCCAAAACAGATCCCACTGGAAACCAAGGCAAGCTATAACGTAAAATTATTCGGGTACGTGGTAATCCAATTAAACGGTGATTCCAAGATAAGAATAACGAATGGAATTAGAGATGTCAATTTAGAGTTAACCCGTTTTATCCAGTTTGTTTTGGGCGGGTCCAACTTTTCTTGTAGGTAGGACGGGACGGGACGGGCACGAGACCCTCCATTGACTTAACATGTCCTGATTAGTCCCATTCTCGACCCGTCTTTGCCTAATTTGCATATAATTTTACTTTTATTACCGCGTATTTTAGCTACAATTAAGTTGCAAATATGCGAGAATCTCAATTCTTTTTAATAGTTTAACTACATTTATCATATTTTACTTTGTTTCTTGGGGTTTTTAATGCAAAAATTGAATATTTACTCATGGTTTCCTTCTAAACTAAATACCCATTGGGTCAACCTGTCACGACCGCCGCCCTATGATGAATTACCCGTCCTGCCACGAGATGGGTATGAGTATCGATATATCCGACCCGGACCTTCCCCATTGCCGTTCCTAGCTGGAATTCGCAATATATATATAATGTCCACATTATTCGAGTCACGGGTATGATTGCATTCATATTAATTAGATGTACATTGTTATATTTCAACAAATTAGAATTTTCGGTTAGTATTGCTAGATTAGACGAATCTATATCCTAACCTCTAAAGGGTGAAACCCAATCCCTAATTCTCTAACTCAAATTAGGACCGACCCTAAGATTATAGAGACCATGTTCTATAAACGAAATGTGGACCCATTTTTCCCCATAAAAATCTAATAAAATTTAAATAAATTATCAATCCTAAATAAAAACAATGAGAACTTAATGTATTCGGAGAGGAGAATATAGGAGAAATTAATAAATTAAAAGTGATTCAATAACGTTAAAATGACTAATATTTTGATTTATTACAAAAGATTTGGCTAATTTTTAGTAATTCTATAAGTTTGGTTAATGAAAAAGAATGGGAAAAAAAATGTTTGGCTAATAATTTTAGTGTGTGGTGTTTACCTTTTTCTTAAATTAAATGAATTACCGGTTACCGCGCCTGTTCTTTTCTTTAAGCAGCGGCCAATATTATTCCATCCTTAGCTAGATTTAAAAGGAAACTAGCTGTTAATTTCTTCTCGTACGTACTATGTTGTTGGAGTTGGTTCCAGGCTCTAAGCTACCTAGTGATGTTTTTGTTTCTTTCTTTTTTTCTTCTTAGAAATGTACGCACTTTATACAGTATATATAGGAGATCGAGCTGGTTCTGTAGCTACTCATCAGTCCCTCGATCAACATATAGAACAACAATGGCGTTGTGGGAGTTAGGTAATTATGTGAGCGACGAGACAATGGCGATCTTTGGTCCCGTTGCAGTTTACTGGTTATATGCTGGCTTCTATCAAATCGTTCTGTCTTCTTCGAATCTCTTGGACGAGTACCGTTTGCACACGAGGGAGGAATCCGCAAAGAAGAACTTGGTGCCATTGCCAAGAGTGATCCAGGGTGTTCTAGCTCTGCAGCTCTCGCAAATAGCGATTTCGTACCTCTATTACTTCGGGGTCGGTAAACATATTTCTTTTCATTCAGATTTCTGGTTTTGCCATTCGGCTAGGGCTGAAAATTACCATGACCCGCCCCTGACCCTGTCCTGACCCTGACTGACCCGCCCCTAAAGGGTCAAGGTGTATAACTGACCCGCCCCGGTTTCCTTTCTTGACCTTGTCTGAGCCTCAAGGGTCGGGACGGGTCAATGGGTCGACCCTTATCAAAATACTTATTTTGCACAAATTATGTATTGGTACCCATAATTATTTTTTCTTACAATTTAGTACCTAAAATTTATTTTTTTACAAATAAGTCCTTAAATTTTGATGGTAAAACTACTACCCAATTTTTTTACAATTTAGTACCTAAACTTTTAAACTTTTACAAATAATTAAGTCCTATGTGTTCGCATGTATAATTTCATGCACTAGTTGTTGCTAAGAGTCACAGGGTCAAAAAGTGACCCTAAGCTGACTCGACCCTACCCGACCCTTATAGGGTCAAAAGATGACTCGACCCTAAACTGACCCTGTTGATAAATTGACCCAGCCCGACCCTCAGGGTCGGGACGGATCGGACAAGGTCAATGGGTTTTTAGGGCCAAGCTTACACCCCTACATTCGGCTATCAGAAACTTTTTGTTCCTACGTCACCCTTATGATGAGAGTTTTCTTTCGAATGATTCGAAACTCAAAACATCAAAATAAACATTTTTTTTTACAGGTAAGAACGGAAGAAGGATCTGCGTCGAAAGCAACGAAGATCATCGTCCAACCGCCCTCCATTCCCATCCAGACCTTGCAGATCCTCGTTGCGATGTTCGTAATGGACACGTGGCAGTACTTTGGTCATCGATACATGCACCACAACAAGTTCTTGTTCCGCCATGTCCATCACCAGCACCACATCTTCGTCGTGCCTCACGCCATTGGAGCGCTCTACAACCACCCTGTCGAGTCGCTCTTGCTCGACACACTAGGAGGCGTAGTCGCTCTGTCAATCTCTGGAATGACTCCAAGAACTGAGGCCATTTTCCTCTGCTTCGCTATGTTGAAAGCCGTGGATGATCACTGTGGGATTTGGTTCCCTAGAGGCAATCTCATCCAGCGGGTTTTTACCAACAGTTGTGCCTACCATGATGTTCACCATCAAGTGCGTGGTGGGAAGTACAATTTCTCTCAGCCGTTTTTTCCCTTTTGGGACAAGCTTTTGGGGACTCATATGCCTCATGTCGTTTTGAGGCGCCCCGAAGGAGGATACGAGGCGAAGATGGTTAAGGACTTAGCAAACTTCAGCTAGTCGATCGTGTTACTTCGTTGGGACTACAAGTTTGTTGATCGCGTAAAGCTTTAATAATCGTTCGCATGAAAATTGGTCTTCGGATATAAGGGGTAGATCGTGTAACATGTGATAACTAATAAAAGAGCAAGGGTTTGGAATATAGTTCCTCGTTGTAAATTAATAACAATTGATGTGATCACTATAACAAATGTACAAGTGATGCACATATATATATATAGCAAGGTTGTCAGCCCGCGGGTCGACCCAGTTTGACCCTGAGAAAAACGGGCCGCACGCCCCCGCGGGGCCGACCGCTATAAGGTACCGGGTTGGAGGTCAAATTGTGTCATTTTTTCCTTTGATTTGCGAAATGCGCCTATTTTCCGATTTTTCTTTTCGCCCAACTCAATCTTTGGAATCCTGAGTTGAACATTTGAATATTTATGTTATATAAGTGTGTGTGAATTTTCATTATATATTGGATCTAAGTACGATATGTTATTTTGGTGTAATATTATATGTTATAACTCATATGTTAGATAAGATTTGATATAATTCATGAGGATAAGTACAATATAATGACTTTTTCCATATTTTCGGGCCAAAACGGGCTAAAACAGTTGACCCATTAACCCTTGACCCACTAGCTCGACCGGGTCCGGGTCAACCCACGGGTTGACAACCTTGATATATAGCGAGTGATTTTGAGACAACAGTAAATTACAACAAGTGAAGTATGTAGTGAAAGATTACAAAGTGTCATTTATGAATTTATAGAAATCGAGTGTACTCGAGTTCTATCCATTTTGATGTTCTTAAAACAATTATTGATGGTATGTGCCGACTCGATTTCTATCCATTTTGATATTGTCAACAATTATTGACGGTCTGTGGTATTTTTAAGGGACGCTTTTGGGTGTTATTCGATATTTTCGTATTAAGGAGAAATCAATTCATTTCATCGATAGTTCGACTCGTTAGGTGGATTACCGCGTTTGATTATTCCAATCTTTGTAATTCCGTCTTTTTTTATTGCTTTTTATAATCAAAGAAAACTTCGTATCAATTGACAAATAAATCAAACCAAACTCGTCGGGAATTAATTTAATATCATCCGATCTGTTTGGGAATGGGGGAAAATAGAGCTTCGATTTGATTGCTCTAAGTTGGAGCAAATGGGGAAAAGTTATTCCTCTCTTATCTACAAGAAGGGTCGGCTGACATTTTCGCTCAGCATTCAAGTAAGAGAGGATCAGCGGAGTTAACTATAAGAGGCTCGGCCGGCAAAGCAAATCCATTAATCCCCCTCAAACTCCACGAGAAAAGGTCGACAGTTTCCATCGTACACCTGACACAGAGGAATCTGTTGGTCTTGGTATAATGTTCAATTATTAAATAATCTTCAAACAATTATTGTTATTGGGATCGACTAGTTTTTGAAATAGTACAAGAGTGTTCTACGATGAAGATATTTTATGTTTGATTTTCGGTGACAGCCCCATTTACGAATTGGACATACTTCAAACCCATATGAGTAGCGTGAGTTTGATGGTCATGTTAGTATGTCGTGTAAGATTCATTATTTAAATCTCTCCCCTCCAATTATTCAGATCAAACGAATTCTTGGCAACCATTATTTATCTTTTTCCCCCCTTCATTTTGATACAATACAAAGTTACATATCAACGAGACAACCTATGGAATTATTTCGTCTGTAATGCTTGTTATTAGCGAGCAGAGAGCGTTTCCAAGATAACTGGTCAAGAAAACTGTAAAAATTAAGTGCACAAATATGTCGAAATTTTCAAGTCGTCATATTTAAAGCATTGTAGGAAATTGACCAATGTTAATTATATTTCAGCCCATCCTTTGCAGTTGGGTTTGTATGTTTTTATGTTTTAATGGTTAGTACATGGTATACAATTTATAATTGCCATTCTATTGATAATACGGAATCAACTAATCATTGAGGTTACATCAAAGCATGACAATAAATAATAAAGAATGAGAAAATTGCGTGTTGATTTGATCGCTTCCAAACCTTCATCATCCATGAAAGCATAAGGCATTAATAAAAAAAAAACACACAATATTAATTATTTTTGGCAACTAATATCAATTCCCTCGACAAGAAGTCTCATCAATTTCGCTCTCCATTCGTGCCAGTGAAGACGCAAACACCCAAATTTAATATACCAATCAAGTTTGGTACCATGAATAGTGGAGGTCTTGTTTCTAGAATTGAAACTTGGTCTAATTTTTTTTTAAATATCACGAAATGAAAATGGTTATGACATCGCTTTTTAAATGATAATCTGAAATATAGAATTATCTATTAACTTTTCAAAATTTTATTCTGCTAGAAATCGTTTCCAATTATCATCGTCATTAACGACTTCTTGTATCATTCTATAATACAAATAGGGCTAACGATGAATACGCAATGTTCGTATATACATGAGAATAATTGACCAATGACTAACACTTGTATTAATTAACGCATTTAAACACATCATCATAACCTTAATCAATCAATTAAACCCCCACAAGTTCATCATATAAAATAGATATGGATCAACTAACAATTCTATATGGTCCATTAGCCGGCCTTGATACCAATCCAAGTCAATACCAAACCAAAAAAACAAAAAAATCCTTGAAAAAGATAAAAGCAAACTTGATTGACTTTGACTATTCCCGATCTATATATAAGCCTCCACTTCGGCAATGCATATTGAGGCTACAAGAAATATGGTGTTTTGGGAAGGTTATGTGAGTGATGAGACAATGGGCACCTTTGCTCCCATTGTAGTTTACTGGCTCTATGCTGGCTTCTTTCAGGTAATGCTGGCTTCTGGTTTTCTGGACAAGCATCGGCTGCATACAAGGGAAGAAGGAGAAAAGAAGAACTTGGTGCCATTATCAAGTGTGATCAAGGGTGTTCTGCTTCTTCAGATTCTGCAGATAGCAACCGCGCATTTCTACTTCTCGGTTAGTCGTTATAACCTATATATGATGATCGTATTGAGGCTAGCTGCACATGGAGTGGCGCGTAAAGTCATGTTGTTTTCTCGTTTAAAGTTAAGAGTCCTTTTTTGATTTTGTTGGGTGGTTTCAACAGTGGGAAGAATCTGAATTGCTAGTGTCTCTCTAATTTGCGAGAAATTTATTATAAATATTAGTCAATTTGTTTAATGACTAGTTGAAAAATTATTTTGAGGATTAACGTAACCATAACCCAACCGCATCCACACATCACATACTCATTCAACCCAACCATTTTTTTTTAATAGATGGCAGGTCAACCCTGATTTTTTTTTTCCCGTTGAATCAACGCTTATTTTCTATGTCACATTTAATGTACGAGTAGTGCAAATGGTGTCTAGCTATTTGCAAATAAAGAAGGGTTGAGTAGGCATATGCATAGAACACATTTTTTTCTTTTCTTATGGATAGAAGAAGATAGACTATGGAATCCTCTAATAAAATCTTTATAATTTAAGTTGTATTTCACCATATAAAAATTCGAATTAAAATATTTACACTTTCCGTGCGTTTCAATATATATTTGTTTCAACAGTATTGAGTCAGAAGTTTAATTATCTCGACATGAAATATATTTGTTACAGTTAACATCGAGTGGAGTTGCAGCAGATCAGATGACAATCCAGCCCTCCGTTCCGATACAGATCCTGCAGATAATCTTAGCGATGTTCGTAATGGACGCGTGGCAGTACTTTGGTCATCGGTACATGCACCGCAACAAGTTCTTATACCGCCACGTGCATTCCCAACACCACAAGCTAGTTGTGCCTCAGGCTATTGGAGCCATGTACAATCACCCGCTCGAGGCTCTCTTTCTCGACATGGGTGGAGGTGTTGTCTCTCTAATCATCTCCGGAATGACTCCCAAGGCCGAGGTTATTTTCCTTTGCCTGGCTTCGATAAAAGGCGTGGATGATCATTGTGGAGTTTGGTTCCCTCGGAGCAATGTTCTCCACTTGTTAGTTGCAAATCGTTCTGCCTATCACGACGTTCACCATCAATCTCGTGGCGGAAAGTACAACTTTTCGCAACCGTTCTTCTCCTTTTGGGACAGACTCATGGGGACTCATATGCCCTATGTTGTGTTGAAGCGCCCGGAAGGAGGTTATGAAGCAAGGATGGTGATGAAAGACTAGTAATTGTGAGATTGTGAATGTATTGCATGAATAATTTGTTATGGTTTGCAAAGAATATTTGAGTTCAAATTTTTTATTAAAATACGTGTATTTCCAAGGGCACGCATACTATGTGTGAGCTGAATATCTTTGGGCTTTATTATGCGAAACATCATAAACAAACCAAGGGCTCAAGCACAACTCTCAAAGAAAATTGGGTTGGACCAGAAAATTAAAAAAAATATGTATTGTGGACAATGTATGGATTGTAACTATACCAACCAATTGTATTACTCATGAAATTTTTGAAATGTATTTTAGTCACTATTTCCCGTGGTTAATTGATTATTACTGTAAAAATTCTGGCGAATAATGTGCAAAAGTTCTGCTTCATTTACATATATATATTTTTTTTAGTCAATCTTTTGTTTGAAGTAGTTACCAGTACCACTCTCATTTTTATCAAACTTTCCCAAATGTTTAGGATTTTAATTTACTGAATTTGTCCCAACACTTGAACTTAAATATTTTATATTTTTTCGGCCTAACTTTTCCCACCCAAAATTCATTTTCCTTTTTTTTTTTTTTTTTTTGCATTAAGAAGGTGTTAAAGTTTTCGCTTTTCGGTTTGAGCGACGAGTTTGTATTCTTCCTTTTTGAGGAAAGAAGTGATGGGTTGGATATAGGCAAGCATGCGATTGTTTTATCGTCCTACTCGACTTTGGTACGTACGAGAATCTTGCCTTTCAAATCGCATTCGTCAAAAAAATGAATTACGTTGTGGTGTTATCTTATTTACTTTCAGAATAATAACAAGTTAGGTGTGAACGGGAGGTATATTTTCTCTGTTTTTTTCAGCGTTGTGTTCGAGAAAATTAACATTATAGGGAACGAGAACACAGAGCGTTGATTTGATCGTCTCCAAAGTCCAAATCCTCATCATGCATGAAAACATAAACACTATGTTTGGCAACAAGGGGGGTGCAAGTTCGAGGGGGGTGCAAGTTGAGGGGTAAATTGTTGGGGGGTGCAATTTGGTGGAGGGTGTAAGTGGAGGGGTAAATTGTTGTTTGGATGAAAAAGTAGAGGGGTGCAAATAAAGTAAAAAGTAAGTAATTATATTATTATAAAATAGATTTATCAATTTATAAAATATTATCACAAAATAATAACATGAAAATTCAATATATAATAATAATAAATAAAAATAATTTTAATAAAAATAATTATTATATAATAATGCTCAAATATAATTATTTATAACAACAATAATAATCATTGGTCGAGCAACCTCGAAACTCAAAATCCAACTCGTAACTGGTCATCCTAAAGAGGTTCTCGTACCTAACTTTAAATTGAATATGGTCAAACTTAGTCAAACACGTTCGAATCTGTAAGTTTTAACTACTTATTAAAGTACATCGAGTTAACTAAACTGTTCCTCTCTATCTTTTCAACAAACGCTTCTTATCTCTAATTTTCAATGCAAATTCGGGTCAACTAAGAGATATCGATTTGACTAGGCGAACATTGACAAACTTGCTCTATGAGTCAAATGGTCAACCCCAAACAACTTCTACACTAATATAGATATAAGAAAAATTTAATAATATTAATTATTATGTAATTATAATCTAATTAAAAATTCATAATTCCCCTCCTCCCCCTTCCCCCTCCCTTCCTTCCTTCCCTTGCACCCCAATTTGGGGGGTAAGCCGAAATAGTGAATTTACGCTCACGTTTTGCACCCCCTACTGTTACAAAATAACCAAACGGGGGTAAACACCTTGGAACTTGTGTTTACCCCCCAAACTTGCACCCCCCTCCATTTACACCCTTCCCAAACATAGTGAAAAGCAATTTCCAAGATAAACAAACAAACCCATTCTGTAAAAATCATATCAATTCCCTCGACGGCTGCCTCACAGAATCAGTAGCTATGTTTGGCATATCTGCCGCTTCTTTAATCGGCAGCTCGCCGGCGGCAAATATTCTGCTTCTTTGAGAGCTCTGCGTATATAAAAGCTGGTTTCTGGCTTAGTTAGAATATTACATATGCATTTCTACTTCTCGGTTAGTACGATATTGTCCGCTTGTCGAAATTGGGTTGCTCAATTAGTACGATATTGTCTGCTTTGGGCCAAGCACGCGCGGTTTTACTATTGGGTGTCCTCCCCAAAAGGATTCGTACTAATTTGACTAGGTGGACACTTATATACAAGGGTTTCTTCCCTTTATCTCCGATGTGGTACTTGGATTATCCCATAACAGTTGTATGACTCAAGTCCTAAGGCTAAGGATGTGTCTAATCATGCTGGAGACATTTTTTTTTGTTACAGCTAACATCGAGTGGAGTTGCACCACGGATGACGACTATCCGGCCGTCGTCCGTTCCGACTAAGATCGTGCAAATCGTCGTAGCGATGTTCGTGATGGACGCGTGACAGTACTTTGGTCACCGATACATGCATGCACCACAACAAGTTACTGTATCGCCGCCTTATGTTGTGTTGAAGCGCCCGGAAGGAGGCTATGAAGCAAGGATGGTGATGAGAGACTAGTAATTATGAGATTGTGAATGTATTGGTTGTGTTGCATGAATAATTGTTATGGTTTGTAAGAACATTTGAGTTACAAACTTTTTTTATTATGAAAATGCATGTATTATTGTATTTCCATTAATATGGTTGTTTTTAATGGGTTGTAATATAGGTTGTTTGTTTGTAGTACATGAGGAATTATTATGGTTTATAATATATCACAATTGTTGGCATGCAAGAATTGGCATGCATGGAAAATGCATACTATGCGTGAGTTGAACCTACAAAACAAGGGCACAACACAAGCACTTGGCCTACATAAAGTCTCAAAGAAAACTGGGTGGGATCAAGTCCTTGGGCCTTATGTTTAAAAACATTCTGTAAGTCCACCACAATAATAATTAGGTTAATCTAATAGGCTGGATTAGAAAGCCAAAAAAGGGTAATTGAGGAATAATGGATATTTAAAAACTAATAAAATATAAAATACATGAAATAAAACGGTAGCTAACATATATTGTATCTGTTTGATGGTTTGGAGGATACACTACAAAAAAATAACTGACTTTTAGTCACGCAATTTTACAGTAATTATTCCGTAACTAATTGTATCACTCTCATCATGGAAATCTATGAATATGTATTCTAGTCGTATTATTTCTCGTGGTTAATTAATTATCACTGTAAAATTCATTCTGAATAATGTGAAAAAGTTCTACTTTATTGAATTTTTATTTTTGTCAATCTTTTGTTTGAAGTAGTTACCACTCTATTTTTTTCAAAGAATTTTGTACTGAAATTTTCCCAACACTTTTTTCATTTTAGAGGGAAACTTTCTTATTTTTTATTTTTTACATTGTTCAATTCTAAATCTTATTCTTATATCATTTACTAACACATCCCCTCAAATGAAAGACCCCATATATGAGTTTGAAATTTGTACAAATCTGAATACCATGTGTTTATATTAGAATCCAATGAATAACATTAACATTTAACTTTCAAATTCATTAAATGAAACACTAACCTTTTCTTATTAAATTCACTAAAAAAGATCATACCAATGATAATCCAAACGATTGAACTACGGTTAAACCACGGTTTTGCCATAAAATACCTTACCGCTGACTTTTTCGGTACGGTCTCCCGATACGGTTTAATGGACCATGCACAAAAAGATAATTTAAAATATAAAAACAGAACAAAGTCGAAAATCAAGCTCCAGTCCAAAACGCCAACAAAGCCAGAGAGAGACGGCAGCATTACTGCAGAGAAAAGTCGCCGCCGCCGCATCTCCCCCGGCAACTCCAAATCCTTCAAAACCCGCCGCCTGCTCCCGGCCGAACCAAGGCATCCAATTCATACATTCTCACCACTGTCCCCAATCCCGTTCATCCTTCTTCTTCTTGTTCTTCCGATTCTCCCTCGCGTAAGCCGTCACACTATTCCCGCGCAGCAACTTCTTTTCGTCCTTTACTTTCCGTCGTCTAGTTGCTGGAACGAAGAACAAGAATCCCTCTCCTGCCAGCAAGCTGGATTTAACATCCAGTTTCGCCGAGATTTACCTGAAACTCTAGCTCAACTTTGCACCCCGTTTTGGCTTTGTATTGGCTTCCTCCACACTACTAGATCTGCAGCAGAGCAATTCTATATTTTCAGCTGCCTTTTCCAGGGCATTTCCTTGTTCTTCTGAGATTTTGGATTTGAGTTGGGATCTTAGAGAATGGTGTTTTGGGAAGGTTATGTGAGTGATGAAACAATGGGGACATTTGCCCCAATAGTGGTGTACTGGTTGTATGCTGGGTTCTATCAAATTTTGCCGCCGTTGGACCAGTATCGATTGCACACGAGGAAAGAAGAGGAGAAGAAGAATCTGGTGCCGTTGGGTAGTGTGGTGAAGGGCGTTGTGATTCAGCAGCTGGTGCAGATTGTTGCAGCTCATTTGCTCTTCTTGGTAAGTCATGCTCCACCAAAGACTTCCGCTTTTACTTTACTGAATTATGTCCTGCTGCTTCTGTTATGAACGTTCTTGTGGAATCTAATGCAATGCGATTGGTGGAAATGAGAGTTGTAGGTGTTTGGTTAGGCATAATTCTTGATAAGGCACGAGCATATCAGTTATTAGGATGGCATTCTGAAATTCGTTTGAGCTTGGAGAACCCGTTGAACTTTCTTCTTGTGTTACTGACTTGGTGGTTCTTCCACTGTAGATTCGTGTCAATCACGTTGATGCAAACCACTCTAGGAGTTTGATTTGCGTGCTGTGTCTTGGGAGAATTATCAGCATCTTAGGCCTTCTAAGACACTTTTACTGGATTTTTTTTATGGAATGGAAAGATTTTAACTTGTTCATTTTACTTTTCCCTAAATGGCATCTCCTAAAGGATGGATTGTCCTGACTTATGGTTAGCCTTCGTCAATTGCAAGAAGGGAAAGAACCTGATTGCTCAGTAGCAAGTGCGTGTAAAAGATGTGGAATGGTTGAACCACAAAAGAAATTTCATACGAAAGAGGAACACATCTCTGTTGCTGGAATGGAATCAGCTCATAGACGGGAGTGTTTTATATAGTAGGGTGTCATAAAGTAAATTCTGAATTCTCAAATTGCAACTTCTGTGGAGATGGGTTCTGATTTATGCTCCTAGGCAAGCAGAGGAAGCAAGTTATTGAAGAGACAGAAGTATGTGTTCTGTGACTGAGTTGCTTCTGTTGTTTGTCACTAGGCAATTTGGCAAATTCTCTCACCTTTTACTTCGTTTTAGATTTGGAATGTGAATTGCAAACTTGATTAAGATATCTATACCAGATAGTTTAAACTAGAAGATAAGCTAGAAGCTCATCTCAAACTGGGTTACTTCTTGTAATTACTAATGACTAACTACTCAACCGTTAACTATTACTTGCAGTTGACATCAACTACAGCTGCATCCGAGGTTGTCATCCAACCTGCCGTTCCTCTCCAGATTGTCCAGATCATTCTAGCAATGTTTGTGATGGACACATGGCAGTACTTTGTTCATCGCTACATGCATCAGAACAAATTCCTATACCGCCATGTACATTCTCAACACCATCGTTTGGTCGTCCCTCAGGCCATTGGAGCCCTTTACAATCACCCCCTGGAGGGTCTATTGCTGGACACAGTTGGAGGTGCAATCTCTTTCCTTGCCTCTGGGATGACCGCAAGAACGGGGGTAATTTTCTTCTGCTTTGCCACGGTAAAAACAGTCGACGATCACTGTGGCCTTTGGTTGCCTGGCAATATCTTCCATCTGTTCTTCGCCAACAACTCTGCCTACCACGACATCCATCACCAGCTCCCAGGTACAAAGTACAACTACTCCCAGCCGTTCTTCCCCTTATGGGACAAGCTCTTGGGGACTCATATGCCCTACGTTCTGGTGAAGCGAGCCGAGGGAGGCTATGAGGCTAAGCTGATGAAAGACTAGTTGCAACTTGTGAAAGTTTGTGGTCTTTTACTTATCTCTTACAGCAGGTCTTTTAACTTGTGGATTGGGGGGTTTTTGCCAGAATTCATAGAGGGAGTTAAAATAGAATTGTTTGTTTAAGTCTGTCTGACCATTTATCACATATAGGAGCCGGTTGGGTAATGGTAAATTTGTTGTGGAAGATATTGGCTGATGTCCTTTCATTGTGTCATCATGTTGTATATTAGTGATTGCAGCTTTCTGTGGCCTTTTGAACTCTGTAAAATATGACGAGTTTCTGGAGCTTGAACCATGAGATGTGGAGTTGCTTTCTGTGGCATTTCAATACAATATTTGAACTCACATGCTCTTTCAAACCATAATACAAATTCACCACCTGACCACTTTTACTCTTTCATCACCATCTTTGCTTCATAGCCTCCTCCAGGGCGCTCCAAGACAACATAGGGCATGTGAGTCCCCATAAGTCTGTCCCAGAAGGAAAAGAAGGGTTGCGAAAAGTTGTACTTTCCGCCACGAGACTGATGATGAACGTCGTGATAGGCAGAACGATTAGCAACTAACAAAGGAAAAACACTGTGCGGAGGGAACCAAACTCCACAATGATCATCCACACCTTTTACAGAAGCAAGGCAAAGGAAAATTGCCTCTGTTCTCGGAGTCATTCCAGAGACTAACAGAGAGGCAACACCTCCTCCCATGTCGAGCAGGAGAGCCTCGAGCGGGTGATTGTACATGGCTCCGACAGCCTGAGGCACAACTAGCCTGTGGTGGTGGGAATGTACGTGACGGTATAAGAACTTGTTGTGGTGCATGTATCGATGGCCAAAGTACTGCCATGTGTCCATCACGAACATCGCTACTGCGATTTGCAAGATTTGAATCGGAACGGAGTGTTGGATGGTCTTTGGTGACGTGAAGTCAGTTGACGTTAACTGTAAGAAAAAAAATATCGTTGTCTTAATTAAATATCAACTCAACATTCCCGAGAGCAAATATCTATCGTAAATATGGGCAAAAAATCGAAGTTTTTTTTAGTTCGAGCTTTTATATTTTGTTACCCAATTTTCTTTAGACGAATATTCTATCACCTACTTCTAATCAATATGGGAGACGACATTAAATAAAATGTTTCCTGGGTCTACTCAACCCTTTCGATTGGCTCATAGAGAGAATCTGAGTACATTGAAGGGAAATGTGAAAAAGACATTGCTGAGAATGTTTCACGAAATTGGCAACATAGATTTGAAAAGATTATATTGTTTGCTTATTCGATCTTATTAGTTATTACGAATTTTGTTTGATTATACTTGCGAGGGTGATGAATTTCTGGCCCTCATCCAAATCTCATTACCAAGTTTCAGTCATGGTATTCTCAAGTTCGTGAACTCCGCGAATTTGAACCCTACAAATTTTACCCTCCTAACACCACAAACATGATCAAACATGATACTAACTAAGTACTAACCGAGAAGTAGAAATGCGCGGTTGCTATCTGCAAAGACTGAAGAATCAGAACCCTCTTGATCACACTTGACAATGGCACCAAGTTCTTCTTCTCTTCTTCTTCCCTTGTATGCAGTCGATATTTGCTCAGAAGCTTTGAAGGCAACATTATCTGGTAGAAGCCAGCGTAGAGCCAGTAAACCACAATGGGAGCAAAGGTCGCCATTGTCTCGTCACTCACATAACCTTCCCAAAACGCCATTGTGCTAAGCTCCTATTGTGTATGAAAGAATCAGAAAATATATATATATGCAAATGCCACCCTACCTAAACATGTGGAGTAAGCGGCCAATAAATGGTTGATAATTAATTCTTAACCAAACATAATTAGCCGAAAATACAGTTGGCTGGTTATTTTTTACCCACTATTAGGGGTGGGCAGTTCGGTCCGGTCCGGACTGGACCAAACTCAGGAGAAGCCGTCCAATAGTGCAAGATATTGTAGGACCAAGGATCGGATCAATAGTGCATTCTGTCCGCTTTGGTCCGGTCCACATATAAATTCAGTCCATTTTTATTCAGCATTTTTAAAAATTCATAGGACCAAGGACCGAACCATATTATATCCGATTCGGTGTGGTCCGGTCCAAACATCGATTCGGTCCGGTGTGGCCCGGTATGGACCAACCCATTGCCCACCCCTACCCACCAGATATCAAGAACCATTTTAGGGATGGAGATGCTCTAAGTACATGATTAGTTAATATACTTCAAATTCAAATAGTAGTCAAGTACTTAGTAATTAATATACTTCAAGTTCAAGGGGCCACCCTCTCCAATTCCTTATTTTGGGATGACAGTGGCAGGCATGCGGTTGTTAAATTGTCTCAATTTATTGGGTAGAGAAATGTGGGCTCATATGATTCGCTATCATTCGTTGGCACCAGCGCACCAACTAATTTCGGCTTAGGGTAAGAGAATTTAGAGCAGCAGCATCTGCAAGCCGAATTAACAGCTGACAATGTGTACCAAAATCAGTTTTAGGTCCATTTATTCTAATAATTTGGGTTGTTGGGAGGGGTTATTATATATCGTTTACTAGCGCATTCTCTCAAATGAAAGTCATCACATACGGGCTTGAAAATTTGCACAGACCCGAACACCATATTCTTAACAAAACATATGGGGTCATCGGGATTCGAATAAGAAACCTTTCGACCACAAAAGTCTATGATACCATGTCAAAAATCGGTTGATCATTTGTCGATTAAGTGCGAGAGAGCTAATTGAAACTTCACCTTCCTTTGTCGTCCGATCCAATAGAATAATGTTCGACAAAAATGAGGGTTTGATGATATACGGGGAAAAATGGTTTTAGTAGTGTTTGGGGAAACATTTGGTTTGTGAAACCCGAAAAAAATCGGAACTCATTGAATTACACGTATATATTTTTTTCCAAATTAGATTCTAATTGAACATTTTAATGTGAACAAGATAACTTGATCTACAATTCATAGTAATTGCGAACCATAACAATATTATGTATACAAAAGAGACAACACACATATACGCGATCTTACACTTATTAGTGGGATCATCAAGGTCATAGCCTTTTATTCGTTAAGAAAAACAAGATCATTGGCGGAATATTTAAGAATATTGGATCCAAAATGAAAGAAATCTCAGATTCAAATCCACCATTTCCACCAAAGCCTACCCTAAACAACAATGCCACCCATCTTTCATCGTCATCCTAGCTTCGTACCCTCCTCCGAAACGCTTCAAAACAACAAACGGCATGTGAGTTCCCAAAAGCTTATCCCAAATGGGAAAGAACGGTTGAGAAAAGTTGTACTTTCCACCACCAGGTTGATGGTGGACATCGTGGTAGGCAGAATTGTTTGCAAACAACAAGTGGAAGACATTAGCCCTAGGAAACCAAACTCCACAGTGATCATCCACAGCTTTCACCGTAACGAAGCAGAAGAAGATCATCCCGGTTCTTGGAGTCATGCCAGAGACCATGAAAGCAAGAACTCCTCCACCCGTGTCGAGTAAGAGAGCTTGGACCCAGTGATGGTAGAGAGCTCCGATAGCGTAAGGCACGACGAGCTTGTGGTGCAGGGAATGCACGTGACGCGGTAGAAGAACTTGTTTTCGTGCATGTAACGATGACCGAAGTACTGCCACGTGTCCATTACGAACATTGCCACGACGACCTGGAGGATCCGGATTGGAATCGAAGGTTGGATCGTTGCGGTCTCTGATGCAACTCCTAGTCTTGTCGATGTGAACTGTGTAAGCTTGAATGTTATTATAGAGTAACACAAAAAGTTTGAAGAAAACAAGACAAGAAATTTTTACTTGGTATCGTCATTTTAAATGAACAAAACTAATCTACAGTTGAGATCGGAAGAGCTCCACGACTGATAATTTATTTTTTCTTGATAGACTAACCCCTCTCCAAGTTGCACAGGGTTAGAAAAACAAGGAAATAGTTAAAACAAAAAAAAAATCCAAAGAAGGAAACTGGGTCGGAGGGAAGTCATGGTCGTGATTTTGGACGTTAGCACTCTGGACACTTTTTACAGTCGGAATCTTGAGAGTCGCGACCGTGACTTTAAACCAGACTATGACTCCATGAGAAGCATTTTCACGGTTGTGCCCCACGGGAAGTCACGATCCATGAACCCAAACCGTAAAACGTAACATAAAGGGTACAAATCAAACACGCTATATCTACGTCTGCACTACGGTTCATATATTAGACGAATCTGTACTCACCGAAAACCACAAATGGGCAGCCGTTATTTGCAAGAACTGATGAAACAGGACACCCTTGGCCACAGTCGACATCGGCACCACGTTCTTCTTCTCTTCTTCTTCCTTCGTGTGCAATCGGTACTTGCTCACAAAGTTGGAAGGCAGCACGATCTGGTAAAACCCAGCATAGAGCCAGTAAACTACAATGGGAGCAAAGGTCACCATTGTCTCATCACTCACATAACCTTCCCAAAACGCCATTGTTCTTGTATTACATTGATGGATATGGACTGTATTGCTAGAACCAGCTCCTCTCTCTCTATATATATATACATAACATAAAGCTCGAACACAACGCTGAAAGAAACATAGAAAAATACCTGCCGTTCAAAGCTAACTTATTATCAATTTTATACCATAGCAAAATTCAAATTTTGACGAATGCGATTTGAAAGGCAATATTCTCGTACGTACCAAAGTATTCGAGTAAAAAAAAAAAAAAAAGACAAACCGTATCCAGCAAAAATAATTGGTGGAATACATTGGAAATAGCAAATTAATTGTATTGGAATACAGGCAATGACACAATCGCATACTTACCCTATCTAGTATCCAACCCATCATTTTTTTCTTCAAAAGGGAAGGAAACAAACCCACTACTCAAAACCGAAAGCGAAAGCGAAAACTTTAACACCTTCTCAAAGAGGATTATTTAGTATTTATGGTGTAATGTTTGATATTACGTTAAATATATTTATCTGGGTGACGATTGGGAGCCACGAGGGTTTCGATGAAACTGGATTCAACAGTATATGAGCTTTTATACTTTCATTTCTTCATATGAACATGGTTTTTTGGTCTTTGTTTCTGTTCAGAGTTTGAAGACGGTTGCTATATAAATTTTTGATTTTAAGTTTTAACTCCTCTTCGATTTGTACTCTCATCGGAATACTGAATGTGGCCATGTGGGTTCCTTAATGATTTTTAGTAATTGTATTTGAGTAATTGTATTTGTGAGGTGGAAAATTAAAGATAATTATTTAATATTATTGTAATTGACAAGTCGATAATTTAACGGTCAAACATGAGATGTGACCGTCACATAAGATAAAAATAACATAATCGAACAGATAGCTACTTAAAAGAAAATGTGAAATTAATGATCATACATTGATTTAGTTTAACTTTATGGTGACAAACCTGGAAAAAAATGGTAAATCAATTTTATCAGAAAAAAAAGGTAAATCAATGATAAACATCACATTATATTTTTTATTTTTCATCAATCGGCACAAGTGAGCTCAAATGCTTTTCGAAAGTCACCATAACCCAAATGGTGGGTTGGGCTGGTGGATGGCCTGAGCCCACTTTCTGGCCAGTTAAACTTGGGCCAATACTCAGCAGCCAAGCCTTAGACAGAGGCACAGAGCCATCAACGCATCAATCTCAAGTTGCCAAAAATAACTTTTGAAGTGTAACGACTATCAAGTATAGGGATGACAAAAATATCCGTAATCGTGAATATTCGCTCGTATCCAGTCTAATCAGTTACGGTAAAACTCGAACTCAAAGGACATTTAGTGGGTACGGGTAAAACTCGAACCCGGATATTGCGGATAATGGGCGGGCATGGGTTTCTCACTATCCAACTCGAACCCCGCCAGATTATACACATGCATATATATTTTGTCTAGAAATAATCATTATTTTTCTCTAACATATTATATTTAGCATATAAATATAAAATTTTCATGAAATTGTGTTGTTTTAATTAATTTTCTTAATTCTAGTGAATTATTGTTGTACTTTTCCTCTTACGTAACGTGATCACACATGTGAATGTTAACATATTGGTTGGAGTTATGAAGAGAAATTATTACTCATGGATAACCGTGGATACCCGAAACCCGAACGGGTATGGGCATGGTTTTGATTTTCTACCCGTTTCACATGTGTGTATGGGTATGGGTAAAACCCGAACTACTTTTGGAGTTTGGGTAGAGTAACGGATATGTACTATCTATCCATAACCCGACCCGACCCATTGCCATCTCTACCCAAGTAAGGATAAGGTAAATCTATCATGGTTTAAGAGGTTTTTTAAGTGACGATCGATTCAATGCAAGAGTACATCGAATCAATGATGTGAGTGCACGATTGGTCGTTTTGAATGGACAAAATTTGGTTACTACGATAACACAATATTAAGAAACAATTTGAGCGTTTTCTACACGGCTAAAATTTTTTTGAAGAATTTTTCTCTTAAGTCATTTTTATCTAAAACAGTAAGATCTAGAGATGGTGGAATTTTCTTTTCAAATGAATTTTTTTTTTATGGTAGAACTAGATGAATAAGTTGCCTTAATGTGTAAGAAAGAACTAGAGATCCTTGGTCCCATAGACCTCATCTATATTTATTGGACAAAATATTTAAATTGTTTAAAGAGAAACAAACATTAGAGATAACTGCTCTGCGCCAATTTGCCAATAGCAAAAACCAGAAGAAAATAAAAATTATATATATAATAACAAATTTAAAAAGACAAAAAAGATGAGCTTATGAATAAAATCACCTTTGCCTAACTGCTACCACGCGGCTTCTTTTTGCGATCGACCACAGCGCCCCGCAGATATATTCTCATTCCCCCGTCCGTCTCTTTTCCTAAATCCCTCTTCAGTTTCCTTCCTATCGAAGATCCAAACCCACTTCCGCGATTTCTGATCACGATCGCCGGACGGACCATGTCGATGCTCGACGCCTTCTTCAGCAACAAGGGATTCAAAGCTGCCAAATGGTGAGCAGAACATTCCGTTAGATTGCGCTAAAATTTTCGATTTTGAATCTTGGCAACTGGTGGACGGGTTTTAATTTCGTCGACGTAAGCCGTGTTTGTTTCCCGGGACAAAATAAGCGAGATGGCGGGAGTTGGATCCCAATCTCTTGTAGTTCATAACTTTTTTTTCTCTGCAGACTGCGTGTAGTGAGTGACAATTGGGATTGAGGGTTTTGGAGTTGGATTGCCATTATTAGGGTTTTGGGTTCAATGTGTTTTCTTTTTCATTGATTTTGTTTCTCTTTATATTTGGGCGATCAGTAAAACTCTGCTGAAGCTGACGATACCACGGATTAAGCTGCTGAGGAACAGAAGAGAGATTCAGATTAGGCAAATGCGTCGTGATATTGCTAAGCTTCTCGAGAATGGCCAGGAAGCTACTGCTCGTATTCGGGTATGTTGATATTTTTCACTCTCGGCTTTCAATGATTTTTCAGTTGTATAAGGTCCAGTTGGGTGGCTTCCATTGCTTACTGCTGTGTGGATTTCAGGTTGAGCATATAATCAGAGAAGAGAACATGATGGCGGCTCAAGAGGTCTTGGAGCTCTTCTGCGAACTGATTGCTGTTCGTCTACCCATCATTGAAGCACAAAGGTAATTTCTTTGACTTATCCCTGAAAACTGGTTGCTCCCTACTTGTGATTGCGTTGTGTAAAAGAATTAGACTATGTGAGCTGCTAGGTTGTGGCATACAGAATATTAGAAATTGTGCTTTGGCTTCTCTGTAGATTAAAGCTGTCCTGAGGTTGCTTATTTTGAATATGCTCATCAGTACAGATCTGCCCAAATAGCTTATATGGTCTGGTGCAGTTTTGAATTTTAGGATAGATTGTTAAATGAACGATAGCTAGTTCCTGTATTTGGTGCTGAAAAGGTTGAATCATGTCCAGGGAATGTCCTCTAGATTTGAAAGAAGCAATCTCCACTGTCTGCTTTGCTGCACCTAGATGTGCCGACCTGCCAGAATTGCTGCAGGCTCAAATGCTGTTTGCGTCCAAATATGGAAAAGATTTTGTAACTGCTGCAACTGAACTCATGCCAGATTGTGGGGTTAATCGCCAGGTTTGATAAACTTCACTACTGACTGTTTAGTGGCAAGATCGCAAACATCTCTCTATATTTCTTTGTTAATATGATATGATTTGTGTTTCCCTTCCTCACCAGATAGTAGAGCTCCTATCTGTTCGTGCGCCTTCAGTGGACAAAAAACTGAAGCTTCTTAAGGAAATTGCTGAAGAACACGAGCTAGTCTGGGACCCAGCTGGGTCGGAAGCTGAACTATCAAAGCCGCACGAAGATTTGCTGGTGAGTATTGTTGCTCCTTCTGCTAGGTTCATGTTAGCTCTTGTGATCTTACATTTGATCCCTCATTTTCAGAATGGCCCTGCACAGTTTGTTAGCGAGTCTAAGCTGCCTCCTCCGGACGAGAAGCATGACGAAGCATTGAGTTCTAATTCCGTGGGTGCTACATATGAACAACCTGACACTGACTCCAGTGCTGATGAGCTAGATTTCCCTGAAGTCCCCAAGGTCGTATTAAGGCCTAATGCAGCTCCTGCTGCCTCCGCACCAGATATGACCCTACCTACAGAACCCACTCTACATACAGAATCCATGGATCGGGATATGTCTTCAGACAGTCTGCTACATGGCTCTCATTCCAAACATGAACTCATATTCGAAGAACTGCCAAAGGAGTCCAAGAATCAATTTCTCGATTACTCAGAGGATGCTTCCCAGGAGAAACAGTTTTTGCCTTTCATCACACCTCCACAGACATCATATGCAAGTGCACCTGCAAGACAGTATAGTTCTCCACCGTCCACCTCAAACCCCAAGAATATGTCCGACATCGATCTGCACGATATCTTAGTTTCAGCGCAGGCAGCTGCAGATTCCGCTGAGCGAGCAGCAGCAGCAGCCCGCTCAGCTGCAACGATTGCACAGGCAAAGATCAAGGAGCTAGCCAAGGTCAACAGCGACAAGTCACTTGATCTTGAATCTGATAATCCGTTCAACACTGAGCTTCATGATCAGTCTGCTGCTTTGGGAAACCTAAACCTCGATCATCAACGCTCTTCTCTCGATCTCAATGGTGCGGTGTTTGATTCTCCCAGGGATCACAGAGATTCGCCTGGTCCTCAGCTGCAGCGAATCACGTCTATCGACGAGGACCCTTACTTCTCATACCCTAACTTGTTTGGGAACCACAGCTCGAGTCATGGATCACCATCTGCCCAATTTGTTTCGGACAGCTCGAGATCGCCACATTAACTCGTTCTGAGCTCTCCGAGGTATTTGAGGATACAGTTGTGTCTTGCTGGTTTAGCTATTTCACCTGCAGTAGTACATCTGTGATTATGCGGCTGTAGTTCTCTCCTCCCCTTTTCGCCTGTAAAGCAGTCCCACAGCTCAAAGAATCTCGTATCATCTGCTTTTATGATGAGTATAGCTTTTGTTGAACTCCAGAACTCAGTTGTTGACACAACTATCATGGCGTTTGTTTTATTTGTTTGAGCGGGATTTGGGTTGGTTAGGGTAAGGTTATAGGGATTTGTACAGAAGTTGGTTGCTTGTGTCAGCTTGTTGCCTCCTGTTAAAAACGTCTCCAATAAACCTCATCCATTTTTCCAGCTGTTTTATAGCAGAAGCTGGCATGTTCTAGTTTGATACAAAATCGAATATTATGATAATTACCGAATTAGAAATATATGGAAAATGAGGATTAAAATCGGATTTAAAATGCGTTTGATTTTGTTTAGTTTAATTTCAATTTGGTCAGAATATTCCTTTATTTTTAAGAAGTTACATTATCGAAACAAAATCTGAGTAAATTCTAGTTTGATGTGATGATTGGATGAGCATGGTCTTATATGATCCAAAATTCATGCATTTCCCGTCAATATTACACATGGTATAGTATGAGTCCAAATTCATAATCTGAGGCCCAAAGTCAGTGAGAGGCCCAAAATGCGACCCGAAATTTGACGCTTATCCATTTCTCCCGAGAAGTAAAGGCGGGAAAAGCAGCAAAAAGTCGTGTTGATTTTTCAACCTGATCCATTTCCCAGCGGTTTCCCATCTGCTTTGACTCGACTTCCCCGCAGCAACTCTGCGCTCCTCTTCTTCTTCCGTAATGCTTTGCTTTCCCCAATCTCTCTCAAACCTGATCCCTAACTCCGTTTCCTCTCTTTCTCCCCACAACTCGTTCCCTTTGCTTCCATGGATGCCGAATCTCCTCTTCCATCACTTGCTTCCAATCCTCACCACCGATCAGCGACTGTTCTCCGGGCAGCCTCTCGCTGGGAACATCGCTCGGAGCAAGAACTCCACGCCGTCCTCTCCTCTTCTCTGGCGGCGGCGGAAGGCGGCAAGAATAAGTACGAGGTGTTCGTGAGCTTCAACGGACAAGACAATCGCAGGGGATTCACCACCCATCTCTGCCATTCCCTCTCTTCGAAATTAGGGATTTCGGTCTTCTACAAGGACGAAATCAGATTCGACCCAGGCGCATCCGTCATCGCGCCGGAGCTTCTGCGAGCGATTGACGGTTCCCGAATTGCGGTCGTCGTATTGTCGAGGAACTACGCCGATTCCACCTGCTGTCTCGACGAGCTGCTTCACATCCTCCGGCACCGGAAATCGGGAAGTCTACCAGTCATTCCGGTTTTCTTCGATGTCGATCCGTCTGATTTCAGGAAACCTAGCGGCGGAAGAATTCATAGCGCTGCGGGAGACGATGCTTTAGCGGAGCTCGCTAATCTCCCCGGATTCGCCACCGCTGACTACGGGTAATTCGCTGTTAATTTAATTGCGCTCAATCACCTGATTTCCCTATTATCATGAACCTCGATCTACAAAATTGAGTTCTAGTACTGTTTCTGCCTGGTTGATTGCTTGCTAATTTGAGCTCTGTTGTGAATTGATGACACTCCATAGAAACGACATGGATATGATTAGGGAAATCGTAGGGAAGATATGGAACGAATTGAGCTCTAGTACTACTACTACTGCACTTCCAAGCATCATCAGCAACATCAATCCTCTAGTTGGAATGGAGAAACGTGTAAATGCAGTGATCAGCTTGCTACATCTAGATGCTACTAGACCGGATGGCAACGATGTTCGTATGATTGGAATCTGTGGCCCATCAGGGAGCGGGAAAACCACGGTCGCCATGGCCGTTTTCGATGCAATTCGCTCCGGATTCGAGTCCAGCACTTACATTGCCAGCGTCGGGGAATCCTCCACAACACGCACAGGGCTGTTCCGATTGCAGAAGCAGCTGGCCGACGAAATTGGTGGTGAAGGAGTCGAGATGGGGACGTGGCCTGCCGCGGAGGTGTTCGAAAGGCTGAAGAGGGCATACAGAGGGAAGAAGCTGCTGCTGATTCTGGACGGCATCACCCACGAAGTGCAGCTGTTTCGCTTGGGGGCGGATCGTTCCCTATTTGGGCCAGGGAGTCGAGTCATTATAACTTGCAGAGAGCAGTACCTGGTGAACAATGATTATCAGACCCGTGTGGATTCTATGTACGAGACCCAATTGCTGGACAAGAATGAAGCTCGTGTTCTACTAAGCTTGGTAGCTTTCGGGCAGGAGGATTTCTTGGAAGATTACAGGGATGTGGGTGAGCAGATTCTGGATTATGCTGGCGGGGTTCCCTTTGTGGTGGAAGTTTTGGGCCGTTCCCTTAGGGGAAGAAGCGTTTCTGAATGGGAATACACAATTGAGAAGCTGAAAAGAATTCCACCGACAGAGAGATCGCATTAGAGGTACCTTAAAGTTAAAAATGCGATTTCCGGCTGCATCATGGATTCTGCACTTTGTCTTCTCCACGTTTAGAAAGCTCATCCCCTCAACATGCAACACCAGCTCTGGTTCTCTTCCGGAACAGGTACGTACCGCATAAATAACATAAGTTACGTCTTTACTATTTACGTACTTAATTAGTGATGTTTTGGAGAAAATTGGGACGGGTTGGCCGAAATTAGGAGAGGATTAGAGGAAGTTTTTTACTTTATAACTGTTGTACTTTGGTTAGGAAGATGATTAAGCAAGATTTCGGAATTCTCTTTACTTATATCTTTTGGATATTCTAATTTCTCCCCAAATCCCTCCGATTCCCTCTTAATCTCCTTCTTCTTCCTCATTCTTAATCTTCCTTCTAATTACCCCAATCCCTTCTTAGTTCAAACTAAATCACAAACGCTAAGGGGTATGCTGCAACATTTTAGTTTTTATGTTTTTAATAAATGTGTACATTAGTCAATGGTGGAGATATAGCCATATAGGTAGTTCAGGAGGGGATACAAGCCTCTCAAAATTTGTTTGAATGTGTATTTAAATGTCGAGAAAACATTGCAGTTTAATAAGATAAGGATTAAGGACCTTTATCAACATCATGATGACTCTTTTTTTAAACCGTCCGTTAAGAGGACTTACTCATTATACACAGACAAGAAATTTAGAGCATAACATAATACTCATGCAGAAAAATTACGAGACATGTAGGTCAAGTACAATGTGCTCTGAATAAATCATGAAACAATCACAATCAAACACGAAATTAGTCGTCCCTTAGAGAACATTCGATAAAATTCAAACGAAACACGAAATTAGTCAAATTCTATCCAAATCTGTGCCGAGCGTAACAATAAGCTAGCACGTAAAGACACTGAAATTGGGAAATGATAGAAAATTTTGACTCTGGTTGTTTTTTTCCAGGCAATGGGATGAGGTCAACTATCGTGGTTATCCGTTATCCTTCACTCATGTAAGCAGGAGACCTGGTTTTGACTAGCACTGTTAACTGTTGTACTCCTCCACCAACCGCAGTTCCGACAAAAATCAGGTCAATGACACCGCGGCGGCTTATGGGGTTTTATTAAATAAAACAACCCTCGGGAAAGCGGCAGCTCCCCAGAATGCCAAGTCTCCCCTCCTCTCCAACATTGCTATTCATATTTCAATGCATTGCTCTGAGGGCCAGGAATTCAATTCTTCCATTTCCTACCTCTTCTAGTTCCTGGCCGCCGATCACCCATATACCTTCTTCGCCAATTCGACGATGATAGTCTCTCGCCCGGAATCTCCGAGTTCTTCCTCTTCTTCGTCGCCATCTCCGGCAGCTTATGATGCTAGTAAGTACGAGGTGTTCGTGAGCTTCAGAGGGGAAGACACTCGCCGGAGTTTCACCAGCCACCTCTGCGACGCACTCTCTTCGAAATTGGGGATTTCTCTGGTTTACAAGGACGAGCTCAGCCTCGAGAAAGGCGCGTCCGTTGAGCCCGAGATCCTGAGAGCGATCGAGAATTCCAGAATTGCTGTCGTCGTCTTGTCAAAGAACTACGCTGATTCCAGCTGGTGTCTCGACGAGCTGGTTCAGATCCTCCGTTGCCGGAAGCTCAAAGGTCACCGGGTGATTCCGATTTTCTACGAGGTGGACCCGTCGGACGTCGGTAAACAGAAGAGGATCGGAACCAGCAACGGCTCCGCTGAAGCATATGGTGAATTTCTTGGAGATAAGGTGGGGAGATGGAGAGATGCTTTGGCTGAAGTCGCTAGTATCTCTGGATTCACTACTACTGCCCACAGGTACGCTCTATTCAGCTGGAGAGATGCTTTACCTCCATACAGTAAGCAATGGTTAGGCTTGACGAAATCTTATTGAATTGATATTTGGATCGAATTGGACCGGAGTGAATATAAATGGATTCGGTCCCTGTTCCATTTTGGTGAGATACTGGGGCTGCGTTCTTGTTTGCTTAGGTTTCAATCTATTGGTTCTCTTAACAACAAAGGAAAAGTGGATTGAATCGGACCCAGTATCTCTTTTAGCTGAGTATAGCTCTCAAACTTCCTTTGTTTTTGGTCCTTCCTGTCACCATTAGATCCGATTCTATACCAAAACGAACATGACCACCTTATAGAAGTGATTATTTTGGTTCCCTTTCTCGTATCAAATTGCTCGCGAGCTCGTATGAATTTGGTTCCATGTATAATTTAATTGCAGAAATGACTCGGATATGATAAAGCAAATCGTGGGGAAGATATGGGAGGAACTGAGTTCCACATTCCGAAGTATCAGCAAACCTTTGGTTGGAATGGATCAACGTGTGAAAGAAGTAATACGCTTGTTACATTTAGACTCAAACGCAGAGTGTGATGAAGATGATGATGTTCGTATCATTGGAATCAGTGGGATGGGAGGCAGTGGCAAAACCACTGTCGCCATGGCCGTTCATGACACAGTTCGCTCTCAATTCCAGTTCAGCACTTATCTTGCATCTGTGGGAGAAGTATCCAACACTCACTCGGAGATTCTTCAACTGCAGAAGCAGCTGTTCAGCGAAATCGCTGGTAATGCTATGATGACAAGTAGGGAAGAAGTAGCCTGGCCGAAAGTTGGAGGAAAGGAAAGACTAAAGAGGGCATTTAGAGGGAAGAAGCTGCTTCTTATTGTGGACGATGTCACTCACCAGAAACAGCTGCAGCAGTTGGCTGTTGAGCGTTCTTTTTTTGGTTTAGGAAGTCGTATCATTATAACTTCCAGAGACCAACACTTGCTGAAGGCTCAAAAGGTGGATTCTGTATACCACACCCGATTGCTGGACAAAAATGAAGCTCGTGTGTTGATAAGCCGGGAGGCTTTTGAGCAAGATGAACCCGTAGAAGGTTACAAAGAGGTGTGTGAGCATATTATCAGTTATGCCGGCGGGCTTCCTTTGGCACTGGAGGTGTTGGGTTCTTCACTGAGTGGGAGAAGTTCTACTGAATGGAAAAGTACAATTAAAAAGCTGAAGAAAATCCCACCGGGAGGAATTCTAGAGGTACTTCAAGTGAGTTATGATGCACTAGACGAGGAAGAACAAGAGATATTCCTAGATGTTGTGTTCTTCTTTCATGGTTGGCCGTGGAGAGAAAGTGTGATCCCTATACTCGAGAGCCTCTATCTAGGTGCTGAGATCGGGATGAGGAACCTGATTGATAAGGCTCTGATAGAAATTGGAATGGGAAAATTATCAGCACATGATTTGTTAAAAGAGATGGGGAAATCCATTGTCTACTCAGAAAGTCCAAATCAGCTGGGAATGCGCAGTAGACTGCAGGGGTATGAAGATGTTTGTCATGTGCTTACAAAGGGAACGGTGAGTAGTTGTCCGTTGTTTCATTATGCAGAAAATTTTGGCCTCGACTAACATTATTCTGCACTGGTCCGAGCTTTGTTGCAGGGAAGTGGAAATGTGAAAGTTCTATCTTTGGTTCCAAGTCAAAATGGCCGTACTATAATTGACTGTGGTGGGGAAGCCTTTACAAAAATGTCCAGTCTAAGATTGCTGGCTTTGTTAGGTACACAGATCAAGCAAGGACCAACCTGTCTCTCTAATGAGTTACGAGTTTTGATTTGGACGTTGTACCCTTCGGAATCACTGCCGTCTACTTTCAACCCATGCAACCTTTTTGTGCTGACTATGCGCGACAGCCAAAATCTGAAGCAACTCTGGCATGGAAACAAGGTGAGAGAGAGAGAGTATGTACTTGCCATATAATATGATTCATCACTCTAGTCTTTTGCTTTCTGATGCTTTATGTGAACTAATCCATATTATTTGTTTTTCGGTTTGATTGTTGTGAAGACTATGTTGCAGCTTAGAGAGATGTGGCTTGACAATTGCAAGAATTTGGTTGCGGTCCCAGATTTCGCCGGAATGCCTAACCTCGAGATTCTGAGCCTTGAAGGGTGTGAATCATTGCTTGAGGTTCCCTCTTCATTTGGACATCTAAAAAAACTTGAGATAGCAAATCTAAATGGGTGTAGGAGTCTAAAGTTATTTCCTACCAGCCTTCAAATGACCTCTCTGAAATTTCTCGACCTGAAGGGATGCTCAGAGTTGAAGATGTTCCCAAGCATTCGGGACGACATGGACTGTTTGGCTGATCTAGAACTTCAAGGTGTTGGGATCCAACAACTAGATTCGACCATCCAACGTTTGGCCGGGCTGAAAACATTGGTTCTTGACAATTGTCAGCATCTCGAAAGACTTCCCGACACTGTGGTTTGCTTAACTTCTCTTGAAGTGCTGTCTCTAGATGGTTGTGTTAGATTGAAAGAGTTACCTCCTTCACTACGATGTTGTGTTAGCCTGAAGCAACTGTCTGTGCAAGGATGTGTGGAGCTTCGATCTTTGCCCGAGCTTCCGCCTCAAATCGAGCGGGTGTATGCGAATGGTTGCAAGTCCCTGAGAAAGCTTCCAGATACAGTAAACCTTCGTAACGGACTGAATATACAGTTGTATGGTTGCCTCAAATTGGATCAACCTCAGAAGTCAGCTTGGAGGATACTTAAAAGATACCTCCAGGTAATATATCTCTCGCTCTCTCGTTTTGTGTAAAGTAAAACATCGCACATAGTTAATACCTTGCAATCTTATGCTTCCGATGGTTGCTCTAAATCTTGATCCTGACAACAAATGTTCACATGCATTCAGGGTATTCCTCATCCGCATCAAAAGTTTTCACTTCTGATTCCAGCTGCAACCAACGAGAATCCGTGGTCGCTCCATCGAGTCCAGGGGGGCTTATCGGTGATAATGATGCACCGTCCTGTTGGCGATAATGACAATACTACAGATTGGATCGGGACTGTGGTGGTTGTTTTTTTCCGGGTAAATGAGTTCAACACCAAGCCAACCAGCAGCACCACCACCACCACCACCCGGGATTGCGATGTCTGCTCCTTTGTTACCAATTTGGGAGTTGTGACTGTACCAGAATTACCAGGTTCTGGAGGAATAACAGACGGCGTTTGGCTGTCCTACATTCCTCGAGATGCTGCCTCATTGTACCTCGGAGACCAAATGGACGATTTCAAGGTGTGCTTTCAGGGAATGTGCTCACACATGGAAATACAGAGGTGTACGCACAGGAATGTGTACCGCCGCGACCGACATGAGGATGTTGATATTCATGACGATGGCTTGGCGATGCCGTCGTCTCTTTTGTTCATGGAAGTAGTGTCTAGAACTGTGAGGAAGCGGAGCTTTGCTCTGCTGTCTGATGGTGTCGAAGACGGTGAAGCAGAGCGAGTATGGGTGCATAAAAGACCGAGGCCTGTTAATGCCTTTCCTTACTGGGACAGGATAGCATGATAACACCACAAAGAGGGTAGTTGGATCGATTGTACGAGTCAGCTGGCTCTCACGTCTTATCTGAGAAAAAAAGGCGGGAAATGAAAAGGAGATGCATGTGTAGATTTTTCAACGTGTTGGCTGGCCCATTGGCTTATTTGAGAGCTTGATGTGACTTCCCTTCAGCGCTCTACTCTCCCCTTCTCCAGTTCTATACTGTTTCCCCTTTCTCTCAAACCTAAATCCTTACTTCGTATATCTATTTCTCTCCACAATTACTTTCTCCGCTTCCATGGATCGCGTTCGTCTGCTTTGGTTTTGGATCCGGAACTGGATGACCAATCTCCTCCTCCATTACTTCCCTCCAAGCCCTGACCGATCTCCGACCCTTTATCCGGACAATCCGACGGCGGCGGCGGCGGCCGCAGTCTCTCCCCGCGAACGCAGACCTCCTCCGATAATTTGCTCGCCATTTTCAGCACCGTCGGCGGAAGGCCGTAAGTACGAGGTGTTCGTGAGCTTCAGAGGGGTAGACACTCGCAGGGGATTCACCAGCCACCTCTGCGACGCTCTCTCTTCCAAGCTAGGGATTTCGCTCGTCTACAAGGACGAGCTATGCCTCGAGAAAGGCGCGTCCGTCGCGCCGGAGCTCCTGAAAGCAATTGAGGATTCCAGAATTGCGGTCGTGGTCTTGTCGAGGAACTACGCCGGTTCCAGCTGGTGTCTCGACGAGCTGGTTCACATACTCCGGTGCCGGAAACGGAGGGATCTAAGAGTCATTCCGATTTTCTACGAGGTGGATCCGTCGGATGTCCGGAAACAGAAGGGAGGAAGCAGCTTCGGTGCCGCTTTTGCTAAACTCGGCAGAGTTTCCGCTGGCGCCGGCAACAAGTTGCGGAACTGGAGAGACGCTCTGACGGAAGTCGCTAATCTATCCGGATTCGCCACTGCTCATTACAGGTTTGGAGTTCATGATTTCTGTTATCCTGAAATCCAGCAATTGCTTGGTTACAAGTTGCTCAATAATTTTCTGCCTGCCAATTGCTTGATAAATTGACCGAGTTCGATTCGACTCCGTTTGTGAATGGAAATTCTAGAAACGACTCGGACATGATAAAGGAAATTGCGGGGAAGATATGGAAGGAATTGAGCCCAACATATCCAAGCATCAGCAAGCCTCTGGTTGGAATTGACAGGCGGGTGAAAGCTGTGATCAATCTACTAAGATTAGACTCGATAGCTGAAAGGAGAGATGTTCGTATAATTGGAATCAGCGGGATAGGAGGTAGTGGCAAAACCACTGTAGCCATGGCAGTCTACGACACAATTCGCTCTGGATTCGAGTTCAGCACCTATGTTGGCCGCATTGGAGAAGCCTGCAACGCCTATGGAGGGCTGCTTCAATTGCAGAAGCAACTGTTCAGCGAACTTGCTGGTAACGCCATGGTGGCAGGCTTAGAGGCATGGCCAGAGTATGGAGGAATCGAGAGGCTGAAGAGGATGTTTAAAGGGAAGAAGCTGCTTCTGATTGTTGACGACATCACCCACCAAAAGCAGCTGCAGTATTTGGCTGTGGAGCATTCTTTATTCGGGTTAGGAAGTCGGGTCATTATAACTTGCAGAGATAAACATTTGCTCAATGCTCATAGGGTGGATTGTATTTACGAGACCCAGTTGATGGACGACAATGAAGCTCGTATGCTGCTTAGTCAGAAGGCTTTTGAGCAACAGGAACCCTTGGAAGATTACAGATATGTGTCTGAGCAAATTTTGTCTTATGCTCAGGGGCTTCCCTTGGCACTGGAAGTGTTGGGTTCTTCACTTCGTGGGAGAAGTGTTTCTGAATGCAGAAGCATAATTAAGAAGCTGAAAAGAATTCCACCGGGGGAAATTCTAGAGGTTCTGAAAGTCAGTTATGATGTACTGGATGAGGAAGAGAAGGATATGTTCCTAGATTTCGTGTTTTTCTTCAATGGTTTCAATCCAAAGCCTTGCATAGTAAGATTTCTACCCTGTATGGTAGTTGAGTACCTATATCCTGATGCGGGGGTTGGGATAAGGAATCTTATGGATAAAGCGCTGTTACAAGTTAAGGGTAGGTACCGTGGAGGTAATTTCTATATGCACCCTTTGTTGGACGAGATGGGGAGGGAAATTGTTCGCTTGGAATGTCCAAATGAGCCTGGACAACGCAGTAGGTTGACTGGATATCGAGATGTCTGCCATGTGCTCACAAAGCAAACGGTAAGAGTTCGAAGAATGGCAACTTGTTCTTGCTTTCGTTTACTGGGTCAAATGTGGCGCGATCGGATAAATGTTTTCATCCCATTCCCAAGATTTGATTCAATTTATCAGCAGCTGTTGCTCATCAATTTTGCAGGGAAGTGAGAAAGTCAAGATTATATCGTTAAGGGGGAATTTTCAATGCTTACACAAAATAACGAGTTCTCCTGAAGCCTTTTCGAGAATGGTCAATCTAAAACTGCTGGAATTGAGATATGTGAAGATGAAAGAAGGACCAAATGAGCTCCCTGATGAGCTCCGATATCTGTCGTGGAGTCATTACCCTTCTGAATCTCTGCCATTCACTTTCAACCCTCACCGACTGTTTCTACTACAGTTGGATTACAGCGACAATCTTAAGCAACTCTGGCATGGGAATAAGGTGAGCAACACTCTCAGTCATATGTTATTGGTAGCATATGACCATACATGTTACTAACACTATTGGTTCTGTTCATCTTTTCTGATTGTCGACACTCGACAGACAATGACGTATCTTACTCGCATGGACCTTCGCTTCTGCAACAGTTTGATTGTTAGCCCAGATTTTACCGGAACACCTAATCTCGAGTTTCTGTCACTTGAGGGCTGTGGTTCGTTGCTTGAGGTTCACTCATCATTTGGGAATCTCAAAAGACTTGCTTCTGCTGATTTCATCGGGTGCAAGAGTTTGGAGGTATTTCCTACGAGTCTTGAAGCAGAATCTTTGAAGTTCCTTTCTCTGCAAGGTTGCTCGAAGTTGAAGAGGTTCCCTACTATTGATGGAAACATGGACTGCTTGGCTGAACTCGATCTACAAGGCGTTGGAATCCAGCAACTGGATGCAACAATTGGACGATTGGTTGGCTTGACAAGATTAAACCTTCAGAACTGTGAATGCCTCACAAGTCTCCCAGACAGTCTTGGTTGTTTGACTTTACTTTACAAGCTTGATTTAAATGGTTGTCGTGAACTGGAAGATTTACCACCTTCCCTACAGCTGTGTATTTCTCTGGAGTATCTGAGGGTGGAAGATTGCGTGAAGCTTAAGTCTTTGCCGGAGCTTCCCCCATATATCAAGAGCGTGGAAGCCAAAGGTTGCAAGTCCCTGGAAGAAATTCCGGATACAATCAACCTGCGCAGCAATAGGGTGCATATTGATTGCCGCCAGTGCTTCAAATTGGATCAATCAGAGAGCTTAGGTTGGAGAATGCTTCAAAGATGCCTGCAGGTACTACTACTATTCTGTACACTTCCACTATAATCGTTCTTTCCATTTTATCCTTTTCATTCTTATACGCAACTTGCAGGCTACTCCTACTCCAGAACGAGAATTTGACATGGTCACTCCGGCTGGAATCAACATGAAGATGGACATCCCAGATTGGTTGTTGTTGTCGAGCCATCGGACCCATTGGAGTTCACTAGCGATGCTGCCACCTGATGATGACTTGAAAGCTGTTAGTAACCCGGACTGGATAGGGACCGTGGTGGTACTTTGCTTCCGTGTAGTTATCTTTGGTGGCCTTTCCGTCCAATCCGTCTGCCGCAAGTGTTGCTCTTTCCAACCGCACTTGGTCGGTGCAAGCCTGAGAAGACAACAGGCTGTTGCTGAAGAGCAACGCCAGCTTTGGTTGTCCTACGTTCCCAAGGGTTCTCTGGGAAACTACTTTGCGAACCCGGTGTCCGTTTGCCCGCACATAGAATGGGATTGGTGCGAGTACAGAAATGTGTACAGTCATGAGGTTGAAGAGTGGAAGAAATGAAGTAGCGCTTTCGGCGAAGATGAGGAAATGAAGCAGCCCACCAAATGACAAGGATAACTTCAGGTTGGATGAGACAAAAATCTGATTTGACAAACGCCCCTATTTTCCATTTGCCTGGAAAAAAAGGCGGGAAAAGGAATACAGTTAAGAGGAAGATTTTTCAACCTCCTGCTGCTGGCGGGGCCATTTGCTACTTGCCAGCAGCTTTCCTGCAGCTTGACTTTACTTCCTCTTAAGCAGCTCTCCTCCCTTCTCATCCTGCTTCCCCGCCTCTCAAAATCTAAACCCCAACCTCGTCTATCTCTCTCTCTTCACAGCTAGTTTCACCGTTTCCATGGATCGTATTGGTCGGCCATGGTTTTCGATCAGGAACTGGATAACGAGTCTCCTCCTCCGTTACTTCCCTCTAAACCCTGCACGATCGCCAACCGTTCCTCCGGCCAATCCGACGGCGGCAGAGGCAGCCTCTCCCCGTGAGCACGAGCCTCCGATCGTTTTCTCCCCGTTTTCAGCGCCGTCGGTGGAAGTCAATAAGTACTACGAGGTGTTTGTGAGCTTCAGAGGGGAAGACACTCGCAGGGGATTCACCAGCCATCTCTGCGACGCTCTCTCTTCCAGAATAGGGATTTCGTTCGTCTACAAGGATGAGCTCTGCCTCGAGAAAGGCCAGCCCATCGCGCCGGAGCTCCTGAAAGGGATCGAGGATTCCAGAGTCGCGGTCGTCGTCTTGTCCAGGAACTACGCCGATTCCACCTGGTGTCTCGACGAGCTGGTTCACATCCTCCACTGCCGGAAACGGAGGGATCTCCTGGTCCTTCCGATTTTCTACCAGGTGGATCCGTCGGATGTCAGGAAGCAGAAGACAGGAAGTAGCTTTGGTGACGCTTTTGCTAAACACGAACGAGTTTTCACCGGCGTCGGCGGCAGCGAGAAGGTCCGGAAGTGGAGGGATGCTTTGACGGAAGTAGCTAATCTCTCCGCATTCACCACAGCTGAATACAGGTTCGGACTTGATTAAGATTCTCCGTAATTTCTCCACTAAACCTGAATCCATCAATTTGCTCGCTAATTTGTCCCAATTCCCTTCCCTTTCTCGTTGGTGAACGAACAATTTGTAGCAAAGACTCGGATATGATCAAGGCCATTATGGGGAAGATATGGAAGGAATTGAGCCCCACATTTCCAAGCATCAGCATGCCTCTCGTTGGAATTGACAGGCGCGTGAAAGCAGTGATCGATTTACTAAGCTTAGACTCCACAGCTGAAAGAAACGAAGTTCGTATGATTGGGATCTGTGGGATGGGCGGCAGTGGCAAAACCACAGTTGCTATGGCAGCTTACGACACTATTCGCTCTGAATTTGAGTTTAGCACTTACGTTTCACGCGTTCGAGAAGCTTGCAACACCCATGGAGGGCTAATTCAATTGCAGAAGCAGCTGTTTAACGAAATTGAGGGTAACGTCACGATGGCAAGTGTCCAGACATGGGGGGAGTTTGGAGGAATCGAAAGGCTTAAGAGGATGTATAGAGGGAAGAAGCTGCTCTTGATTGTGGACGACGTCACCCACCACAAGCAGCTGCAGTACTTGGCAGTGGAGCATTCTCTATTTGGGTCAGGGAGTCGGGTCATTATAACGTCCAGAGATCAACACTTGCTCCATGCTCAAAGGGTGGATTCTGTATACGAGACCGAATTGTTGGACGAAAATGAAGATCTTGTGCTACTGTGCCTGACAGCTTTTGGCCAAGAGGAACCTTTGGAAGACTACAGGTATGAGTGTGAGAGAATTTTGGGTTATGCTGGAGGCCTTCCCAAGGCGATAGAAGTGTTGGGTTGCTCGCTGAAGGAGAGAAGTGTTTCTGAATGGAGGCGCACAATTGAGAAGCTGAAAAGAATTCCTCCGGGTGAAATTCTAGAGGTACTGAAAGTCGGTTATGATGCACTGGACGAGGAAGAGAAGGAGATGTTCCTAGATTTCGTGTTTTTCTTCAATGGGGTCGATCTCCTTCCAGATCCCATAAACTTTTTGTTCAATGTGCCCCTTATGATGGTTCAGGACCTCTATCTTGATGAGGGTATTGGGATTTGGAATCTTGTTGATAAGGGACTATTACAAGTTGAAGAACGGTACTATGGTGATCATATCTATATGCACCATTTATTGGAGGAGATGGGTAGGGCAATTGTCCGCTCGGAATGTCCAGATGAGCCTGGACAATGCAGTAGGTTGACTGGTTATCAAGATGTTTGCCATGTGCTTACTAAAGGAACGGTAAGGGTTTGGAAGAGAGTGTGTTAGTTCTACTTTTGTTTACCGGGTCCAATGGTGATCGTTCGAACCTGAACTGTGATGAATGGTTTGGCTTTTCGAATTAGCATGTCTTGATTGGTTGTGCTTTACGTTCTTTTGCAGGGAAGTAAAAAATTGAAAATTATTTCGTCGAGAGCAGATTCTGGATACCCAGTCCCAGAGATAGTAATGCATTCCAGTGAAGCCTTTTCGAGAATGAGCAATTTAAAAGTGCTGGAGTTAAGATATGTGAAGATCACGCAAGGACCAACTTATCTTCCTGATGAGTTGCGAATTCTGTCTTGGACTGATTACCCTTCCGAATCCCTGCCGCCGAGTTTCAACCCTCACCGCCTGTTTCTACTACAGTTGGATCGCAGCAACAATCTGAAGAGACTCTGGCACGGGAATAAGGTGAAGATTAATTTACCGTCTATTATCAATGAATGCTTCAGTCACTTGGTATAATTTCCATGACTATAGGTTCTCCAAATTTTTTTTTTTTACTGATCTCTTTTCCCCTTTATATTGCTGGAAGACAATGTCGTGCCTTACTTGCATGACACTTTGTGGATGCTTCAATCTGATTGATGCCCCAGATTTTACCACAACACCTCATCTCGAGATACTGTCACTCGACGGCTGTGTGTCGTTGCTTGAGGTTCATTCATCATTTGGGCGTCTCAAAAACCTTGTTTTTGCAAGTTTCAAATGGTGCGAGCGTTTGGAGGTATTGCCTCCGAGTCTTGAAACCAACTCTTTGGAGTTCCTTAGCCTGCAAGGCTGCTCAAAGTTGAAGAGGTTCCCGAAGATTGAGGCCCATATGGACCGCTTGGCTGAACTCAGTCTAGAAGGCACTGGGATAGAACAGCTAGATGCAACAATTGGACTATTGGTTGGCTTGACAAAATTAAACCTTGGGCACTGTAAATGCCTCACAAGTCTGCCAGACAGCCTTTGTTGTTTGACTTCACTTGCACAGCTTGATCTAAATGGTTGTTGTGAGCTAGAAGATTTACCTTCTTCCCTACGGCTTTGTGTTTCCCTGGAGTATCTGCGGGTGGAAGACTGTGCAAAGCTTCAGTCTTTGGGGGAGCTTCCACCAAATATCCAGCGCTTGAAAGCCAAAGGTTGCAAGTCCTTGGAAGGAATTCCTGATACAATCAACCTGCGCAGCAATGGAGTGGATATTGATTGCCGTCAGTGCTTCAAATTGGATCAACCAGAGAGCTTAGGTTGGAGAAAGCTTCAAAGATACCTCCAGGTACTATTACTATACTGTACACTAATTACACCTAGCAGAGTAATTTATTCTCATGATCCTTATTTCCACTTTATCCCTTTCATTCTTTTACGCACGTCTCAACTTGCAGGGCGCTCCTAATCCAGAACAAGAATTTGGCATTGTGACTCCGGCTGGAACCAACAAGAGTATGGATATCCCAGAGTGGTTGATGTCATCTGGCCATCGGTTCCGTTGGGGTATACTAGAGCCGCCTCCTGATGACCTCATGAACGATGTTAGTAATCCGGATTGGATAGGGACTGTTCAGGTTGAATGCTTTCGTGTAGTTGACTTTGATGATAGCTACATCGAACCTCCCTGTCGAGAACGTTGCATTTTCTGTACGCACCTAAATCGTCGACATGTGGAACGGCAGGGTGATGCTGAAGAAGAAAGGCACATTTGGTTGTCCTACGTTCCTAAGGGTTCTATGGGATACTACATGGAAAACCCTGCTCCGGTAACTGAAAGCTATCCGGTGTTTGTGTGCCCGCACGTAGCTTGGGATTGGTGCGAGTATATCAATGTGTACCGTCACCAGATTGAAGAGTGGAAGAAACAGGACAGCATGAGATAGATCCTTCTATGATGATGCTCGCCTGCTCGGAGTAGTCTTCGTAACAATGATGATGATGATGATGACTTCCGGAACTAGATTTGTTTCGAGTTGGGGAGATAAGGTACGAAAAGTAAAAATGTTGTGTTTTTTGCAATCCTTTCATCATCTCCGTGCTTGCTTTTATAGGTGGCCGATTAACATTTAGTCTAATGAAATGGATAATTCTTGCAGGTAAACTACACTTACACAAGCTGCAGCCAGTAGTATTGGGAACAAGGGCGGAAGGTCTTGAACAAGTCAAATTACAGAAGATGCCACTTTCACTCGCTTACAACCAAACCACCTTGGTACAGAACAATGCTGGAAATAAGCGTTGGCACAAAAAAGAGTTATGGAAGCCAAACACTGTCAGGAACCGTTCGGGTTCTCGAATTGGATCAACAAGAGAGCTTAGGTTGGAGAAGGCTTCAAAGATAACTCCAGGTACTACTATCGCTATACTGTGCATTACGTTTTATCTCTCTTTATTATTCCGTGGTAGAAGTAACGTGGTCATCAAACTCTCGTATATTTGTTAAATCGGTTATTTATCTTTAGTCGCTAAATTAATTCCAACGATTAGTTGTTGTTCGTCATTTCCTACACTGTATAACACAACCGAACAGCTCCTTATGCTAACATAACAGCCACATAAGTTCTAGAGTGCTAGTATCTATGCCACATAGATCAGCTAGTAGATGTGCAATGCAGGACATTAGCTATCTCTACTCACTCCCTGTAAGGTTACTCATTTTCGGACTTTTTCCTAATAGCTGGAGTTAGCAATCGATCAGGGCATAAGAGTCGAACTTTGTTTGAGCACGGCATATTACAATGAAACAATGTAGGATCCGTTTTTGAGCATTTCTCAGAAGCTCGAGTTTGTCAAGACGAACTAGTTCATGCCTCTCACCTACTTGGATTATGTTTTAGCAGTTGGCCTCCTTTATATATATGGAGCCGATTAGTGAACTTCTCAACCGTGTAGATATGAATGGCTAACGTGGATTCATCTAATTGAGATTAGTGCTTCGATTGTTGTTTCAAGATTGGGTTTACTGCAGCAAAATTTCAACACATGTGGTTTTGATTGAATGACTAAATTGATATTTAACTCCACTTCCATTAATTGGTTATGTATTCCATTCTGCAGGGCATTCCTACCTCCAGAGAAGGCGTTTGCCATAGTTACTCCGGCCGGAATCTAGAAGGAGATGGGTATTCCTATTCCAGTGTGGCTGTTGAAGATTGAATCCAGTGGAGTTCTTTGCAGACGCCGGCACCTGATGATGGTGGCATCGGTGATCACCTGAATGATGCTAGTAATCCATATTGGATAGGGATAATGGTTATGTCGACCTGTCTGCTGTGAACCTTGCCTTCTCCATACACAGCTGAATCGTTAATTCGCGGAATGGCAAGCTGTTGCTGAGGAGGAACGCCAGCTTTGGTTGTCCTACACATCCCAAGGGTGCCCCGAGATACGACATTGAGAACCCTGCTCCTTCAAGCAAAAGCTACCTGGTGATATTATGCCCATGAGCGTGGAATGGGGTTGGTGCAAATATGGAAATTTGTACCGTCACGAGGTCGAAGAGCAGAAGAAACAGGACAGTATAGACTATCCAAAAAGCTGGAAAGGATGCAGAGCCAAGAATATCGGCGTGTTGGAGCCTAGAAACGATACAGTTAATCCTTGAGCTCTCGCTTATTACAACCCTACTCAGTGTTATTGGAAATTTGATTAAAACAGCTCCTCGCATTTGATCGAGCATTAGAGCAAAGTCGTAATATCACTCTCACAAACTCAGAGACTGGTACCGACAAACTACTTATTACTTCGGACTTTTTTTTCCCCATCCTGCATCGCTTCTATTCCTAAGGAAGTTCATTCGGGCAAGTCCCATTAGACATTATAAAAACACATCAATTCATGTTAGCTGCAGCCAGCAGTACAGACTATACAGAGAACATAAAGCCAGAAAGTTTCATCATGTCAAGATACAGAAGATATGACACTTTCAGTCGCTCGAAACCAAACGACCTTTGTATGGAAGAAGCGCTCGCACAAACAGTTATGGAAGCCAAAAGAGAACACTCCACTCATAGGCAATTCGAGGTTCGAATGCAATTGCCACCATCCAATGTTCCCACAGACTAAGATGTACAAAGAGTTGCAACTTGGAACAGTGAATCGGCAATGCCTTTTTCAGTGTGGCTCGCTCTTGTTGAATCAACTGTTTGGCAGTCTCATCACAACTTCTGATGGAGGTCGCAGAGTGCAAACCATTTCTTTCGTCTTCCCAAAATATACCTGCCGTGGCAACAGCATTTGATCAAGGAAATTAATCAATTACTTAATAGTTGTTCCCTTATATAGTACTTTTAAGACCCGTCATATGGATGGTAATCAGTCACTAGGAGAAAAAGTGAGATTTTACGAAGACCCAAAAACTATGTAAAATTGTACACTGAAATCTGAAATCATAAAATCCCAAGATTTTGCTGAACAACTGATTCAACAACAAGATTCGACAAAAATTTGTCCCTCCAGAATCGTGAGACGGAAAATCGGAGTCGACATGTATTCTAGAAACCAGAAATCTGAGCCGGCATTTTAATATGGGTAACGAGCTATGATCAGAAAACAAAGAAACAAGTAAATGTCTGCGCAGCACATACCTGATCCAGAGAGTTTCTGAGCTTGCCCTCCATCTCCTCAATCATCTTCCCCATGTTACAAAGGTGGCCATCAGCCAATGGGAGATCCATCGTCATCTAGTCAGAAAGCAAAGATAAAGTTTGTGAAACAAATGTACATGTGTCATTCCTAGACCTGCGGGACATGAGCAACAAAGACAACTACCTGCCGCCTAATGGATCCAGACAAATTAAATGTGCCGGAAGACTCCTTATCAGTTGTCAGTGACAGCATCACGGTGCTAGTTAAACAATAACGGGTAGTTTCGTCTTCTGGTCCAACCTAAACAACCAAACCAGAGTTGTAACAGGACAGATAAATAAAGAATAGAATCATAAGTATCAAAACCACAAGGCCACAGAACCCATGGAAGTCCCTACCTCAATGACATGAATGGCTTCCCATAACCCTTCCTGCAGGTATCCCCTTCTTCCATGTGCTGTCCTAGCGCCATCTTAATACTCACAATAGAATAGATAAATCAAGTTAGATAAGGAGAACTGGGTCAATACTACTGCTTCATTTATGAAGGGTTGGGAAAACCTCACCTTTTTTTATCAGAAAGCAAGCCACAAAACCTTCGTTGTTATCCTCCCACAAGTAAACAGATGAGATACCGCCTTCGTAATACCTACCAAAATTTAGTGGTTGATCAAACAGCTAAACAATTTCACAAAAGTAATTGAAAACAGAATGGCATGGCAATTTAATAACTAGATTATTCAAGATGGAAAAATAAGCTGATATAACTGAAGGAAGAAAAAGGGAGGAGTCTAGATTCATTCGACACTGATAATAAGTTGAAGGGGTGTGGAAGTGAGTAGAAAAAAAAAGGTTCGATCAAAGACGAGGTGAGTAAAGGACCTCACTGGTCACGATAAATGGCGAAGACTTCATTTGCTTCAACCTCCAGTTTCCTCAGCTCATCAGAAGGAAGGAGTGCATCTCCCAATGGGGGGTGGTATTTGTTTGACCATGGTGACCTACAAGACAACATAAGATCCTGAAAATCATTCACCTTAGAATTTCCAAGTACATGACAGGGAGCAGCACAGTGTGACCGGCGATATATAGAAGAACAACAGATTCTAAGGTAGCCATTTTGCTTCAATGACCCAACATCACTGAAGGCAGATAAATACAAACCTACCAAGACGTTTCTTCTCTACAGATACGAATAATGTTCATAATCAGAGAATCTAAGTCCTGCTGGAACAATAGTAACAAATTAAGCCATTCATTATCATATTCTCTAAAGATCAAACAAAACTAAGATCTTTGGTGTGCAGGAATAACACCATTTCTGTAACCAAAGAGACTTGAGTCCAGATTGACACAGCTTTACTGAGAGAAAACTATCCTGTGGCTTATTCAATAAGCCCAACTACCATCCATAAAGGCCAATCACAAATGCATGCAAGGAACCCAAGTCGTGGTCCTTATAGGAATCCACAGCATTGAATCATGAATGGCACCAGCCAAAAAAACAAAAAATAAGTCTTCCAGAAGCTGCCAACATCACAGTCCCTACACTAACAACAGCTCACTTCAGACATCCAACACCTACAATTCTATTAAATGAAGAGCTACATAATACCCACAACCATAAAAGAACTAGCAAAGTACCTGTAGGAATCAGCATCTCTGTTGTACTCGCACAATATGAACTCCTTCCCACTCTCGGAATCGCATAGAACCTGTAATTTCCCCTTCCTAAGTTAGCCGCCTTTCAACATCACATAAACAGAAAGACTAGCTGGAAGTAATAACAAGCTACACATTTATTCCACGCACAAGAACTCAATATGCTTTAACCGATCATCCACTTGGAACAGGCGCGCCAATTACTGGAGGAATTCGGCAGCATTCGCAAGTTCATCTCAAGCAAGAGCTGGAAAAGATACAATCTATAGCCGCAGACGGCCCCAAAAATCTAAATAGCGGTAAAATTCACATTCAAACATTGCAAGATCTCCGCTAACTCTTCTTCCTTATGAATTATATACAGAGAAGAACAAGTCCATGGACATGAACAGCACACAGACTCTCATTCCGGATTTTCACTCCATTTTTGTCACCGTCGTTTTCTCAGGAAACAATCGGTGGCGTCCAGGAGGAGAAACAGCTAACTCAAAAATCGTTCGCGCACACAAAACCCTAGCGGTAGACAACAGAATCGAAACAATCCGAAACAGCCATCGCCAGAAAGAGAGGCAGAGATGGACCTGCAGAGGCTGATCGACTTGGGAGAGGAGATCGGAGGAGTGGTTAGGCAGGAGGCTGACGAGAGCGGAGAGCGCGGTGACGGAATGCTTCGGAGGTATCCTTCTCATCAATCCTAGCGCCGCCTCCATTTTTCTTTCACAGCCGTCCGTTCAATAGCCGAGTGAGAGAAACTGCCGTCGAATGGGAAATGCGTACAGATGATAACTGCGAGAATCGACTGGCCGGCAAACCGAGGATTCTCTCTTTCTCTCCTACGATCTTGATTTTGAATCCTTCCTTCAGATCTTTCTCCGGTCTTCTTTTTACGCAAATTGAGAGGGAAGAAATGAGAGTAGGAGAGAGAAAGAGGTGATGGAAGTCGGAGGATAGAAGAAGAGAGCGTCTGTCTGTTTTAGTGTTTTTCATCCGACTTTCCCTCCACACTCCTCCCGGCCCCAGGCCCCAGCGACCGAGCCCAAAACGACAGGACGGGCTGACCGGGCCCATTATATAACATGGCCTCTAAATCTTTTTATTTTATTTCTTGATCAAAGTAATAAATCATTGTATAATAGTCTATTTCCACAAGCATTAGTGCTGGTACGATCGCACCCTTATTTCCACAAATCTATGCTTCCACTAACAACAACAATGTCGGGTTTTTCCCAACCCTTATCCTCCTCTGGTACAATTCATCAATCACCATTTATTCATACTATCTTATGCAGCTCGCAAACACAGCTTGAGGCAGGGCAATGTAAAGTGCACATATAGCAACACAAACTGCTTACTCCAAATGGGACAGAGATGCCTGAGTTGGAATATAAGCGAGAGCTTGAAACGGGAGGGTTCGGCCTCGGATTTCGATACGCTCATCATCCCCACCTTCTTCTTCTTCTGACGTCCTGAGACGAGAAATGTATACATGGCCCCCGTGCCTGTTTGTGTAGTACTTTCCTTTGGAGCAGATATACGCACCCTCCTTCCAGATTTCCAAAGCATGTGTTTGGTAGGGTGCGTATGGCTCAGCAAGGGTGAGCAACTTAGTCCATGAATCGGTCACGCCCTGCTTCAACAAGACCCACACCTGATAATACGGATCGCGATTGTACGAAGCAGCCAAGAAAGCCACAAACGACTCCTTCAGCATAAAACAGGACGCACAAACCCAACCCTCCATGGCAGGCGGGTGAGTGAAGGAGGTGTATTCGAACACTTCCTGGCTCATGTCGAACGAAAGGGTAGACCATTCTCTACTGCATCCTCCAGTAAACCAGTAACACTTGTGGTTTAGCGAAATTTCCCGCTGCTGATAAACGTAGTGCCCGAAGGCCGATCTCGAGAGATCGGCCCTGTCGTCGTCGATTAGCTTCTTCCAGGAATCCTTCCTCAAGCTATAAACCTGCAGTAGGCCAAGTAAAGCAAGCAAGCAAGCATATATCGTGTCAGTCACAGCTTTGCTAATAGATCGGACTCTGCTTCTACAAAGATTGCAAAATTGGGGGAACAAATCAATCTCCGCATCAATTAATTACCTCTGCGTACATGAACGGTTGTGGGAGAGGAAGATAAATTTCATCCTGATCATGATCCATTTTCAATATCCTGACCACTTTGTAGTCATTTGTGTCCGGATCGTATCCAAAACCGGCGAGCTCCACGTACTTTACCAGGCCGGGAGGGTAGGGGGGACACGTGGTGCGCGGCAGGATCAGCTTGGTCTCGGAAGTCGCCGGATTCCACAGGATCAGGTCGGAGGGGGCATTGGGGTTCGCGTCGGCGATGCAGAATATGCCGCCGCAGCACCCGACGACCGTCAGCCGGAATTGCAGGGGATACGAAAAAGACTTGGAGTTGGAGGGCGCGCAGGGCAGGTCTCCCTCGGAGATGAGGCCGAGGGTGTCGTAAGAGTACAAGGAGTAGTGAACGACCGCAGTGGTCATAGGGTCGTCCGGTCCGCCGGTGAATAGGATCTGGAGGGATTCTAGGTCGTCGGATTTTTGGAAGAAGAGAAACCGGCGGATGAATTGGGGATCTGACAGGAGAATCCTCCACGATCTGCAGACGCACCGGAATCGGGCGATGCAGATAGCGGCCCGCAATCTGAGGAGGATATTGATCAGTATATCCTCCGTCAAGAAGAAGACCCGAGCTTGAGAAGAAGCGCCGCCGCTGCCGTCTCCGCTCATGTCGGTATCTGAAAGAGAAACCCTATTTCTCTTTTTCTCTTTTGACTATATATGTTGCACCGGTGCTTCTGCTTTCTTAACCAACCGAAACAGCTGGACCAACCGGGCTCGATAACGGCACGGTGAGCGCGTATTCATGATATACCGAATATCATATTGAATTTATTACTATTTGTTACTATCGAATATCGATTTGGTTTTTAGAAATTGGGTTTGATATTCATTTTCAAGTGTTATTTGCTATTTGGGATTACGGGATGTGATCAGTATGTACCGAAATATTGAGAAACATCAAAAATTGAATGTTACTAGTCTTCATCGTGATTTATTCATAGGAAAGTTTTTGATAACCTTACAATATGTGTTTTCAAAAAAAATAAGGCAAAATACATTTGTATAGCCAAAACTTTCGCGTTTGTGCCAATAATAGCCAAATTTGGCAAAATACCACTTATAGCCACTTTTTAAAGAGTGGTAGGACAAATATAGTCATTTCCGTTAAAAACTTTAACGGTGTTAATAACACCGTCAACTTATTTGACGGTTGGCTGACTAGGCGCCAACTAAGCGAACACGTCAGCGCCAAATATGAAAATAGTAACCACGTCAGATATTTAAATTATTTATTATTTACACATGAAAAAAAATTAACCCTTATATTCCCATATGCTTCGCTTCTTCCTCAACTTTCCCCGATTTCGACATTAGGGTTCTTCCCCAAATTTCCTCTCCCACGAATACTCTAACCAGTCAAACCAGAAAAGGAAGCCTCCCAAAAATGGTCCATCCACCCACAAAAATCGCCACTTTGTTTACCAAAACCCAAAACAATCAAAACCGAGATGAAAAAGCCGTCGAGATGGGGTCGTTGACTTTGTGGGCTGGGTTCGTGAGATTGAGGACTGGCAACGGATTTGCTGGAGCGGGTGGAGGAGAAAGGTAGCAGAGGATCGGAATCAAAGTCAGTGTTGGAGGAGCTTGTCCTTGTCATCTTCGGAACCACCACCATCTCCGGTGGCTTACATAGTTTCTATTTACCCTTGCAATCTGGAGGATCTCTTCTCCCGCCCATCCTCATTCGCCGGAGAATCCACCACGGCAGCCTTTAGGTACTCTGGGGCTTGCAGGCGTCGATGCGGCGACGTGGACGGTTAGATTGAGAAGGAAAGAAGAAGTGGCTACGGTGGGGGGCGACTGGATCGAGAAGGAAAGGAGAAATCGTTACTGTGGGAGGAGGATTGGATTGGGAAGAAAATGAGTGGCTACGGTGGATTGAAAGGAAGCTAAAGGGAAAAAACAAAAAAGAAAGGGGGAAAGGATAAAGGATGAGAAACAATAAGTGGGGTGGAGAATAGGAACGGCGGAGAGGGTAGGTGGATAGATTTTTTTTTTTTTTTTTACAGTAGGGTAGGTGGATGGGTTAGGAGAGATTTTATATTAAATGTTTTTCCTTTTAATTATTTTTGTTTTCAATAAATTTATTTTTTATTTATTTTTCATTAATCTACGTGGCAGCATTGTTGATGAAACGTCGCCAAATCAGCATTTCCGTTAGTCCAGTCAGTCTGTTAGATGACACCGTTAAAGTATTGGACGGAAGTAGCTATAAGTGGTATTTTTCCAAATTTGGCTATTATTGTCACAAACGTGAAAGTTTTGGCTATACAAATGTATTTTACCAAAAAATAATTTAAGATTATGTTCTTGACATAACATATATTGTTATGTCAAGAAGTAGAACTAGGGGTGTCGGTTCGAGTCGGGTTCAGTTACCCAAACCGAAACCCAAAAAAACCCAAAAACCCAAAACTGAAAATCACTAAAACCGAACCCGAACCTGATAAGGACTTGCGGGTTTCTGTTAAATCAAAACCGAAACCCGAAAACCCGAAAGCTTAAAAAAACGGGCTGAGTTCTATTCATTGGAGGTTTTTAGCCGGAACCCGAAAAACCGATAAGCAAAACCGAAAAACCCAAAACCTGAAACGAACCCAAAAAACCGAAAATGTACATAATCGGGTCGGTTTCAGGTAAACCCGGAAAAACCGAACCCGAATGGATACCCCTAAGTAGAACTGTTACTCAACTCTCCAGTTCCTTCCACTCTTCCACCTCATCTTGGAACACATTTAGATAAAACGACCAATCAACGCTAATGTGGTCGCACAGCTTGCCTCCAGGCAGAAATGTGTACTTTCGCCAGTGAGCGAGGTGTTGGGAACCCTTAGGAATGTAGGACAACAATAGGAAGCGTGTCTCCAGAGTTGCTCCTCTGGGGGGTCCAAGCCAAGCCGAGACTCCTACCTGCCCTCCATCAAGCCAGCAATCATGACGACTGGATGCGGGCATCTTTGCCTTGTGGCTATCAGGGTAGAAGCAAAAAGCTACCACGAACCCGACCAAATCTGCAATACAATTGTGATCATCAGCTATCAGAAACTTATCTGCCCGAGTACGACCCCTCGGCAACCAATGTTCTGGAAACTCCATCTTCCTGCTGGTTCCAGTGGGAATCACTATTGTAAAATGCTGTTCTGGATGAGGAACGCCCTGCATATGTTTTGATGTAGTAATGAGTGAAAGAAAGTTCATCATCTGGCTAACAGAAAGAGGTAAATGGAAGGGAGCTAGTAGTTCTTTTGACGTCTGCGAATGTTGAAGTAGTACCTGGAGATAGCGTCGAAGCTTCCTCCAAGCTAAGCTCGCGGGTTGATCCAGTTCTGTGCAACCAACACACCGCATATCCAGCCCATTGCGTAGGTCGATTGTGTCTGGAATACCTTTCAAGGAATTGCAACCTTCCACATTTACCCGGTAGATTTGCGGTGTAAACTCCGGTAGGGATCTGAGCTTCTTACAATCTTGCAGCGATAATGTTTGGAGGAGAACACAGCAGCGCAGTGAAGAGGGTAAGTCTTCTAATTTACAGCAGAAATCCAGAACCAGGTTTTCAAGTGAAGTTAAACAACCTAGGCTATCTGGAAGCCGTTCAAGGCTTTTGCAATTCTCGAGCAATAAATTTCGCAAGCCGACCAAGAGTCCAATTGATGAAGGTAGTTGTTGGATTCCAGTACCTCCCAGGTCGAGCTCATATAAGCATTCCATGTTTCCCCCGATACTGGGGAACCTACTCAACTTTGAGCATCCCTTTAGGGTCAGGGATTCCAAAGACTTCATTTCAAGGCTAACAGGAAATAGCTTGAGACTCTTGCAACCTCGTAAAAATGCATATTGAAGTCTTTTGAGATGTCCAAATGATGGATGAACCTCATGCAACAACTCACAATTCTCAAGACTCAAAACCTCGAGATTGGGAGCTCCAGTAAAATCTGGGGTCACTATCAGCATCTTGCAACCATCAAGTCTAATTTCTCTTATATAAGGCATAGCCTTGACGTGATTTAAGAGGAAAACCAAAAAAGAAAATCACCGACGTTGGTCAGTACATACTACATATAGATGTTAAGATAGAACTTCACATATAATCATTGTGCATGGTCAAGAAAATCATGTATAGTATAAGAAAGTTGTACAGTCACCGCACCTTGTTACCATGCCAGACTTGCTTCAGACATAGGCTGCACCTCAAATCCAGCACGAGAAGATGGTAAGGATTGAAAGCGAATGGCAGGGATTCGGAAGGGTAAGAGTGCCAAATCAAAACTCGCAACTCATTAGAGAGAGAGCTTGGTCCGTTCGTGATCTGTACACCTCTTAATCTCAGCACTTTCAGATTCACCATCTTTGAAAACGCTTCCTTCCCACAATCTATAGTTGTCTTTTCGCCACAGTAAAAGTCATCTCCCAGTGATATAGTCTTCACATTTTCGCTTCCCTGCAGTAGAGTCGGCAACCAATCCAAGAATCAATGTCAATTAAGCCAAACCAAGTAGAACAAATATCATTAATTTCTCAATTCTGTAACTTTTTTATACTTTGCGATAAGTATATATACTCACACTTTCTCTTGTCAGTACATGACAAACATCTTGATAACCCTGCAATCTACTACGTTGTCCAGGCTCATTTGGACATTCAGAGCGGACAATTGCTCTCCCCATTTCCTCTATCAAACTGTGCATGCAACATAACATGCGATCAGAGTTGAATCTCAACAGTGACCTATCAAGAAGGCTCCTTAACCCAATCTCCGCACCGGGGCAGAGGTTTTCAGCTACAAGCATCCAAACATCAGGTTCATGAAGAAAAACATAACTGTACTTGAGAAATACAAAATCTAGGAATATTTCTCGTTCTTCTTCATCTAGTGCATCGTAACTTATTTTAAGCACCTCCATGATATCTCCCACCATGATCCTTTTCAGTTTCTCGATTGTGCTGTTCCAATGACTGACACTTTTTCCACGAAGTGATGAACCCAACACCTCCAGTGCCAGGGGAAGCCCATCAACATGCCCAATCATGCGCTCACACACCTCTTTGTAATCTCCCACAGGTTCATCTTGCTTGAAAGCTTCCCGACATAGCAAGACATGAGCTTCATCACGATCTAACAGTTGGGTCTGGTATATGGAATCCACATTTTGAGCCTTGAGCACTTGCTGATCTCTGGAAGTTATAATTATCCGACTGCCTAATCCGAACAAAGAATGCTCCATGGCCAAGGACTGCAGCTGCTTTTGGTGCGTGACATCGCGTCCACAACAAGAAGCATCTTCTTACCTCGGAACACCCTCTTGAGCCTCTCACTCCCTCCAAACTCCGGCCACATTTCCACCACATTTGTCACGGCATGGCCACCTATTTGATCAAACAGCTGCTTCTGCAATTGAAGCAGGCCTCCTGTGGTGTTGGAGACTTCTCGGACCCGGGCAATGTAAGTGCTGAACTCGAATCGAGAGCGAATTGTGTCATAAACGGCCATGGCAACTGTGGTTTTGCCGCTGCCGCCCATCCCACAGATCCCAATTATGCGAACATCGTTCCGTGCCGCTGCTGCGCCTAAACCTAATAAATCGACCACTGCTTCCACGCGTCCGTCCATTCCAACCAAACGCTTGGTGATGGTTGGAAACGTGGGAGTCAATTCCTTCCATATCTTCCCCACAATGTCCTTTATCATATCCGATTCATTTCTACAATTATTGTTCGTTGACAAAGGGAAGGACACAAATTAGCGAGCGATTGACAGGAGCAGTTTGGAATCGAGCAATTCAAGCAACTGATGGATTCAAAATAACAGAGAAATTAGGTCACTCGTAATTTGACGCCGAACCTGTAATGAGCGGTAGTGAATCCGGAGAGGTTAGCGACTTCCGTCAAAGCATCTCTCCATTTCTGCACTCTAACGCTTCCGCCGTCGTCAACGGTGGAGCCAAAAACTCGATCGTGTTTGGCAAAAGCTTCGGCGAAGCTGCTGCCCGTCTTCTGCTTCCTGACATCCGACGGATCCACCTCGTAGAAGATCGGAACAACGCGTTGGTCCCTCTGCGCTCGACAATAGAGGATGTGAACCAGTTCGTCGAGACACCAAGTGGAAGAAGCGTAGTGCTTCGACAGTACAACAACAGCAACTCTGCATTCGTCAATTGCTTTCAGGAGCTCCGGGCCAATGGAAGCGCCCTTTTCCAGGTTGATCTCGTCTTTGTAAACGAGGGAGACCCCTAATTTAGCAGACAAAGCGTCGCAGAGGTGACTGGTAAAACCCCAGCGAGTGTCTTCCCCTCTGAAACTCACGAACACCTCATACCTAGCAGGAACATATGACGATGGCGACGCCCATGAAGATGAGGCGAAAGGGAAGCATGGAGACTGGTGGCCGAGCGCCGTTGTCGTCATGTTTGCTTTCAGATAACACTGGCGGCAACAAGTCCTTGCTAACTGAGAAGAGGGAAAGTGCGCGATCGCTCCGGGGAAAACGCGTTGTTTCCATTTTCCAGCGCGTTGTAAAATTAGTCCATATTTTTTTCCACACACAATTTGATAAGAAAGTGAGAATAGTGGGGTTTGCTCTTGGTGTGAAAGATATAAGTTGTTTGACTTACAAGACCAGAAGGTGTTCCTTTCTAGAGATGTCCATAGCTACTACTCGAACTCGAATAATAAACGTACGATATGTTGGTGAATTGTAGTGCATGCCATAATCATATTCGCTCGAGAACTGAAGCTGAATTACTTAACTAACTAGGCGAGCATCGATTCATCCCAAAAGAAAAACACCAAGAAACACAAGCACGATTCAACAGCAACAAGCAAATGTAGAGAAGGCAATATCATATATATGGTCCGAACTCAGCGTAAGAAAAACCATCCTCAAACAACTGTAAGAAAAGTAGACAACAACCAAGACGTAGATCCACATAGTGAAGTAGTATACTTCTGCAAACTTCGCATTAGGGGCAGCACAAAGTAGAGGAAAACAACCATTGGCTAAAATATGTAAAAAGGACAGCAAGTCCGGTTCTTAGTTCTGTAAACGTAGAGACCCAACTATATGATGAATACTATCCCTTCATCAGTAGAGGGCGTCTAGTGCTTAAACCCAAAGTTCAATTAGATGTCCTCCACCCAAACAAAACCGTTCTTCCCCAGATGCATAACGAGATTCAAAAATGTTTTCGCCCTTGAAGCTTTGTATACCATAAACCTCCCCTCCTGGAACAGGGAAATTGAAACGGATTGGAAGCAGATCGAAAGAAAGTAAAAACAGCTGCAGCAAAACATAACCAGACAAATCCACTCTGCAAATCTTACGATTTTGCACCATAAAAAGCATCAGATTTACAGGAGATTCAACCCGGACCTAATTGCCTTTCTTCACGGGGGAACAAGCTCAGGATAGAAAAAGGTTGAACTGCAATATTGAGGCGATGGAGAAGAAATTGGCAGTACCTGAATTAAAGTAGCGAATTTCTTTGTCTGGGCACTTGGCAGCAGGGAGCTCCGCATCCCGAGCCGCAGGTGGACCCGCGACCGGCACGCCTTCTGCTGGTGCAGGCACTTGTTCGTCCCTGCAATCCTGCACCAGCAGGAACGAAGATTTGGCTGATTGCTATTCAGAATCGTACACTTCTCCATCATCAGAAACCTCGTCAAACGACCTCATGTCCACCTGGAACAGGCGCGCCAATTACTGGAGGAATTCGGCAGCATTCGCAAGTTCATCTCAAGCAAGAGCTGGAAAAGATACAATCTATAGCCGCAGACGGCCCCAAAAATCTAAATAGCGGTAAAATTCACATCAAACATTGCAAGATCTCCGCTAACTCTTCTTCCTTATGAATTATATATAGAGAAGAACAAGTCCATGGGCATGAACAGCACACAGACTCTCATTCCGGATTTTCACTCCATTTTTGTCACCGTCGTTTTCTCAGGAAACAATCGGTGGCGTCCAGGAGGAGAAACAGCTAACTCAAAAATCGTTCGCGCACACAAAACCCTAGCGGTAGACAACAGAATCGAAACAATCCGAAACAGCCATCGCAGAAAGAGAGGCAGAGATGGACCTGAAGTGGCTGATCGACTTGGGAGAGGAGATCGGAGGAGTGGTTAGGCAGGAGGCTGACGAGAGCGGAGAGCGCGGTGACGGAATGCTTCGGAGGTATCCTTCTCATCAATCCTAGCGCCGCCTCCATTTTTCTTTCACAGCCGTCCGTTCAATAGCCGAGTGAGAGAAACTGCCGTCGAATGGGAAATGCGTACAGATGATAACTGCGCGAATCGACTGGCCGGCAAACCGAGGATTGTGAGTACAAGGATGCGGAGGCTTAATTTGTAAGAATTATTCATCATAATAAATATTCTTCTTATCTTCGAGTCGTCTTAATTATTATACTAATATCTTTTTAGACTAATATAATTACTTTCTTTGCCATATATACCACACACAACAACCTAGGTGTCCTTCTCACGGTCTACTACCTCCCAGCATAGATGTCGCAGATCTTGAACTTCCCTAACTTGACAGGTGACCCTGATCTAACCTTTTGGCAATACCAGTGGAACAAGCACGGCAGCTGCTCCCAGCTGGCCCCGTATGATTACTTTACATAGATCCTCGGGCTGTATGGAGACATCGACCTCCTTGAGATCTTGATAAACCAAAATATTGTACCAAGAGATACTTACGCGGCGACAAATTGTCGGGCCGCAGTGCCAAACAGAAATGCCTCCATCAAGTGCCAGGTAGATGCTAACGGGAGGTACTTTCTAACGAAAATCCGCATTTGCTATGACGTCGCTCGGCAACCGATGACTTGCCCCTACATGGGGTTCGGGTCCTGCGGAGGACCTCAGAATCCCGTGGACTTCATCTCGGTTTAGTCCCTACAAATTTCATTTCTATATGGTAGCATGTGATGTGATTGTGCTGTAAATTAAACTAGTTTTTTGTCCCGCGCTTCACAGCGGGAAGAAACTACTTATATGGCTTAATCATTATTAAATACGTACATCATACATTTGTTTAAGTGATATATAAAAAATGAATATCCCTCCATAAGTTTTACAGTGTCTCATGACTAAATTTGTACGTAAAAGAATAACTTACGTTATAGAACATTGTATATTCCAAATCGATGAGATGATAAACAATTTATATCTAATAATAATAAATGAATTTTCATTCAAAATTCTATTATCGAATTGTAACGGAGTAGTTATATAACAATTTTTATTTAAGTTATACATAAGAAACTACTCCTCATAAGGATTTATGTAATGTGTTTGTAGTAACTTAAATGTCATACCGTAGTGTTACACATATCCTCATGTAGTTCGTTTAAGAATTTGATTAAACTGTTAGGTAAAAAACCAATGATCATATAGAACTTCAATGTAACATAAATAATAAAGAGTTTATGATGACTTTGAAACTTCCATATAATATACTTATACTTGTAATTACATCATTTTTTATATTACCGAAGTGTATGATAAATTTGAGACTTCTATATAATATACTAGTAAACACCACCACCAAACAACTTTTCCACTCGGCCACTTACCCATCTTGGTCCCTCACTGGACCAAACACCGGCCACCTCCGTCGTTCCACATGGCTCGTCGTAGGTTGAAATTAAAGGGAAATGCTTTAGCTTGAAGTACTAAAAAACCTTGACATGCTCGCTTGATATGTAAATTCTAACAGCACAAGTTTCATTTTTAGGAAGGAAAGAGCAAGCCGCAAGGCCGCCTCTGGTCGTTCCTTTCCCGCCGGAGAAGAGAAAGCAGCCAGCAGCTACAAACGCCCGCTACTCTCCCACATCCCGCCAGGCCAGCAGCAACGACGCTGCACCCACTCAGCTCCAGCTGGCGGCCGACTCTGCACCTCGTCGCCCCTGTTTCTCCGCGCCACTCCTCGCCGACAACCCACCCTGTTTCTCGCCGGAGTGTGCCGCCTACCTAGGGGCCGAAATATCCGCAACTTCGCATAAGAAGATGGTCGACAGCAGATGTACAGAACTTCCGTTTGACCATCCTTCTAACCGGCCCTTTGGTCTCGTTTGACCGGCCGTTCAATCGTCCGGTTGACATTCAGTTTCATACATCTAAATTCTCTGAGAAGCGGATATGGAGAATTTTAAAGGGATACACTAACTCCACTCACAGGAAGACCAATTCAGTTAGCATGCTTAGAGCTGCAGCTACACAAGAACAATTGACAAAGCTGCATAAATTAAGATGTTCACAACTGTAATCTGCTACTCGAACTCGAACAATACTTGTTCTACGTTTCGATGAATTACAATGTGCGTGCCATGATCATATTCGCCTAGTCAAGAAACACAAAAGCACGATTTAACAGCAACCAAGACATAGAACCACATAAACTAGAAGTATACTTCTGCAAACTTCGCATTAAGGGCAGCAACAAAGTGCAAACTGCAGAAGGCAGCCCTTATTCCAATTGCAGAAACATTTTCAATGCCAAAACCACAACCACAGGCTAAAATATGTATTCAAAAAAAGACAGCGAGTCCGGATCTTAGTTCTTTAAACGTAGAGACCCCAACTATATGATGAATAACACTTCACCCATAGAGGGCGTCCAAAGTTCCAACGCAAAGTTCAATGATATGTCCACCCAAACAAACCCGTTCTTCCGAAGATGCATCACGAGATTCGAAAATATTTCCGTCCTTGAAGCTTTGTATACCATAAACCTCCCCTCCTGGAACAGGGGAATCGAGACGGATAAGAAGCAGATCAAAAGCAAGTAAAAACAGCTGCGGCAAACATACACGAACCAATCGACCTCTGTGAATCTTATAATTTTGCACTATGAAACACATCATATTTACAGGAGAGATTCAACCCGACCTATTTGCCTCCCTTTATGGAAGAACAAGCTCGTGATAGATAAAGGTCGAACTGCAACATTGAGACGATGGAGAAGAAATTGGTAGTACCTGAATTAAAGTAGCCAATTTCTTCTTCTGAGTACTTGGCAGCAGGGAGCTCCGCATCCCGAGCCGCAGGTGTCCCACGACCGGCTCACATTCTGCTGGTGCAGAAACTTGTTCGTCCCTGCACTCCTGCACCAGCAGGACGGTAGATTTGGCTGATTGCTATTCAGAATCGTACACTTCTCCATCATCAGAAACCTCGTCAAACGACCTCATGTCCACCTGGTAGCGCAAAATGCCACCAATACCACCAAACCCTCTGCAGAACTGGGACCCTTCCTGGGACTTGTTTGTAACAAACTCGAGTGTGCAGCCGAATCGCTTGTACTCATTAGCAAACCACTCTAGCAGAGGCAACTTCTCCTGAACCTCGAGCTCAACATTGGTAGCTGCATCCCTAAAGTTGCTTTCGTTCATCTCTTGCTCCTTGGTAAAATGTTTTATTACAATCTCGCTCGTTGCAGTGTTCTTCAGCTCATATCTGTTAACATCCAAATTCTCCCAAACAATGAGAATCTCAACAGCGCCCATATCCAAAGCTGCCAACGTGTCATCGACACCGAACACATATTTCCCAGTATCTTGACTAATCTCCTCAAAGTACTTCCCTATCAGCCTCTTCTCCTGAATAAACTTCACATTGGAGAGAATCTCTGAAGACAGCTCGATTGCCTGATTGAATCCGTTCTCCCCGCCATAGGAGACATCCACCACATTCAGAATCTTGACCTGAAGTCGAGCATCGAACATGTCAGACTGACTCAGCTCAGTCTTGAAGTCGGCCGAACCAGCCAGTATAAGACCCGATACATTAGGCTGACTTGTTGAAGGATCTATAAAGAATTGTGTCGCCAGCTCAGCAGTCTTCCTCACATAGTTGTGGCGCTTCTCCATCCGGAGCCTAGCAAATCGAAGAGCAGACTGCCCTCCTCTTCCGTGCTTCTTAGGCAGGTCAACTGAGAACTTATGGAGGATTTCTCGGGTATTGCCACTCAGTGTTCCAAACAGGGTACCATTACCATCCATGACAATGAATCCAAATTTGTCATCCGACTCTAGAAGTTCGTTCAGGGCTTCAGTATGAAACTTGTTGTCACAGAGGTAAAGAGATGCATTGATGGGCCTAAAGGGCTCAAAATCCATAGTCACCTTCTTCTCTTTGCCATCATCAGTGACAATTGTTCCAGTGTAGAGCACAAGACCATTAGGTGGGACCTTATTGTAGAGTTTCAGCCTTTGCTGAGCAGACGTGATGGCGCCGAGAACAGATTGACGGTTGACCCTGCTCTTGATGTTTGAAGCAGTTCCATACTCATCACCAAGCATCTTTGCAATACGAGAGATTTGGTCCCGTGGAGGTATGACGAGGGAAATCATGCTTGTCCCATTGCCTCTGGCAGCTTCCAGAGACTTGATGAGCTTCTTGATCTTCCAGATCTCAATGTTCTTATCATCACTGTCAGCCATCGTAAGAGATCTGAAACAAACACTTGACTTGTTAAACAGCAAGAAAAAGAAATCCAGAGACTTCTCGACAAATAATTAAAAGTAGAGAACCAAGTATACTGCAACTGAGCAAGCAGAATGAACAGATACCCATTGCAAACAGAGCAGATAAGAGCGTCCAAGGAGAATAAACTAATTGCAGAAAACTTAACGCCAGTAAACAATCAATTCAGAACACTGATATTCAGATTGGTTCCATGAATATAATCTGATCAGTGAAACTCAAGACAACCAATAAAAGCAAATTAATTCCCTGTTTTAAGATAAGCTTTTCAAAGTTTAGGCCAGAAATTCAGAATCTAATGAGTCAAAATCTGTCGAAGGCCACACATATCAGCAAATCAAACGACGATAAAGCTAAGGAATCATTAACAAACCCTATTCCATTCCAGCCATGCAAATAAAGGTTCGAATCCTAATCCTTAGCCTTCCAAATTCTAGATCGATGAACGTTTCCTTGCTTCGGTTTCTCCCAAACTGAACAGCTCGAGAAATCCACAGGAATTCTCCGATTCACATCATAACAACACAATTTAACATGAAAAACGAACCCAAGATGCATAGAATTCACAGATTCGAGCTATGAAAGAAGGAATTACCGTAGGTTCTCAAAGAGTAAGGGGGTCCTTCTCCGCGACGGCGAGCGTTTGGCGCAGAGCCGCAGAGAAAGGGGGCGAGATGGAAGTGAGAAAAGGAGGGACACGGAACTTGGGTTAGGGTTTCAGGAATAACCTAGGGGCAAAAATCCTAATAAATAACTTATTTTTCCTTTAATCATACGGTCTCGACGATATTTTAGAGGGAATTTGAAGTATAATTATTTATATACATCACTTAAAAAAAAAGTCAAGGGTCTCTCTTCCAAAACCTTCTTTACTACGAATCCTCTTCAAATATAGTGAAATTGATTTATCTCACTATAAATTAACTGGCATATATCATATGTAAATTTGTATGTTCTTTCATTGACAAGTGGGCTTGCATTGACAGAAGTTGCTAAGTAGAGAATATTGTTGAAAGCTCTGCTTAATGATATGGATTTACATCATGATCATATTGCGGTTTATTGTGATAGTTTAAGTGCAATATATACATGGCAAAGGGTCAAGTCCATCACGAGAGGAGTAAGCATAAAGACATGATGTATTAATTCCCAACTAAAATGAAGAAGGTGGACAATATTGATATGTCCACGAATCCAACAAGTTTCAACACTACTTGAACTCGTTAAAGCTCAGAGTTGTTAATGCCCTTAGGGACATTTTGAGGTAGGAGGGAGGTGTCTGAGTGCATCTGACAATCGCGGTTGCATAAAGTACATATGATGTTTGAGAAAGAATTCGAGTTGAGGTGGAGATTTATCGTTTTAACTTGAAGTCTGATTATGTGTCGTCGACTGGAATTATGAGCTTATACACACATGATTTTTTTTATCTTAGACTCGTTTTGTTACATTTTCCTTTCGAGGTTGGATTAGTGTTGTCATCATTTAGAAATGTGTTTATATATACCTTCTAAACCCCTTTGTAAGATGTAGGGCTGGGCATGCGGGCGGATCATCCGTGGGTTTGGGCCGACCCACCCGCATTTGACCCGAATTTCGTTAAGTGGGTGGGTCTATGGGTGGGTGACGGGTTGCGCTGGGAGTCATCCGCCGGGTGGTGGGTGGGTTGTGGGTGGGTGTGCGGGTAACCCGCTCAACCCAACAACAAAAAGATCAAAGTCGTCGGCGCTAGAGAGGGGAGAGTGGAGACGTTAGACATAAACTAGGACTGCTCCTGGAGTTTGAACCTCAAAGCCAACCTTCCAAATAGCGATCCCCTCTTCTTCCCTTTATTTTTTCCTCTAATACTTGTGCCTAGATCACTACTCTTTCCTTTGTGGAATTATTTTTCTTAGTTCCTTGCACTTGATAATCATCTCAATTTGTAGAAAACTCTTTCATAATAGAATTTCTATCCATTTTAAGAACTAATTCGACATTTTTCGCCCTATTTCATCTTCTTGTTTCCCCAGATAACTCTCTTCGCCTATTATCATGTCAAGTTGACTCCTTTATATTATATACATTGTGATGTGGGTGAACCCACAAACCCACCCAAATCATCCACCATCCGCCCGACCCAACCCGAGACTAAATGTGGGTGGGTGGTGGGTTAAAAATTATCAATCCGTTTAAGCGCGGGTGAGTGCATTTTATGGTCAAAATCCACCCGACCCACCCAATGCCCACCCCTAGTAAGATGTATCATTCTCAAATAGAGTAAAATCAATTTCTTGCTTGTGAATTAGGTAATACATTTCGTGTTATGGACTACCAAAAATTGTGTATTTTTTAATTTCTTGCATCGTCAATTTCCCGTTCTGTTCCAACATAATCAATAAAAAAACTGTGTAATGGGAAATAATATGAAGACAAATAAGGTAGTAAGGTAAATTTACCTTTCAAAATTATAAATCCATCCTCAAACTACTATTCAAATAATATACTCTTCAGCAAATCTATCATAAATCTAAAAATAATTTTGATTTATTTTAACAAAATCTCGTACTTTTCAAACCTAGCAAGCAAATAAACCCTAAATGTTCATTCATTGAAGTAAATAACAAGCCCTTTACTCTCTCAAGAGGGGAAAATTATAAAAACTGAATCGCGTAATTTACATAATTGTCCATTTAAAAATTCAAAGGGTTAATACCCTCGTTTGGCACAAAGTATAGCGTTAGTGACATTTCTGGCTCAAGTTTTCAAATAAGACATCTCTGGCCCACTTTTCAAATTATCGGACGAATTTGGCCTATGGAACGGGTTGACTGTCAGATTTGACGGTCAACAATATTCTCCGTTGCTGACTCAGCATTGGACTCTGACGTGGCTTGTCCACGTCATTTATTTTAAAAAAAAATAAACAAAAATAAACAAAACTAAAAGGGAAAGGTGGAGACCAGCCCCCTTCTTCCTCCTGTGAAACCAACCCCCTCTTATCCCTTCTCCGAACAACTCCGCCCGATCCCTTGAACTGCCATACCCCCAATCAATTAACCACAACGCAGATTTGTTATTTCATCGAGCTGGAAATCGACTCGTTCGCCGGGAGCGGGGCGGAAACCTCGTCGGCGGCGAGGGACGACGAAGACGAGCTGATTCTGGAAGCAATCGCCAGGCTTCCGTCGGAGAAGCGGGACAGGTACGCGGTGCTGAGGAGGACCGAGACCATCGATTTGCATAAATTGAAAAAGACGGACAGAGAGCTGCTGGTGAAGAAGGCTCTGGCGACCAATTCACAGGACAATTTCAAGCTGCTTTCGGCGATCAAGAGCCGGCTGGATCGGGTCGGGATCGAGGTGACGACGGTGGAGGTGAAAAGGTGGAGCGGCCGATGGATGCGGAGGGAAAGGTTTGAATGGGTTTGTGGACCACCTCACGGATTGGATCCGGTCCGGGAAGATGATTGATTGATGGGCGGCGGAGTTGTTCGGGGAAGGGGATACGAGGGGGTTGGGTTCACAGGAGGAAGAAGGGGGAATGAAAGAGATGGGTAGTGTGTGGTGGACCTGGTCTCCACCTTTCCCTTTTAGGTTTGTTTTTTTTATTATTTTTTTTTAACTTACTGACTTGAAATGTTCATAAAAAGGGAAATAAAAATAAATGACGTGGACAAGCCACGTCAGAGTCCAATGCTGAGTCAGCAACGGAGAACATTGTTGACCGTCAAATCTGACAGTCAACCCGTCCCATAGGCCAAATTCGTCCGATAATTTGAAAAGTGGGTCAGAGATGTCTTATTTGAAAACTTGGGCCAGAAATGTCACTAACGCTATACTTCGTGCCAAACGAGGGTATTAACCCAAATTCAAATTGAAATTCCAACCAAATGTCACACACACATGCTCTCCTCCCTTATTCCTCTGCCTCCGACGAGCCAAGCCTTTCCCCCGACGACATAACCTCTCTCTGCTCAGCCACAATTCACCGGAGAAGACTAAAGAAGGTCGACCCAAATGTTCCAGCCTTCTTGTCCCCAGAGTCATGACCTAATGTTGCACAAAACCATGAACAAACTCCAATATGACATGTGAGGACCTCTCATGAATCAAGATCATCCATCACTACTTCTCACGTATTGGCAAAGGTGCTAAGCATAAATCGAATCGAGAGGCCATAATCCTTCTCAAATCTTAACCTTGCATTCTCCTGAAATCACACACATATCAACAAGATAACATCTTTTAATTCCACATGATACCCAAATCGTCGAATTTCTCTAATACCACAATCCACCAGTTCAAACGTCTCGCCAATCCATCAAGCAACTAACCAGATAGAGAGCTGTCTGTCCATGGGGGAATTTGGAGTTTGCCTCGGAGAGTAGTGTTCGAATCCAAAGACACCTCACAGATTGCCAGCTGAACCTTTGAGAAATCCGGTGAGGCACGAACCCGGAGAACTGCTGACCAGAAGGGTTAAGAAGTTAAAACTCCTCCTGGGACTCCGTCATCAATTGCCTCAAATCAACGGCCGAATCAGAGTAACCCTGTTCGTGATTCGATGACGCTGCCGCCGCAGTCGAGCCTGCTCGTCGTTCATTAGGTCTCGGAGGCGTCGGTTTCAAAGGGCCATCATCCTCATTCCACAAATCCTCTGCTCCTTCCTTCATGAAACGATCGGCGAGCGCCTTGACTTGGTCTTTCGGAGCCATGGGATTGTAATTGGAAGACGACGAATCGTTGTTGGGCGGTGGGCTATCGGCTAGTTTGGCGCGGATTGAGGACCGGATTCTGGCCTGGTAGAGCTGCTTCTCTTGGTCGAGGAGGCGCTTCTCCTTCTCCGAAGCCTTCTTCTCGTGGAGGCGCTTCCACTGCCACTTGTTCAATCCGCCGGGGAAGGTGCGCGGCCCGCCGCCCATGAAGCGGACGAAGAGGCGGGTGCGGAGTAGGTGGTTAGCAGCCATTCTGGTCAGCTCCATTCCACTGACCTAGAAACAAAGTGGAAGAGGGAAAGAAAGGGTTATGGCATCGATATGTAAAATAATAAGGAGCGAAAAAAGAGCAGGGATTGGAAATTAACCATAAGGATTCGGACGGCGGCGATAGAAGAACGGCGATTGAACGTCCGGCGGTTCCTATCGGAAGGAGCACGAGGCGGCGAAGGGAGATAGATAGAGAGAGAGTGGGGAAGGAGAAAGGAGGATGCAGGCTGGGAGATGAATTGCGTAGGGTTTTTGAGGAACGGAGACAGGGTTTAACGGAACCTGCCCGAAAGTCTTGAAACTAACGCAACTTTGCCGCCGGACCGAACCTTTTCTACCCCGGATGGTTAACCCAACCCGGGTGATTTGAAGTTGGGGTTGGTTCACGAAACCCAAACAAAACCAATCCGACCCAAAAATTCATAAGAGGTAAGAGCAATGGATTTGCATGGAGTTGAATTTAATTTGGTTTTGAGTGACAAAGGATAGATGACATTATCAAAAGTTAGATTACGTTGACGATGTGAAGACTAATGATCGATGCGTTGATAAAGAAAACGTAATTGATTATAAAAGTTGAATGTTATTAAGAGATTTTGTTAGTGATCTACGCGACCCGATGGGTCGAGTTAGCCAAATCAAAGTTCTCTACCACGGATCATCTCCGGTTGTACCTCCTAGACATTCCACTTCCACAACATTACAACACCACACTATGTTGCCGTCTAACAATCTCTAGTATCCATGAACTGCTAACGAGAACTCGTATCTCAGTGTACAACAGTGCAGCAAGTGGACCGGTAAACAACGCCAAAGACGGTCTGAGGGGAACGTATAAAGCTGCAACACGTCGAATGTGTCGATTTCTTCTGGGTTCTGCATTGAATGATCAGGACAGCATCTAGCTGAAGGGACAGTAGCCAATAAAAAATGTTAACTCCCTCCTGCATCCCGAAGTTTCAACTTAGCATGTCGCTCCTCGTATGATGCTACATCGAATAAGGCACCCGAAGTAAAGGTCTGATCAGAGACATATCAACGAAAACATAATCGCAGGTCTTTATGTTGTTGAATCTGCTAAATGTTTTAAGAGGGGGGGCTGACTTACGTTCTGTTGGTCTCGACATCAAAGGAATATGGGAAGCTTTCCCTCTGATTTTCACAAAGCTTTCCCCGTTGTGCTTATCTGAAAATTTCGGTTTAAGTTATGATCATTAAAGTAAGCAGAAACAGGCAACATTCACATTTAGACTGGAAGGAAGATGAACAGACAAAACCAGAGTGAGGGAAATGCAGTACCTGTTGGGCGCATACAGCTCAACATAGCCTCGTTATAGATAGCAGCTTGAAGTTGGTAGGTTCTGCATTCATTTTCCAAGTGCACAGAAAGATCCTGCTCGGCAACTGCAAAACGGATGTCATGTGCCAAGAGTTGCATCAAGACATTAAGATTGACAGCTCTCTGAACACGTTAACAAGAATGTAATGTGTTTTTTGTATCGACCTACAACTAAAAGCAGAAGTTTCTCTCAATCTGAATATTAAGGAAGAACTTTTAGAAATATGAAATGAAAAACTCTATCCAAAGTCGACAATATCAGGCGAGACAAAAAAAAAAAAAAAAAGACGATACCAGGTCGATGGAAGTAAGATTTTCCAAATTAACTTCTTAAACTAACCCCATTTTTCTTTTTATGCTTGTACTATGCAATGATGACATCATCTACCATATCAGTGCAACCTTCTATAGTTATATTCCCCAAGCAAATAGGAACTGTATGTTTATGGCATTTCATGTACCTGATGAACAAGTAAACTTGAGGCCTTCAAAATCACAAGAAGACAGAATCAATGGGATTTCTGAAGCCATGGCATACTGAGGCTTTCTTGTTGTCCTGCTCGTATCAAGCAATGTATCTACCACCTGAACAATAAAACGAGTTCGTGAGTTTCTCTTAACACAGGAACACCAACTTTCCACAAAGGCAGAACTCCATCAAGGGGGTAAAAAAAGAAGTACGAGAAATGATGATAACATTTTGATCAATAAACCAACACAAGTATGCATCCATCCAAACACTACATCTTAATCTGCTAGGCAGAAGACGCTTCATTTTTAAGGGTTTCTTCATTTTACGTCACAAATGGTCAGGATAATTCTAGCTCACCAACTACATTCGCCAAACTTTCTACTGTATAACAAGAAAATCATAGGGCGGCCTCCATTATATCCCCACCTGAAATTAAAAAATATTTGAAACAAGCTATATTATCTCTACTGCGACTGCTAATAGAGGAACCAGATTAATCTACTTGAGCTTTTCCAAGAACCCAAGGTATTTCCCATATTATGTCATCACTATCTTACGCTCATCTAGCAGAACTTTATTGAATCGTTGTGTGCATGTATAAACGATGAAGAAAAAGGCATAAACTACTTGATTTGTTATGATATATTATCCCACTCTGGCAACATAGTACATTTTGAACAGCTAATTAACGAACAAAGATTGACACACTTAGGTGTTCACCCAGTACTCACATCTGGAGATTCAAGTCCCTCACCAACCATAAAAAGCACAGCAACTATGCACCGGACTTGGTGCCACAGGAAAGCACTGCCTTTGATTTTGATTGCAAAGAGTTGATTACCTTGAAACCTGTAAGTGAACAGAATATATCATTTCCTAAAAATAATTATAAGAAAGAAATTGGAAGAGAATTCCTCTTCAAAACGTTTACCAGGTCTGGTTTTTCTCAAAAAGAATTGATTGCCTAAGAACGGTGGCGCTTCAATTTTACTTATTTGTGATTGAAGAATGCAGGTTTCGAGCCACTCATGCAGTACCATTGGTCCAAGAAGTTCCTTTGTCCCTCACTTTCCTTACACTACCAGTAAAATTCCCAATGCTTGTTTTTCTTTTAGTTTTTTTTTTTTAATAAGGCTGTAGAGTCCAAATCCTTGTGGGGAATTTAGCCACCATTCACTTTGCCTAGTCATTCAGTGGTCATAAAGGAGCAATGCAACCAGAATAGAAGATATCCAACCTCAAATCAGAAGGAGAAATTTCAAACGAGTCTATGCGCCGCACATAGTTGTGCACATTGGCTGCATCCATCTTACAGAAGTTCCTGTAGTCATGCTCCCCAACAAATTTCTTACCAGCCGTCTCCATAGCCTGCACCAAATGGCATAAGAATTGATCGAATACCTTACGTTTCATACACAGACCATGAAAATCATGTACTTGATGCAAAGTGTTTGCGCACCTGAAGATCCAGTGTGCCACTCCAAAACAAATATTTGTACCCTCTGCCCAAACAGCTGAACCTGCACCATGATTTAGAATGAAAAGATACAAAGGATGACTAAACAATCCCGTTTCGAGAAAGTACCAGCGAGCATGGTACTTTTAAAGCATATGTCCTGAACCTTGCATGGAAATCAACTGGAACAGGACACCAGCCAAAAATTCGAATGTCTTGCGGAAGTGCCCGATTCAATACTCGTACATAATCAATTTCCTCTTCTGAAATTGAAGCAAAGGTAATGGGGTTAATAAATTGCTTTGAAAGCATACGACCATCAAGTCTCTCAAGAGAACAAACTAAAAACTATTGCTCACATGAAAAAGTTAGCTGTACCATTTTGTCCGTCAACAAAATTTTCCCTTGAATCTGAGGTGTTTGAGTTAAGGTGGCGAAGTTTTGACCGTAAGAACAGAGCAATAACCTGCATACAATCATATTTAACGTTCTTTGATTTTTTTTCTAGCCAAGAAAATACAGCATAGTGGAACAAACAGCAAAGCAAGCTATTTTACGAACTTCATCAGTTGTTGATAGTTTATATGATCAAACCTTGAGATGAACAATTAACAAATAACCTTTTCTTTGGCCGCTTAAACTGGAGTTTTGTTTTGGTAGAACAGTGGACTTTTTTGTTTTGGTAGAAGATGAAGTTATTTCATATACTATGGCATTGGATTAAGGACTTTGTTCAAAATTTTCTACTTCTGTGTTCTTAAATCTGTCCAGGTTGGTATAGGCAACCCAATATATAATTACTGCATAATGGCTCTTAGCTCTAATCAAGGTTCAATAGTTGGCTATCTTTAAGGGTTTTATGTAAACTATCAGATTAATGTGAATAAAATCTGTATGACAATGAGTTCACAACAACATCAACTATGTCTTGCTCATGCATGTAATATCAGCTAATGCATCGACCTTACGAATTGAACTGTTATCTTGGTCTACTTCAATTTTGTATGCCTGAGTCTGGAATATACTTTTTAGCTTAATCAAAAGCTCCAACGCGGGACTATTATGATTTATGATGTGCCATTGATGGACATGAAATGTCTTTGATTGGTAAAGTTTGAGCAAAGGATTACAGGCTTGACAGCTCTCAACTGCCCAAAGTTCTTATGAGAATGAAGGAGTTAATCTGTCTGAAACAACAGATCCAATGTGCAAGTCTCAGCCTCACTTTTTCTCCAACCCTTAAAACAGGTCTAGATTTAGACCTTCAAGCATCTACCAGTCCTAAGTGAAGTCTAAGTGGACTCACCAAGATGAAAATTTCCTAAGAGAACTCTACATCTACAATGACAATCATGAAATGAGAAAAAATTGCAGCAATGATATTAAGTTCACTAATGTGCTTCAAAGTTTCGATGCAAAGCCACATATTATGAGATACAATCCCAGTGATGAATTTTTCTATATTCAATGTCTCCATACCGATAACTTCTAGTGAGCACAACTACAAAAATACTATAAACTAGTAGAAAGATGCAGATTACAAGTTCAGGACAGAAAAATGGCCAAAGCAGGAAAATATAACTCCCAACCGATTCCTTTGGCGGAAAACACACCTGTCCAACAGCAGATACTCCTTTGTCAGTTCGACCACACCGGGAATACTGTGCTTCCTTCTTGTTAGTAACTAAAAGCCTTGTCTTCTCAAGAGCTTTGAAAATCTCTGACTAGGAGAGGAACTCAAGTTACTTGAGGAAATTCGTTATTGAAAAGAATTATCAGCTTATATAGATACCCCAGAAAATTTATTTGTTGACTAAACCATGAAAACACTAATCTGCCTTTAATTAAGTTCGCAAATCACAAACTCATAACTTTAAGTGGAGGACGACCAAGTGACCTTTCCATCAACACGGATCATCTCATAAATCCTAATCTTCTTTCAAATTTTCAAAAAAATTATATTGAATTACAAAAACCTAAAACAACTAGGTGGCAGAAAGAAAGCGAGAGACACACAATAGCAAATATAGCCGCCTACCTCAACGGTTGGTTCCATTTGTGCCTCCGATGCAAAACCATAAAACCTGGAAGAAATAAACACTTGAGAATTCATCATCTAAATCAGCAACCAGAAAAAGACACTCTAGTTCCCAAATTATCACGGTTATAGACACTAATATATAATAGAGAGTGGGAAGGGGGGGGGGGGGGGTGAGATTCTTTTTCGGTTGCCTGAGAAATTCTACACTCACTACCTTGAAAAATTGAAGTAAAGAAAAGAGCACCAAGTCTCGTAGTACCTTGGACCAAAATACATAACTTTTAAGGCAACATATCTCCTTGGGCAGTGACTCACTGTCCTTGAGTCATAACCTGTACCGAATGACAGTGTTGTCAGGAAGCAGAAGCGCAAAACTAGAGCAAGGAATCAGCTTTCTAACAGCATTCAAAACATAAATAAACAGACTAGAGAGAAGAGACACAAGAGTTTAATTACTTGAAATTTCTGCTACTCTTTTCTTTCTTCTGGTCTTCTTTGTTTCTGCACCTCCTGAATTTCTTTCCCCGTTGGGCTCTAGTGAGCTTCTGCACTCCACTTCCGACTCACCAAGCTGTTGTGTCCCTTTCTACATCCAACCCACTTAATATCAACAATCAAAACCCCACAGCAAAAGGCTAAGCATGAATTTGAAGAAACGGATAAAATATGAACTGGTACACGCAAGTTCTTACACACAATTCCATTTGAAACTTCCCCATAAAGTGCTCGACAGAATGCCAACAACAACAACGACCAACAATAAGGAAAAAGACAGACAATGAAAGCGCAGAATGCGCAGTATCACGAACCTGATCACAGCAACAATTGGCCATTCGTGCAGCCAATTCGGCATTCTCCGCTTCCAGTTCCTGGAACAAGCAGCAAGACCAAAAAAAATCAGCAGGATACAGAAACGAATTGCCATTAACAGAAACGATAAGCAGTAAGAGAGAAACTGGCTTACGTTTACTCTGCCTCGTAAAGTAGCTATTTCAGATTTCAAAGACGTAACTGTTTCTTCTTCCGCCATAGCTCTATGATGATGCGAGCTCCTAATGTTGAGTTTTAACGATGGAGAAACGCACAAGAGGCCAAGACGAAGAGCCGACGAGACGACTAGTTCGAACTGTGAAGGCTCTCTATTTTTAAATATCTCGAATTTGGGCCCATTGAATGGATGCAAATAAGACTTTGGGCTTTGAAAGCCCAAGTTGAAGAAAGGATCTAACAGCAAGAACTCCACCAGTTCTTTTTCGTATCTCACATTGTCACAGTCCCCGGAACGACATAGCCAAAGCACGAAACTCCGCTCTGCTCTGCTCTTCTCGCTTCATTCTTGACAGTTCTCTCACCGGCGGCGATTTCTCCATCATCAAAATGGCTCCCGCTGGCCCCCGATCCGGCGATGCAATCTTCGCTAGCGTCGAGCGCGTGGTAATGTTAATTTCCTTCTTTTCCGACCCCATTTTCTCAGATACCAAACTGGGAATTTGCAATATAGGTTGTATGTGATCGATCCAGTGGGTTACGGATTCCGGAGGGTTTTCATTTCTCATATTTCACTCTGTATTTCCCCGGAGACTGAGGATTTTTCTAATCTTTACCACCAGTGTTTTTCCTCGTCATTTTCTGTGGGAATTGGAATGGGAACTGAAGAAATGTTTGCTCTTTACTGTTTCATGCCCCGATTCTCATTTAGTTGTGACGCTGATTGTGTTGAAATGTGACTCCTTGTAGAATGCAGAGCTTTTCACGCTAACGTATGGAGCGATTGTGCGGCAGTTGCTGACAGATTTGGAGGAGGTTGATGAGGTCAACAAGCAGCTGGACCAAATGTAAGGCTTTAAGTAAGAACGTTTTGTTAAACTAAATCCCATATCAAAAGAGTGATTTTAGAGCTTGATTATTTTGTGATCTGGTTACTTGGACTATTGAGCTAAAGATGAATTTGGAAATGTGTCTTTCGGTGGCGCTCTCAAGGTAAAAAAATTCTAGTTACCTTTAAGTGGTTGTTGCTGTTGTGAACAATTCTAAAAGCTCTTATATTTTAAACAAGCATACTTGTGCAATTGAAAATGTGGTCAAGTATGGAAACTGGGAAGAGGGTAGTGATTATCTGTTTGAGAAAACTGACTCTAGTTTTTTGGATGCTTGATATGCTGTTAGGGGCTATAACATTGGGATTCGCCTGATCGATGAGTTTCTAGCAAAATCTAATGTCTCTAGATGTACGGACTTCAAGGAGACAACTGAAGTAATTGCGAAGGTTAGTGATATTTCCAGTAATATCTGTCCTAGCTAGAGTGTGTAAATGTTATGTATAGAAGCAGGATTGCCCCAGATATCTGTCCTAGCTAGCTCCAAGTAAATTGCTTTTGGATAGACCAAAAATACCTGTTCATTGTGGGTTTACTCTGGTCTAAACTTTGTAGAACCTTTTACGTCTATTCAATAAGACTAACATATAATCTGCATCAACATCTATATGCCTTGATACTTCGATCAGATATGAGATCAGGCTTCTGGCTATATACTTTCTTATTTCAGAACTTCTGCTTTTTCGATTTCCTTATTCTAGTGAAGGCATACCTTGGTGCTGTGTAGTGCAAACAGTAAGCAATAACTTTTCTCAGATTTTCTTTGTTAAGGAACCGTCTGGAATACCTTAAAATTCAGTCTTTAGCATACTGAATCCATATTGTGTACAGTTCTGAGTAGTTGTTCCTTGACTGCATAATTCATATAGTCTAGGTTTCCTTTTCTTATCTTCCCTTCTCTCTTTCCTTTTATGTTCAAGTGTGAAAGAAATGTGCTTTGGGCACCCTACTCTTTGTGGTAGTAACAGTGAAAGAGGTTCCAAATTTTATGACTTCACAGTTGTTGGACATAGACACATTTGCTGATAAATTGACTTTTTTTACAGGTGGGCTTTAAGATGTTCCTTGGGGTTGGTGCTTCAGTTACCAACTGGGATGCTGAAGGAACATGCTGCAGTATCGTTTTGGAAGATAATCCTCTAGTGGACTTTGTTGAACTTCCTGATACTTGTCAAGGCCTTTACTACTGCAACGTTTTGAGCGGTGTCATCAGAGGAGCCCTAGAAATGGTTAGTGCACCCTCCCATGCCTATCTCCCGGGCTTAGTCTGTTGAGCTCTCTCCCTCTCGCATACGATGTTTTTATATGTTAAAACACTCTGATAATTTGAAGTTAGCACCATGGCTCTTGAAGGGTATAGTTTAGCTGGGAACATTTTGATAAGCGGTTCCATTGCACAAGAACCGGTTTGTATGCATAATTCTATTTAATGTTGATTATTGTCATCAGAAATTTTGCCAAATGTTTTCATCCAGCCAGTTACTACCAGCTTTCTTTTACAGGTTAATCCCCATTGTTCATGTGTGAATGACCCAAATTCAATGCTGTAGTTTAAATTGCGAAGCCGCACATTTGACACAGATGACTGATTTCTTTTCGGCTTTCCAACTAGTGGGATGAAAAAATTTCTTTCGATAAACACATTACTGAGTCATGAGACAGTTGCACTGATTTGTCCCTCTGGAGGGTTATCTTTACTGGTGATCAATTCGCTTGTTACTGTCTATTCTAACATTTTGTGGATTAGTCAACAATGGTCGATTTGTGGTTTATTTCGAACCTGCCTCTCGTGCATTTGGTTTTCGTTCATTGTATTGATCCTCAGTGTTCCATTATCTTCAGGTATCCATGAAAACAGAAGTCACGTGGCTCCGTGACGTGCTTCGGGGCGACGACGTGTTTGAGTTGCAGGTGAAACTTATAAAACAAGTTCCAGAAGAGTACCCGTACAAGGATGATGAGTAAACATCCTTGCTTGCGCACCCTGGTTGTTCATACACTTGATACACTATCCTCTTTTTTCTCCTGTATTTGTTTTCTCCTGGAAAGAGGAATTTCTCTCCGAATGTCAAAATCTTCCTCTTATCTCCCGAGGCTATAACATCTTGGACCTGGAATAGATCACACTTGATGACTGTGTAAGCTTGTTTAGCAGTTGATGAGCTTTTTTTAAGAATTTCATGTGATCCAATGCTGTGAGTCTATGTTGCATTGTCATCCTATGCTGTTTAAGTTCAAGATTCGATGTTCGATTAGGTTGAATTGACTTTTGGATCAAACCGAATCGAGCTTATGCAGTTCAATAGAGTTTCAAGATTGTGGATCTTGAAGGGGGAAAAAAGCAAAGAAAAAGCTGGCTGAGTCCCAGTTTCCATAGGATTAGAACTGAATAATATTGGACACACTCTCGGTCGGTTCAAACCTATTCCTCTACTTTTAGAGGATATTGGGTTGGACCAGACCTTAACCACCTAAAATTGCTAGGTTCCAACACTAATTCGAACCTGTTAACCCACAGATCTTAACTAGATCTTATTGCCAAAAGATTTTCCCTTACAAACAAGACATCAATTATTTATTGGTACACTTCAACACATGAGCCAAAGGTGCAAAAAATAGCCAACACCACAATATCACAAAGACTTACAAAAGCAGATCTTGGAGTCATGAAATCCAACAAAAATGTCAACAACTAGCAACACTGGAACAAAATCCTACAGAAGGCGAAATAGTACAGTACTGGCATAATGAAGTCTCGTCTAAACCCCCGAAAAATGAAGGGGGAAGAGGAGAAAGAGCAAGGAAAAGACTAGCGCTTCCCATCAGATGACAATCCATCTCAATCTTGGACAGTTTGGCGTGGGATGTTTCCTCAGAAGAAGAAGCTACAAAATTAGCAGCTGTTCTCTTCCTATTTTTAGCTTTTGGGGTGCACCAAAATGATTCAATCAATCACGAACAAGTATAAGCACTACAGAGGAGATTCGGTCAGAAGGGGGCATCAACCGAGTGAGAGAGAAATGAAATCAACAGGCACAACCACCACGCTGCTCGCTTTCAGGGACCGCGTCTGGTATGCTCTGGAAGTATCTGAAGAAGAAAGAAGAAAGAAGAAAAAATGAAACGAAAAAACATTCATAAGTATCATACCATCATCAGTTGCTAAATCCAATTCAAATTCTCAATCTCAAAGGAACTACACAAAGTTTCATAATGATCCTCGTAATCAATAATGCATAAGGGTCGAACTTGATTATAGTTCTAGTCAAGCTAAGATGTACAGTTCAGAAGATTCAAATTTTCAGAATAACAATTGCTAATGATTTTTTTTCCATTTCCATATGGGGTGGTAGAACCTAGAAACTGCTGACCAACTAGCCGGCACAACAATTCCAGGTTAAGCATGATTAACTCAACATAACTTGTTCAACACCACAGCATTTTCACAAGAAAACACAAGCCGTTGAAGCTACATCTAAAGAACTAAAGTCGGGTGTTCATGGTACACTTGATTCGTTTGCAAGACTATGTAGAGGTCTGAGAACATAGTGAATGTCAAAGCAGCTGGCCCCATATTATCTGAAGCAGCAAGGAAGTTTCTACTTTCTAGTAACTCTTAAACCAAAAGCTAGCTGGCTACCTAGCAGAAAATATATCCATCTTCACGAGTTTATGGAGATCAGGGAAAAGTATCAGTTTCCACCAAACTTTTCTCTATCGACAATTATTTTCTAAATATTTCTCTCTTGGTCTACCGACAATAGTCCCACGTAGACAAAAATGGATACTACGCCTACACAATAAGGGACCTGGCCCCTGGGGCAAATATAATTTAACACAAGCAAAGCAGAGATTGTGTAGAGACCCACCCATCAGTGGAAATTTTGTTCTTGTCGATTATATTTATAAGTTCCATAGTGAGTCTCAAAACATTAGTTGCCCAAATACCCAATCTGAAAGTTATTCTTTCTTTTGCGTGGTTCTGTCAGTAGTTTGTTCACGAAATTCGACAACCAATAAAAGAACCAATTTCTAGTTTCCTTAATCATTCTTTGTTAGCTAGGTCTATACTACAGACACACATGATGACTATGTGATGCAGGCAGGTAATGAGGAAAGCACTGAAACTTACATGTCTTGTTCATGCTCATTGGCCAAAGCAGCTTTAGCGATGCATAAAAATGCTGGGTCGACATTGTAGTCCTCTTTTGCTGATGTCTCAAAGTAAGGTATGTTTCCTTTTGCAGCACACCATTCCTTTGCTTTCTTTTCAGATACCTACATTTGCCAGCAATTAGACAAATATGCAAGAGACAAATTTAACCAGCAGAAAGAAATAACAGTTTGTCCTTACCACTCGGCTATTTCCACCATCTACATCAATCTTGTTTCCGAGCAATATAAACGGAAATGACTTTGGATCAGCTGGGTTTGCCTGGGACAATGATGATGATCATGCCACTTATTAGGAGAAAAAAAATATTTCCTTCACTTTGAAGCATTTGAGCAAAACCTTTAGAAAAAAACGAGAGCACCATAGCTAAAGGTGCAACAGTAGCAGGATCTGATAAAGCAAAGATAAACATCAACATTTACAGTTTTATTACCTCAATCCTGCTATCATAATGTTTGGCAAGTAAATGGCATCTCATAAATGCAATGTGTTTGACAAGAGCCTTGTCATAAAGCTGTCACATGACTTGGAAAGTGGGATTTTCAAACTGACCAAATTATGTCAAGACTAATGAAAGCTTCAGAATTTGAGTGTTTTCCATGTGCATATCATAGTATTTGTTATTGATTCTGATCCATTGAAGGATCATAAACCTAGTAGCCGACTCAACCATCTGCCATTGAACTTGAGAGAATCATGACTATTCCAGTTTAAACTGAGCATTGAATCCAACATTTCGGATTAGTACAGTCCCGTTGCAGCTTCCACGAAATGATATTTCTCCTATGCTAGTGATGGGAGGATACATAGTGCTACTCAAACTCTATCATTGACTAAGTGACTGGTTCACAAAAATCTTGTAACGCTTTGTATCAACGCTAACATGAAGAATCTTAATAATAAGCTAACATAAACCACAACAGGAACAGAGGAAGAAGAACAATTGGGGGAAGGGGGAGAAGAAGAAACCTGTTTCAGAAATTCATCGTGCCAATTCTCGAGGCTATCAAACGAACGCATGACATTAACATCATAAACAAGAACGCAACAATCTGCTCCTCTGTAGAACGCAACTCCAAGACTCTGAAACCGCTCTTGCCCTGCTGTGTCCCATATCTATCCACACACAACAATTCAGCATCACAATCAAACAAAAGCAACTAATCAAAACCTACTCCAAAATTGTGAGACCACAGAACTAGAGTCAGGAATGATAAACCTACTTGAAGAGTGACAAGCTTGTCATCAATCTGAAGTTCTTTGGTCACAAAATCCGCACCGATTGTAGCTTTATACTGCTGGCTGAATTTATTGTGCACATATCTAGATTACAAGCTCAGGAAACTCCATTTCACAAACTCCTGAAATGTTATTAATTCCCTACGAGCTAGTACTTTTCAAGCTAACCGCCAAAATTCGATTCAACCAAAACTCCAGCTATCCATCCAGCACCACGGAAAAATTACACAGCAAAAATTTTAGGATTCAAACAATTACGACTCTATCGAGAATTAAGCAGAAACCAAACAAAACATTGAAGGAAGAAAGCCTCGGAACAACGGAAAATTCATGGAGACAAAAGAACCTGATCTCAAGTATTGACACCGAAGAAGCAGACAGAAGACGAAAATACGAAAATGGAAAGGATACTGATTCATCAACGACGTCTTGCCAACCCTGACATTTCCAGGAGAAGAAACGGAGAGAAATGAATTAGCCATGGCCGTTAGGAAGAGAAGCGGAAATAACTCGAAGATTGAAAACCCTAGAGAGAGAGAGAGAAATGTCGTACCCACTGTCGCCGAGGACGATGACCTTGAGCAAAGTACGGCGACGAACTGACATGGGGCCGGAACCGGAACGAATTGAACGGGGGGTACTTGCTAGCTGCAGCCGTTCAACGGCGAGAGGGAGGAAGTCCGGCAAAGAATTTTCAAATTTCAAGAGGATTTGCTAATTTTCTAAAACCAAACCAGCAAGAAAACCGAACGAATTTTTTTTTTTGAAGAGAGAGGGAAGAAGACGGGCGGAGGAGACGACAAGAAAAGAAAAGTAGAAAACAAAGGAGCGCCAATTTCGATCTGCATTTCCCCCACCCCCTTACTATTTACACTTTACTACCTAATTTATTTTTCGAACGCATTTCAGTGTCTAATAAAGTAATGAGTAAATATAATATAATTATAAATGACGAATATTACTTGTTTGATACTTTTTTATTGAAGCACTTGTTCGATAAAAGCCATGTGCATTGTACAGAAACAATTAACAATTGGGGTTTATACAATTGATTTGGTCGATAATGACTTAAGATAATTAATTAGCGTGCCCATGTATTCATAAATATGTATTTAAGTAGAGTAACTTTTAGGATCGGATCCAAATGGATATTAGTATTGAACTATTGATCATTTGATTGCTATTTGCTGGAGTTAGATGGTCACTTTCCAATTGGCTTTTAGCTTTACACCTTTTGCTTGCAGCCGTTTCTCTCATCTGTCCCCCCTTTTGAAAAAGGATTACTGGATCTAATGTTTAGAAATCGGATCCAAGTGTCAAATTGCAAGAATAAAATCGTGTTAAGAAAAAAGGTATAGTACTCTTATTATCTTATGCAAGCTTCTAGAGAAACTACACCTTGCACCCTCAAGTATGTGATAATGATATTTAGCAAAATGAGTTTGAGATGTTGTACGTCAATTTGTTACAGAGATGATGATATAGTAGTGTTTGAAATGAACATGGTAACATTAGCAATCAAAGAGTACGAAGATGCAAGATGTTGTCTAACCCGACAAAAAAACCCAAGAATTTACGTTGACTTGCGGTAAACTACACATAATCTTAGTTGGTGTTTAGTGGAGGTTTCAGGTCGACCACAAGATTTGTCGAATCGATCATACTATTATTTTATCCACCACAAGGCCAATAAAAATATTTGCTTCTGCTTTTGCATAAATGTTGATTGTGTAAATATTTGTTGTCTTTTTATCGATGGCTCAAGCGAAGATCTTGAGAAATTGAGAAGCGCCGGCTCAATATGTTTTGTTGGGTTAACCCTTCAATTGGGTCTTTTTACTTGAGTGATCATTTGATCGCGGAGTTGTTATTTAGCTTCAATTAGAGACTTTTTACCTAAGTGATCATTTGATTAGAGAGTTTAGGTGTGTTACATGGCTCTTAACTTTATCTTTTTCTTTTCCAAACAATAGGTGATAAATTATAAACTATGCTAATATCCCTTTCTGGACATCCTTAAGGTTGACTCTATTGTTTATTTTCTTTATTCCTACAATAGACTTTGCCAAATTTGTTTCACAATTAAACTTTCAAGGTAGTAAACACAATTAACTTTGATACTTATGAATATATTTCAAGTAGCACTTTCACAAATAACCTTGATAATAATGATGATAGCAGAGAAGCATGAGTACAAGATCAACGTCAAAAATTTAAGTTATCAAAACATAATAATGTACAAAATGTACAAGATCAACGTCCAAAATTTAAGTTATCACACCATAATAATGTACAAAATGTATCTCTTCATAGCAAACCTGAAATATAACCCCTAAATGGGATGCATCAACCCAAAAGAATACGATAAAGACACATTAGTTTTGAAAGCTATGTGACCCCTCAGGTGAAGTGATACTTACGCAACATTGATTGACCAAAGATAAAAAAAGACCAACTAGGTCGAGGCCTTTCAGTCATATCTTAGTGTGTGTTTTTCCCCGCATGTTATTCTTAACATATTTTCAAGAACAAATATTTGTTAATGATTAGGTTTTCAGGGGTTATACTTCTAGGTTTTAGGTATTAGGGATTAATAATCAGGGGTGCAAGGTGTTAGTATTTAAAAGGGTTTAGGGTTAGGGTTGATGGCTTTTGCGTTTTGAGTATTATGGTTTCGAGGCTATGGTTTAGGATGAGGGTTTAAAGTGTTTATGATGTTAACTGTTAAGTATTATGGTCTGGACTCTGAAGTCTAGAGTTTAGTGTGTTTGTATTTAGGATATAGAGTTTAAGAATTTAAAACTTAGGATTTTAGTGATATAGGGTTTATGGGATTCAATTCAAAAGTCTGAGTTTTGAATATAGTGTTATTATTTGAAACTTGAAAGATAGTAGATGCAAACAATGCATGAATAACTTTTCTTATAAGTGCAATAATTCAAATTTTCATACCCTAATTTTACATTTTCGCTCTCCAACGCCGCTATTATTATGTTTATGCTTTTGACTACAAAGTTTTCAAGGTTGCCAATTTTAATCCTGGACAATTATCGGGGATTAAACAGAATAAAACGAAAATACAATGACCAAACGTTAATAAGGCGTGGGGAGGGTGGCCGCCGGACTACGTGGACGCATTTCCCTCTCACATTTTCAGCTTCTTGCCCCCGCCCGCAACACGAACCGTCACGCTTCTATCCACCATTCAAAAAGCTTGGTCTCTAACTCTAATGGCGACACCACACCAAATTGCTCACTTATTCGGAAGATCTCCCAGCCGCCGCCGGAATTCCCATGGCGATCCTTGTAACCGGCTTGAGGACTTTCTTCGTCGCGCTATTCTGCTTGTCCTCGGCCACTGTCATCTACACTGTCTGCACCGATGGCCTCCCCTTCCGCAAGGAGCTCCTTACCCCGTAACTCAACCCGCCGCCTTCGAGCTTCTTCAGTTTTGCTTCCGTTTTTTCTACTCCATTTTCTTCACAAACTAACTGATATATGACGGCTGAATTTCGTGTTTGCTTGTCTACGCAGGTGGATGGCTGCCACTTTGGTTGATTTCTACATCAACATTTTCGCTTTGGCGGTAAAATTAGCCTTTTCCCTCTTCACTGTAACTTCTTCGACGTTTGCTTCTTATGGTTTGTTCTTTGATTGGATGGTGGTGTGCTGGAATTGGAACTGTTGATATTTACTACAATTTTCGTTGCTTTTGTGCTTCAGATTGAGATTGTAGCTTTCTGAGCAGTTGAGATAATCATTTCCTCCTTTTCTTTTACGAATCAAGTTCTCATTGTAGCTAATAGACTTGAACTCTCGTTTCAGCTTTGGATTATCTACAAAGAAGCCAACTTTGTATCTTCGGTTGTTTGGATAATTCTGCTGGTCTGCTTTGGCAGGTAAATTTGCTGCTATTCTACATATGTCATTGATCTCCTGTAGATAACTCAGTGATCAAAACTAGTAGTGTAGTAAGAAACTAAGAATTATTAGGAGTTTAGAGCGCTTTAGTGGTGGAGTTGGCTCGTATGATCTGCGTTTATCTTAGGCTTCACTCACTGTAGTTTTTTTTGTTGTTCATTTGTGATTGTTTATGACTGATACTTGGTGGCATGAGGCACGGGATTTCATTTTCAAGTTTCAACTTCTAGTGGTTTCTCTTCTGTTATTAGAACTTGGGTTATGTTGTTGTTGAAGATTTGACAAAGAAGTTCTGGTTTTGCTCTTTGCATTCAACTATTGCAGCATCACGGCTTGCGCCTATATCTTTATTCAGCTTCTCAAGTTGTCACCTCAAGAAACTGCACAGGACCCTATGTATCATGTGCTATTGCGGCATGAGAACAAGTACGTAATCTGAACCTCTTTTTATCTTCATCTAGTCACATATATACATGTGTTCCACACATCCTTCAGCATTCTTCGTTTACCTTATATGGATTCATGTAGCTGAAATTCCTTTTTACTTTTAGGAATCAGGAGGAACAAAAGGGGAAGTACTCTCAAGTCGTTGCTGGAAGGATTATTTTCACTATTTTGGGTTGCGTGATGATATCCACACTGATTTACACCATTGTGACTGATGGTTCTCCTTTCCGCACAGAGCTCTTGACACCGTAAGATTTTGGTTTATTCACTTTTGCTCATTCTATTCATTTTATCCGATAGTGCATATTGTACTACAGTTTTCTTTTTTCCTGCTGGATTGTCTCTGTATCATCAATTTGAATATGATTTTGATTTACCGCTGTTACATGTCTAGGTGGATGTCGGCTACACTGATCGACTTCTATGTCAACGTGGTGGCTCTTTCCGTAAGCCTAAATGATTCTTTTCTTATTCAGGCTTAGAACAAGAAATATTTTATCATAGACCTTTTAAGTTTGGTTACTAGTACTTATCCTTTCAGTATTGTGCTGATGGGCTCAAATATCTTAATCTAGGTGTGGGTTGCCTATAAGGAAACAAGCTGGTTTAGTGCGTCCATGTGGATAGTTCTATTGATATGTTTTGGCAGGTAAAATGTCCTTCACAATGCTTTTGTGTCTACCCTGAACAAGTTCTTTCTCTCTTTGACAAGAATGTTGTATAAGTTGTTGGTTTTGCTACTTGAACCGCAATTTTCCATGAGCACGTTTGATGGCATCAATCGTCGGCGAACTTATGGAAGATAATGATGAAACAAAATTAAAAGACAACATTTTGTTCTTGTGGATGAGAATGAGCACTTGTTATTGATTTTGCTTTTGTCCGTGCAGTGCGACTACTTGTGCCTACATCGCGGTACAGCTGTTTCAACTTAGTTCCCAAGATCCAGTCTACCTAGTCTTGTTGAGACGCAACAACAGGTCTAGACTTCCTCTTCTCTCAGGTCAATATGATTTAACTGAGAGCCAATGGAAGAACTAAGAGCCAACGAAAAATTGTCAATGGCAGGACAGAAAGCAGGTATGAGAGCACCTAAGCAGCAAAAGACAATACATCGATCTTTCACGGATACAGTTAGACGTACTTGCGGATGCTGAACTAGTGTGTGTTAGAATGATGAACTTCATACCATGTGTACGTATTTGAAACACTGGGCTGTGTTATTGCTGTATTGGTTCTCATAATAAAAGTGGTAAGGACCCTCTCAACGCGATCTGACAAGATATGTTGATCCAACATATACAATACCAGCCTGTGATTCCCTGTTAGTGTTGGCTTCTGCTGCACTACTTCTCGAGTCATATATATGCAAACTATTCAATGTCAATATTTGGAATGTTGATTTTTAGTGTCCATGGAAATGTACTCAAATGTAGTTGAATGAGTCAGCAGGCGGGTTACACGTTCCACTGTAGCCAAATTCAGTGAGCGACGTTTTTATTTTATTGCCCACTTGCCACTAGTGTTGACTCTCGCGCCTGAACATCACAATTAAAAAACTTTGGTCTCCATCACACTAATGGCGACACCGCTGCAAATCCCAAGTCCAGAGATCTCCGCGCAGGAGCTCCAATGGCTCTCCTGGCGACCAGTTTAAAGACTCTTTTCCTAGCAGTATGCTGCTTCGTCTTGGCCAATTGGATCCGCATTTTCTGCACCGTTGGTCTCCCGGTCCGGGAGTTGCTGACGCCGTAACTAGCCCGCCGCCTTCGAGCTTATTCAGTTTCTGCCTTCCTTTTAAGCTCTCATGGTAGTTCCCTTATGTGCCTGACTGTTTCTGCGCCTGTTTTTTTTTTTTTTTTTTGTGTTTGCTTGCGTACGAAGATGGATGCGCGCCATTTTTACTGATTTCTACATCAACATTTTAGCTGTGGCGGTAAATTTTTCTTTTCTCTCTGCAATGGACCTTTGACTTTTGGCTTAATGTGATTTGTACATCTATTATCTTAACGCTGGAACTGGAAACTGCTGGAGTTGTGTTCTTCTTATTTTACTTTGATTTTATGTGGTTCATATTGTAGTTTTCTTAGCAGTTGAGATCAATAATTGATTTGAGCTCTCTGTACCAGCTTTGGATTGTCTACAAGGAAGCCAACTTTGTATCTTCGGCAATTTGGATATTTCTGCTGCTCACCCTTGGCAGGTATGTTGCTGTTGTGCTTCTGTTATCACTAGGGTCCTGCAAAACAGTCCGCTGATTAGTCGAAGTAATGTTTGCTAGGAGAGAATGGTTGATAACAGTTCAGTAATCAGTAGTGGATTTGGCTTGTTTAATTCTATTGCTATTCCCTTTGTATGCCTTCTACCATCTTTAGATTTTCATTGTGGTCTCGAGAATTTTAGGTGGCTACTGTCTAGTGCTTCGTTCCTTTTCCTTTGATGGTGGTTCATACTTGATAGCATGCGGCGGGAAGCTTTGTCTTAAAGCATCCCAATCTTCTGGTTTCTTGTCTGTTATTTGATGACTTGGGCTATGGACTATGGTATTGAAGATATGATGTCCGGGTCCTTATGTTTCTATTTGCGTTCACCATATACAGCGTCGCATCTTGTGGCTATGTCTTCATTCAGCTTCTTAAGTTGTCACCTCAAGCATCTGCACAAGACCCGGTGTATCATGTGCTATTGCGGCCTGAACACAAGTACATGCTCTGAACATCTTTTGTTTTCGCATCATCAGGGGCAGCAGCCATCGCCCTTTGGCTACTTGCTATTTGTTATTTTATTCATATATCTTCTGCAATCTCCAACTCCTCTCTGATGCTGTGGTATTGTTCTGTAGTACCTGAGTGAAGGCTTTTGATGCTGAATGTGAGCTTGTGTTTGTCAATGTTCAGACATGCTTGCACACTGTCAATCCTAGCAGAATGTTGTGGTTTATTTTGATCAATTTGTTCCATGTTCTCTTTCCTGTGTTGTGAGCCATCCATGTTTTTGCTGCTACTCCCTCCAATGCTGATTCATCCTATCTCACTTTCAGTTGCTTCTTGGTTATAACATTAAACTAGGAGGTTATTTTGTTTCAAATGTGTGATATACTAAGATGATTTTCACTTCTCAGCGAAATGGGGTTAACTGCTATGAGAATAAGGTTATCCATGTTCCTATAATCACTTCGAAAGTGTTTCCTTCAAAGGGTACCTCTAGCTTCTTGTGTGCAGGGGAATATAACCTCAAGTCCGCAATGTTAATCAATGATCAAGTGATAGTTATTGCAAGAGATTCAAAGTTTACATGATTTCCTCACTTGCTTTTCCTTGATCTTCTTCTTGTCAAGTTTCAACTGATGCTGCATATTTCCTACTTGCAAGTACTCAGTGTTTCTAAAAGATAAAGTTGTTCCTATCCATTTTTTTTATGTAACCTCATGTCTGAAGTTTCGCGAATGCAAATTCTGTGAACATCTGTCTTTGGCAATCGGTACCGATGGTGTGTTTCCTTTTTTCTTTTCCACTGCTAAAGGTGGTCATATAATCATATTGGTCTTATGCTGCTATTATTGATTGCTAATGTCCATATATCTTAGTGAATTTTTCTGTGATCATTACATCCTCGAGCATCTTCTCCACCTCTTAAATCAAAGTTACTAACGTGTCAGGACCCCCTTACTTGTAGGAATCAAGAGCAACAAAAGGAGGTTCACTCTCAAGTCGTTGTTGCAAGAGTTGTATTTATCATTTTAGGTTGTCTGATGATAGCAACTGTGATTTACTCTATCGCGATTTATGGTTCTCCTTTCCATGAAGGGGTCTTCACTCCGTAAGTTTCTAATGTATATACTGTACATATTTCTGTTTGCTTTTTATTTTTTTTTTGGTTCGAACCACCAATTATGACTTTAAAATTGACACGAGAGTTTAGCTTGTGACTCTACATGACTGTATCTAGTTATTAATGCCAGAACTGGAATGTCTTTGCTGCATAATTTCCTTAAACTCAATACGAATGTTGTTTTGAATTGCTGCTCACACGAATCTAGGTGGATGGCAGCACTACTGATCGACCTCCATGGCAACGTGCTGGTTCTTTCGGTTAGTCTAAATGATTTTTCCCTTTGTCAGATTGAGGTTTCAATGTATACTTCTGATGAGCTTGTTCGTCATATACTGTATCAGCTCACTCTTGCCCTGCTGTTCTCAAATATTTAATGTAGGTTTGGGTTGCCTATAAGGAAACAAGTTGGCTAAGTGCTTCAGTGTGGATAGTTCTCTTGATATGTCCTGGCGGGTAAAATTTCTCATTCATAACATTCCTTAAACTACCCTCAACAGTGTTGCTTTTCCATGTGTTGGAGTTAAGAGATTTTTTTTGAACATGCACTTTGAAGAAGAATAAGTATGAAGAAGATTAAGTTCTATTGATAAAATACCGAAACAAAACGAACAGAGGTGGAATTGGGGAGGCATGTGTTCTTGTGGGAGAAGGTGCAGGCTACATCTGACGTCGTGTTTGATTCTCATTCCGTCTCTCTTTGCAGTGTTGCTACTTGTGCCTTCATTTCAAAGCAGCTCTTTCAACTTAGTTCACAAGATCCAATCTACCTATTGTTGTTGAAGAACAACGGCCGAGCTACTAAAGTTCCTCTTCTCAGCTCAGTTTAATCCGGCGGCCAGAGGTACAGAAAGTTAGATACATGTGGAGCAGGCCTGTTCTTTGAGAATTTGCATTTCGTTATCCTGCCTGCCAATAGAAGGGTCTAAGTACATTGTTTGGAACAGGAAATTGAAGCAGCAAAATATCAGGTATGAGAGCATTGGAGGTACTTTACTATCGTGGTTCGGAGACCAGATATGAGAGCATTGGAACAGCAAAAGATCACACTTCAATCGTTTGACAGACACGACGAGGTTTGATCACATATTTTGGAACTCCACTCCCATTCTCCCAAGTATATTTGCAGTATTTCTTGAGCAACCAAGTGTGAATTTATGTTGAGAATGTGTGTATTTGAAATTCCAATGTATTCTTGTGATTGGTTCTTGATCATGTTGATTTTGGAACTGGAGGTTGTACAATACATCATTTTTCTTCTTTAGTTTATAAATGGATTAGAGAAAGCTCCCAAGACCCCTTGGAAGACCTGAATATGAGATAGAGCAATTTTAGAAACAGGTTCTTCGAGGGTAATTACACACTTTGATTTTTAGGGAAAAAAAATATGTAAGAAATTTGGTGATCTATTGATGCAACTTCATGGATTCATCCAACAGACGATTACGTTCTGACGACGATTTCTTCATTCCGATCAGCCTCGTCGAGTTTCCCACTGCGATTGTCTGCGGCGGGACGTTGTTCTGAGCCACAAACCCAGGCTTGATCCTTCACATTTCCCAGAGATCATCGCTCTGGTGGTGTGCTGATATGTTCAGTTTGAGCGGAAAATACTGGAGAGATTGACTAAATGCAAATGAACAACACGGTTAGTTGTTACTTGTTAGCGTAAAGTTAAGTGACCGTTCTGTTAAAGAACCAAAGTTAGGTGACGAAAGGTGAAAATATTTATGAGATTCGAGATTGATTGCAGCAGAAGTCGACTTTTTCTGGTTTTCAGCTAAATTGAGTGGTTCACGAACTTGGTTCCTGGACTCTGACTCTCCTCCGGCTTCGCGTCGTCGCCATTAAAAAAAAGCTTCCTCTCTGTGTTCAAAGTTCAAAGGAAAATACCATGTGGATGTGGTCTTCCTCCATCTCCATTCTGCCATCCACACCCTTGGTTTCTCCGACAACACTTATTAAACTCACCGTCCCCACTAAACCGGCTGGTTTCCCCGCCACAGCCTTCGCCGCCCCTCGCCGCCGTTCATCGTACGCAGTTCCAGCCAAGGCACAAGAAACAGAGGATACTACTGCAGGGGACGAGAAACAGGGGACACCGAACCAATTGAGAGGGCTGGATGTGCTGTTGGCTATGCAGAAGGTGGCTGCCGTGAAGAGCAAAGTCAAGAATCGGAAGAGAAGTGGTCAATTGCGGGAATCCCCTCCTCCCTCCGGCGACGAAGAGGCGTCGACGGATTACAGCAATGTTCGGCCGGTGCGCGTGAAGAAAGAGTGGAGCGCAAAATTGGATGATTTGGAAAAGCGCCTTCGCCGGCTTTCTTCCGAGGAGACCTAATTAACGAACGGAATGAATTTTTTCCGCTTCTTCTAATTTCCCTTTTTCTTGATTGAAGTCGAGGGTCGCTCACCGCCGCCGGCGGCCTCGCCTTCCCCGGTCCGTCTCTTGTTCAATCCAAAAATGGACGAAATGTAAAGTTAAGTGATCATTCTGTGAAGAAAATGAAGTTTGGTGGTAAAAAGGTGAATCACTTGAATTCTGTGGGTGTGAAGTGAAATAGACTTTTCAGCCAAATTCAGTATTTTATCGCCCACGACCACGAGCTTGGACTCTCCTCTCCCGCTTCACTGCCCCCATTAGAAAAAGCTTGCTCTCGCACTCGAATGGCGACACGAGAACGAGTCCAATCTCTTGCGCCGCTGCCGCACTGCGATGGCGGACTCTCTTTTTCGCACTAGCCTGCGTGATCGCCGCCCTTTTCATCTACACTTTCTACGTTGATGGCCACCCCTTACGCATGGAGTTACTCTCGCCGTACTTCTCCTTCGAGCTGCTTCAGTTCCTGCATTCGTTCTTCTTGATATTTTTATGCAGTAACTGATTCAAAAGCTGGAATTTTGTGTGTTTTGCTTGCATTTGCAGATGGATGCCTGCTACTTTAGCTGAAATCTATGTGAACATTTTGCCATGGCGGTAAATTAGCCTATTCATGACCTTTGCTTCTTGTGATCTTTCTCATGAGGATTTGAATTCAGACACTAGAACTGTTGTAGTCTACTAACGATGTCTTAGATTTTGTGGTTCTTACTGTGAGTCAGAATGATATTGTAAACGATGTTTCAGTTTGTGCTGATATACTTGAGCTCTCATTTCAGCTTTGGGTTGTCCACAAGGAATCCAATTTTGTTAATTCAGCAATTTGGGTGGTTCTGCTGATGTGCCTTGGCGGGTATGTTTGCTTCTCTTATTAGATGACTTGGTTATTCGATGTTTTATCTTTTGTTCTGAGTATTGATTTGATGTTGAAGTCCTTATGTTTCTCTTGGTGTTCACCATCTACAGCTTCACCACTTGAAGCTATATCTTATTCAGTTTCTCAAGTTGTCACCTGAAGAATCTGCACAAGACCCTTATCTGTCATGTGCTATTGCGGCATGAAAACAGGTATCCTTTGAACTTCATTTCTTCATTTGACCTATAAAACCATGACTACTGTTTCTTTTCACCTTCTGCCAGATACAAGATGCAACTGGGAATTTACTGTTTGTCTGTTTATTCATCTATCTTATGCAATTTCCAACTATGACTGATGCATCCGTTTGTCCCGGGGACATGGGTTTGATGCTTTTGATGTTGAATTTGAGCTTGTGTTTCTCGCTTTGTGGACATGCTCCCCCTCTGTGAATCCTAGGAGTATATGCTTGTTTTTTATCAACATGTTCCCAAATCTCTCTTCTCAGTAGAGTGCATCCCTGTTTGCCCCATCACCTCGTAAAACTCATCATACTGATTCAACGCTGTCAGCTTCTTCTCTCTGGTCATCCTCTTTAAGTGACTAATAATGGTACCAACACCGCTTTGCTTTTAGGAGCAGTGAGGAAGAAAAGGGGAAGTACTCTCCAGTCATCGCTGCAAGAATCGTTTTCACCATTCTTGGTTGTTTGGTGATATCAAGTCTGATTTGTTCTATTGTCGCTGATAGTTCTCCTTTCCGTACAGAGGGTTTTCACTCAGTAAGATTTTGATGCATTCACTTCTATTTGTTTTGTTTGTTCAAACTGTCAATCAAGTTTAACCTTGCGACTCTGCTCTAGTGTATTTAGTTACTGAGGCAGGAATGGGAATGTCTTACGATTTTGTTTGTTTTTTGTTGCATATTCTCTTTACCATCCATTCGATTGTGATTGCTTATTTGCTACCAAAATGGGTCGAAGGTAGGTGTCAACAACAGTGATCGAATTCTATATCATCGTTCTGGCTCTCTCGGTAGGTCACCTTTGCCACGCTGAGGCTTTGTTCTAACTTCTTAAGTTTGGTTATTCGTATTTCTAACTGTTCACTCTTCCGTGTTGTTCTCAAATATCCAATGCAGTTGTGGGTTGGCTATAAGGAAACAGGTTGGTTTAGTGCTTCCATTTGGATTGTTCTACTGATATGTCTTGGGAGGTAATTAATTCCTCTTCATGAACTTCTACTGTATACCTTGAACTGTACTACTTTTTATCATGTGTTGGAATTGGGGTTGAACAACTATGGGGTAAATAAACTTAGAATGCCCTTGTTTTTTCCTTTCAACATGAAATGTGGTTGAAGAATCTGTTTGATGACATAATTCATTGCAAATACTCAATTAAACTTAATAAACCGGGTTTATCACATTAATGGTCACGAAAGTACTTTCGACAAGCTTGTCACTGAAATGTAGAAATGGAATGAGTAATATAACAGATTTGGGTTTAAAGCTTCAAATGGGGTTTGCAGTTGGAATTGAGTTGATCAACTGGTTTGCTTTAAACCAGATGTGGGTGTAAAGCTTCAAATGGGGCGTACATGTCAGCTAATTACTGCATGGGCAACATTTTCTATAACAAACTCGAGTCGGTGCACACGCTAATCCGAATAGTTTTTGCTGGAAAATTGGAAAGAATTGGAGACTGTTATGTTGGTCATCTAAAACCTTCTTCCAAAAATCAAAGTTCAGACTTCTGTGATCAGTTTGTTCGTGTCCTCAAAGTTCTTTTGCAAGCACTAAACAATTGCATTCCCACTTGTTGCAAAAGCCAAAACTGACTTCTCCTTTCCTGTCTATTGCACCAGTGTTGCTACTTGTGCCTACATCGCAGGACGACAGTATGAACTTAGCTCTGAAGATCCAATCTACTTCGTTTTGTTGAAACGCAACAAGAGGCGACCTGCCAGAGTTCTCCTTCTCAGTTGAGTTCAATCTGCATGCCTGCTGCCATGGGTATTTCTAATATTGAAAACTACATCGACTTACATAGATGTATGGATTACTTCATACCATGTTAGAATGATGGACTCCATATATACCATGTGTATGTTTTCCATGTATTTTAGCTTTACATCTCCACCTTGCCATGGACCAGCTGTTTGTGTGCCACATTCCGAATGAAACAGGTTGTGACAATTTTAGCTTTCAAGATATAGACTTTTCCTTTCCTGTTTATGACTAGATGAAGAGAGATTGCACGGTGCTCTTCACAAGATATAAAACTACTCAATCATCATCATCACCATGCTCCAAGACCTCATTAGCTTTCACGTGACAAGCCTCGCATAGCCACCCGGTGCCACCACCAGAGCCACCCTGCGGCTGTTGCCGCCGGTAGGCATGCTTTGTGCAGTAAGGCTGGTTACAGTGGTTGCATTTCGGAAGGTGAAGCCAGCATTCGGAGCACAGGACTTCCGAACAAAGGGTAGCCTCTTCTAGTTCAACATCCTCCTTACAATCAGCACATCTTCCGCATTCCTCGCACCTCGGAATGCACAGCTTGCATCCTTTCCTGTTGCATTTCCCCCTTTCTGATGACTGTGGGCAGGCATAAACCTGACTCACTTCGTCGCAGACAGGGCAGATATCCACGTCGATAATGTTGGATGTTGCCGTGTCTCCTAGCTTGTGAGCACGTTGGAGGTAGGAGCAGAGAGTGTGGAAGTGTTGCTTGTTGATGCCGAGGATGTTGCTTATGCACAAACTCTTCAACCTGCAGTCGTTGTTGTCGTCGGATAACGTCTTCACTGCTCTTATGATCCCATCTGGTGTGAGTCTGATGCATCCTGGCACATGAAGCTGGAAACAAGAAGGCATGCAACTCATATTAATGTAGTGACCCAATTGAACAGAAGCAAAAAGTTCGGTGATGGCCAGAATAATTTTACCTACCTTAGCGATGAGCGGATTGTTGGAGACCACCAATTGAAGCCCGTCGTCAGTAACGTTGATGCAATCCACCAGTATCAAGCTCTTCAATCTCCCTTTCCCTCTGGACGAAATCCCGATGAGGCGCTGGTCGGAGAGTCGCCGGCTCAAGGGTCTTTCCACTACTAAGTTGAGCCACGGCAGAATGTCATCGTCATCCTCCACGGCGCGGCGGAGGGAGGTACAAACTCTGGCCACGTTGAGAAGCTCGAGCACGGAGAGGTAAGGCAGGACAAGGAACAGAGCTTCGTGAGGCGAACCGCCGTCGGTGGATGCCGGTTCCTGTGACGGCGGCTGATTCTGGTCGGCCATATTGGTGTTCAGTATTTGGCTGATCGGTGAGCCAAGGAATGAGAGGTGGGCGTTGCGAGAGGAGAAGATATGTTAGCTAACTTGACAAATGGTGTTTGACTGTTTGTAGAAAACTAGTTGGTATTGGTTTAGGGTATAGAATTTATTAGCCAACTCATTTATTTACTAACCAGATGAGTCGAGACGAGATCGAGCGAACTTATTTATTACAACATTTGTTAGTTATTAAGATTAGTAGTTCGGCTTAAATTCAATTTTAAGATAATATATAAATTAAATATCTTAATATGTTTATATCACATATGATATATGTAATTAACTGATCTCATATTATATGTGAGACATATTTGCTCATATATTCAAAATTCAAAGTCTTAAACATCATAAGTGAAATATACAATTTAATTAATAAACCTATGAATTATCAACAAGGCAACTCATAAGATACAGATTGATTTTCTCATAAGACTTGGCTTGCTAGTCACATCGTTGAGATATCTCATGAACTCAAAACGAGACCGTTCACAAGTTGAGCTCGACAAGTCACCTAATCGAGCTGGCTCTTGAACCTAATCAGCAGCGCCACCACGCCGGGAGGAGATCGGACGTTCAGCCCTTATGCAATGTCAGCCGAGCCGACGGAGGAGGGATGCATTGTGATTATATGTCAAGTCATCACTGGCCGCCGCGACGGAATCCCCTGCCTCGCCCTCGCATTCTGCAAGATAGGCGATCGATGATGGAGGTCGGTCCCTCTGCCCATGGAGGAGGACGAGCAGCGTAGGATCAAACGGATGATGGACATGGTGTTTTGGAGGGGCAGGTTTTATGGCGCCTGCGAGCGGGGAAACGTTCTAGTTTGGGATCTCTCCGGCGGCGGGGTCTCGTGGGCTTTCCGTCCCGAAGTTGATGTGCTGCAGCCTATTTTACGGTGGGGCGAAACCTTTCAGTAAAGAAGGATGATGTTATAAGTTCTATCTATTTCTCTATGTGAATTTTTGTTCTTGTACTACTTTTTTTCCATTCAAATGTTACATTTGGTATACTTGTTTGGACTGGACCTTGGGCTTTGCGTTTGGGGCTCATGTTCCTGTACTGATCCATTCAAGTTTATCATTGTTATCCATTAGCATGGGCCCAACCTTGAAAATGTGGCTCGGATCAGTTTTGGGCCTTGCGTCTGTCGCTTCACAATGTGGGCTTGGCCTTGCTGAATTGATGTTGGGCTCCAACTCGCATGGGTCTGGGGCTCTAATAGGGTTGATCTCGGAGCAACGATCCAACTCGGGACCCGAATTGTCTTTCCCCGGGTTAGCAAAATTGAAAGAAAAAGCGCGCCAGGTCACTAAGCTATTCACCACCTCCAGAATTCCCATTTCCCTGCTCGCTTCTGCTGCCGCTTCCTCCATGCCTCAGTTCCCTCGTTCCCGCCTCCTCCCTTCCCAAGCACAAGAACAAACTTCCTTGTTGAATTACGACGAATCGCTTCCTATCCCCTATGTGAGTATCAGTGTAGTTCTCCGATCTCAGAAACAGAGAATGGTCTTTCATTTTTGCTTTGCATTTGTGCTATTCGATGAAATTACTCACTGGGAGTTGATATTTTCTTTCTTTGTTTCTTTCCCATTCTTGTTACTTATGCAGGATTAATATTTGCTTCTTCGTTGAATTACAGCGAATCCCTTCCATCTCTTCCTATCCCGGATGTGAGTTTCAATTTCGTTCTCCGATCTTAGAAACAGAGAATCGTCTTGCATTTTCGCTTTGCATTTCTACTCTTCGATGAAATTACTCACTGGGGATTGATATTTTTTTCTTTGTTTCTTTCCATTCTTGTTACTGATGCATGATTACTTTCAAGTGAAGGCGACTGAAGAATTCTCTGGCGTTCTATACAGCTCAACCGCCTGTTCAACTACTCAATTTCTTCTCCAAGAAAACACCAATCGACAATCTCCTCCCTCTGATCGCTCCGATCTCGTGTTTCACTCTGAATCTTTCTTCTTCATAAGGTAATGCTGAATGCAGCAAATTGTTCTTTGTACGATCTTGTAATCTTCAAGTTTCTGTTGCTGGAATCTTTTCATGTTACATGTTTGAGTTTGTGACTGAGATAGTTGGTTAAAAGTTGATTGTTGTTATTTGGTACTTCTTGCACAAATGAAATGGTGATATTGCTGAGTTTTATGTCACCCCAAAAATGTGGCGACATATTATTGAATCCGAGGGTGACATAGTTGAACTCTCTATCAACACTATTTTTGGTGCCCAGCTGGGGCTAATGTCATTACAATCTTATTGTGAAGAGCATAAACTTTACAACATCTTGCTGAGATTGGCTAACAACAGTCGTGGAAGAATTGTTGAGAAGCATGCATTTATTCTCGAAGGTCCGGGTCCAACTTATTATATTGTAAACGATGCTGAGGAGAGGGACCCTGATTTTGTTGAAGGCCTTTTGGATGAAGCTGAAAGGTTATATGGCATGATCAAAATGTTGATCATGCTGCTCTTTTTCTAAAGCTACATGATGATGTCAGAATTTTGAAGAGGAAAATTAAGGGAACTAATAACTACTTGATAAGTTTAGTGGAGCAGCTGTCTGGTTGGTTGAATAATGCTCTTCCCCATCTACTAGATGACGTTTTCCTTGTCGTCCATAGACATTGTTAAGTTTATTTTGGTTTTTTTTTGAACTATTTTCTCTGGCATGGATGACCATAACTCTTCTATTTATGTCATAATTATTGCAGCTATGTTCGGAACAGAGCACATAATAATTTTTTTACAGATAAACTGAAAGCTTTATATAGATAGAGAGACAAATATCAACAGACAGAGAAACAAATATCAACGGGTTGAGTTCAGTAAGGCAATTGTAGAAGTTGTTAGGTATTATGGCAGTGAGATTGTGACTCCATACCAATTTTATAGCAAAAACATATACGATATCAAAGTCTCATAATGTAAATATTTTATTTTTGTAACAATAAACAAATTGTATGTACATCGAGTTGCCCTAGCCACAATATATCTAAGAATTCAAATTCATGTGAACTTTCAAAATGTTTGAAGAAATTAATTTTTTATATAAAAATAAATTTAAAGATTATAGATAAAGTTTTCAATCTATACATCATTTTAGATGCACCTGTGTGTTGTGTACACACTTTATCAATTATTATTATAAGTAATAATATTTTTTTATAACCGGTAAGTAATAACATTTTTGTTTCAAAGCAAACACAAAAGATAAAGAAATTTTAGAAAATGAACATTCAAAAAGTTATAAAATCATACAGTAAAAGACTATGTTAAGACGAGAACCCTCGATAGTTATCTGAGTGTCTTGGATTGAGATTCTAAACCAACATCTTGACAATAACCATGCGTTGAAAGTTAGTCAAAACTTTAAGAATTAGCAATTGATACATATTGTATAAGATACTAACCTTGAGTGTCTTGATAAACAAATATTGTAATAAGATCATATACCTAGACTTCATTTGATCATAATCCTACAATTAATACGCTTATATCTCTCTCTCATCATGCCACAAATCTAACTAGTGTTCCTGTTTGTTTCTGAATTGGTCGAGAAGTGTTTGGTTTAAGAGTATTCACTCGATTTTGTTGTCTCCTCCTCCAGTTGTTGTCTCGGGTTTGCGACTTGCTCAGAGATCAGCATTCACCGTTTAACCGGCTGAAGTTTTTGCATTTCACGTATTGTGAAGGGGTTTTCGGCATACCTTGTCAGGCAATCCGCTACTTTCTCGAAGGCGCTGCCAATGTTGAAAATAAAATTGTTGTTGACGAAAAAGTAAGTTGATAGTTGGATTTGTTTAGTTACACCATAAGTTAGATTTGTGGCATGATGATACCATAGGTGGCGCAAGAAAATTGAACAAAACAATCTGTTGACTTGTGAAATTCAGACTTGTAAAATTTTCTTTGCTCTTGCCATGATTACATTTATATAAGCGTCATCCTGCCTTTTGACTTAGCTCTTCATATTGATGGTATCAGCATCATAAGTTTCAAATTAATTTGTTGCGTTGTCTTAATGCACAGGTGCCAATTTGGTATGAACCAACTTGTTGCCCACATCTTCTGCTCAATGGCAACCAATTATACACAGTCACAGATGACCAGGAATAAGATCGAAAGAGGAACGAGCATCGCCCATTGTAAATAAGATCGAAAGAGGAACGAGCATCCACCACACTGCACATGGAGAACTTGAAGGCATTGCTGTAATACATCTCTAGCAAACACACACTCAAAAAGTAGATTCCTTGTTTCCTGCCCACTGCTACACAATACACAACTGTCATCAGAAGTCTTGCCCCACAACTTCAGTTTGTCTCTTGTGCAAATACGATCCTTCAATATCAGCCAACTTACTACACTGTGCCTGGGCACATTATAGTGACCCCATATCAATGAATGCAAGCTACCTTAGGACCCTTCTTTCTAATATCATCCCATACTGTCTTCACCGAAAACTTGTTGAAGTTCTTACCATTCCAGAATATCTGATTGTTCCTATTCCTAGTATAGCAGTAGCACTGCACCTTGTAAAACTTTTCCTATTCCTAGTATGATTAGGTTATGCGACAAAATAACAACAGTATAAATAGCATCGCAATGCCTCCCACAAACCCATTAATTCGCCCCTGACAAAGCAAGTCTTCCCATTCTTTAATTCTTTCAATAGCTTTCGAGACTTTCTACGCCGTCCTCTGTTTCTCCGAAAACATGACCACCGGCGGCAGAGCATCCAATTCTAGGCGACGCGACTGGCCTCAGTTGCCCGACGTGCTTCTCGATTGCATCATGCCTCGCCTCACCAAACTAAAAGACTTCGTCAGCTTCCAAGCCGTCTGCAAGCCGCCGCCGTCCTCGCCCTGGAAAACAATCGACCTCCCGAAAAATTCCGCCAAACCCTGCCGTGGCTCATGTGGCGGTGCAAATCCAAGGATTGCCACCACCATCGTCCCGGCTGCCACTGCTTCTTCGATGTGACGGCGGAAAACAACAACATCCTCGTTTGCCGCCACATGAATGTAGCTGGAGACGGCCCATCGGCGTATGGACGACATAGTATCTCGTCAACCTTCGGTTGGCTTCTAAGGGCAACGGAGCAGCAGCAGCGTTCCCTGTTATTGTTCAACCCTTTCACCGGT